CGACCATGGCGAGGTCTCTCAGCGTACGTTGTCCCTTTCGTGTACCAGTGCCTCCCTCATCGTCGATGTTAGCATGGACACTGCCGGCCCACATCTTCCATGCTCGCCTCTCCCGCGCTCTAGCCTCTGTGAAGATTGTAGCTAATCTCGCCGACATAGATGCCGGTGGCCCAGCTGCATTCAACGACGGAGCCAACGATTTGGATGCGCTCACATTTGCGCTAGGACAAGACACGGAGACCGTCGTGGCGCCCGCCTTGCGCACGCTCGACGAGGTTGTCGATCAGCCAGACGTCGACCGCCGCGATCGCCTCGAAAACCCCGACCAGCACGAGGGCGTCGTCCGGCGCGGGGTCGAGCAGTCCGTCGTCCATCAGTCCATCGTCCGGGATGACGTCGAGCAGCCCGCCGTCGTTCAAGAGCAGCACATCATCGTCGAGCAACCCATAGAGCAGCCCGTCGTCGTCAAGCAACCCGTCGTCGTCGGCGCCGCCGTCGTCGAGCAGCCATCGTCGTCGGCCCAAGGCAGCCCGCCGTCATCAAGCAGCCCGTCGTCGTCAAGCAACCCGTCGTCGTCGGAGCAGCCCGCCGTCGTTCAAGAGCAGCACATCATCGTCGAGAAACCCATAGAGCAGCCCGCCGTCGTCAAGCAGCCCGTCGTTGTCAACCAGCCCGTCGTCGCCGACCAGCCCGTCGTCGCCGACCAGCCCGTCGTCACCGTCGTCGTCGAGCAGTCCATCGTCGTCGAGCAGTCCATCGTCGTCGAGCAGCCCATAGAGCAACGCGTCGTCGTCCAGCAGCACATCGTCGTCGAGCAACCCATAGAGCAGCCCGCCGTTGTCAAGCAGCCCGTCATCGTCGACCAGCCCATTGTCGACCAGCCCGTCCTCGACCAGCAAGAGGTCATCGAACAGGCCACCGGCATAGAAGAAGCAGCACCTGAACCTCCGAGGCCACGAACTCCTCCCATGATGACTCGCAAGCGGCTTACAGGAGTAACGCCGAAGAAGTCATGGCGCAAAAGGGGTGATGATCCGTGAGTAACTGCCTTTGCACTTCATTTGACCTGCTGACCTAGCCTTCAGCTTGCAAACCATCGTGCCTCTTCCGGAAAAACCCCGGGGTAAGAAGCGTGCTCCAAATGACGACGATATGTGAGAGCATTATCGCTTGTATAGGTGATCTATCTGATCATTGTGTAATTGCAGAGGGCCCAGCCAGAATAAGACGCGTGGCAAGTCGGCGAAGAGGAGGAAGGCGATGGAGTAGAGCATGCATGAGCTTTTAGTACCTTACGGCGGTTGTAACGTTCCTCATTGTTAATCAGTCTACGTTCTGGTCTCGTCCATCAAGCGCCGGGGTCGGAGCGATATTGGCGTCAAATTTCGAAAACGCCTTTGGTCTTGCTCAAGTCAGAGGCACAGCCTCTCTCTTTCTCTCTCTCTAGCTCACCACTCGCCTCCATTTTAATCGCTACTACATGGACGTTTCTGTGGAAGACATCGCTCCTGTCGCGTCCAAAGATGGGCAACCAGACCCAGACAGCGGCCCTCAGACGCTGGACCGGCCCACGATCCAGGAGCAGGAAATGCAGATGGACGATCGCGAAGACGACGCCGACGGAGACGCGGTGGAGAAGGAGGAGGAAATGGACGATCAGGTGGCAGACGCCGCTGAGAGGGTGGTGTGCAGCGTACGGTTCATGGTTTGGCCTCAGGCGAGTTTTCAATGCCGTGCTTACCATGATCTACGCTGAGCCGATGACCCCGCCAACGTCCACCAGGGCGGCGGCCTGCCTGTGCCCACATATGAGGATATCCCGCTCCCCGCCGAGGTCCCTCTGGACAGCTATGGCGGGATCAGCACGCATGTGAAGGAGGACAAGCTCATGTACTGGGCCCCCAGAGCACAGTGGATCCCCGCCAACATGTCGGAAGTAAGCATACGCATCGACCCCCTTACGCGCTCCATCCTCGTTCGCGCCGGCGGTGACCTGGGCTCGTGTCAAGGACTTGGGGCTGAGCTGTCCGCCCAGGATGCAGCGGAGTCCGGGCCCCCTCCCAAGACTATCGCAGACTTTCGCTGGCCACCCAGGTCAGGTTCAATACCCGTGTTCGTGTGGCCGAAGGTAAGTACTGTGACGTATGCTACGGTCGATCGGTGTGTTCACGATCGACCACAGGACGAACGTCCCCGCCCGATCGGGTACCACATGCCGGAGCTGAAAGGCAAGAACTACCAGTTTGTCTTGGATTTCCTGCAACAAGACGGTCTCGACCTGGGCGAAGGTTGGATGCTGTGGAATCCAAGCCGTTCAAATTGGCAAAGAGGCGACCAAACCAGCCCTATTCACGTGCGGTGTCGGAAGACGCTCTTGCTGCGCCATGCGGATAACGAACGCGCCCTATATGCCGGCGACTTCATCCATCGCCTTGAGGTCTACGGCCACGTTGTCACGGGAGATAGTGAGCTTACCGCCTTGTCTGTTGGGGACAGTGCGGACGAAGAAGAGGGCGCGCGGAAGGTGGAGTACACTTTATCGTCTTTGGAGCCTGTACTCACGTTCAGTGATCAGGTGCGAAAGCAGGCTTCGAACGACACGAAGTATGGAGGTGAGCACCGTCCACTACCCGTGGTTGAAGATTTGCTGACGCCTCTTGCAGACGGAGAAAGACTTTGAGACCCGGGAGGGGAGAAAGCGGAAAGGGTCTATATAGCCAGGGTGTATATACAGAAACATTGTACTGAGACGTCGTACTTAGCTATGGCGCGCCGCCAGCTGCGAACTCGCACTCAATTCCCCGTTCACAGGGGCTAGCTCAGGCTGGAAATGGAATGAAGGGCCAATCGCCGTCGCTGCCAGAGTAAGCGCCGCATCCGGCCTCCTCTTCTCCCTACCACTTCTTCCTCACATGGACGACCCATCCCAGTCCCTCCCACACGCGTCCGATGGACCTTCCAACACCTCCATTGGCGTCGGCGTTCGGCAACAGGAAGCCATGAAGGGTCGATTCAGTGTCAGAGTGGTTGTGTGGCCGAGGGTAAGCACCATCTCTGAATGTATGTCTTTCTGCGATAACAAGCCCCATCTCAGGGATATGGCAACTCATCAATGTTCGAGAACATCTACGTCGATGTACCATCGGTCCTTTCTTTGTGGAAAGTTCCATTGCTGCGCGACGCCATGATATCCAAACGGACCGTGATGTACTGGTCCGGGCGAGCAAATTGGACGCTAAACCTGCTCCGATTTGCGCAGGTACATATCACCGAGAGCACTACGGTCGTCCTCGTGCGCATGGAAGGCCCGTTCTGGCCCTGTCTGGGGCTCGGCCAGGAGATTTTCGCGCAGGACGTGGCAACCTGGTCTGCACCCGAGCCCCCAATAGTCGACTATCGTCCGAGGCCTCCCCACTTGCCTCAAGCGTACTCTCAAGTAATCATATGGGCCAAGGTGAAGTGTCCCATTCTCGTTGGTCTGCGTCCGATCTGACCCATGGACCAGGAGGATCGCCCTCGTCCCATTGCTTGCTGCGTAACGTGGCTCGAGAAGACATACTTCGCCGAGCTAGAGCACGAACTCGAGCAGCTCGTGCCCGAAGTCGACCTCGGGCAGAGGTTTCAAGTGTGGAACCCGGAGGTGTCGATATGGCAGCAGTGCGACGAGGACAGTCTTATCCCACCGTTTGGCTGGAGGCGGCTTCTCATCCGCCACACCGACAACGAGCACGCGCGATATGCAGGGTTCTTCATAGAACTGCTAGAAAAGCAAAAGCCATTGGATATCGGTCGGCCCACTTCATGGTTCCTCGGCGATGTCAACCCCCGGCAGGTCGACGATGAGGTGATGGAGGAAGACGACGGCGACGACGACGGTGACGACGACGGTGACGACGACGGTGACGACGACGGTGACGACGATGGCGCCGACGACGGTGTCAAGGGTGGCGACTACTAAGGCGGCAACGATGCGGGGAAGGTAGGAGCTCATATTTCTGGATGTTCAAGGGCTGAATGCGATCAGCAGGGCCACAACGGCCTTCCAGGGTGCCAGGGTGAGTGTAATACACGTTCGCCTTCATCGGGTCTGACATTACACCTGTACGCAGACCGAACGATCGGGCGGTGTTATAGTTGCAGATGATGGTATCGCTTCATAGTACGATACGTAGTGCATTCCATACACGATGTAAAAAGACGAGGGGATGAAGCCAGATGCAATCACGTGCAGCGTTTAAACGCCGGAGGGCAGAGACGCAAATGCGTCGCCTCCTATCGTCGTGCAACCCATGCCTCCTTTCACATGCAGTACCAACCGCTCCCTCGACAGTACGTCGTACACCCTCCACCACCCGGATGAGCGCCCCACTGTGCCAGGTGTTTGGGGCACGTTCGTGATTGTTTTCAGCCAAGGGGTACGTTCAGTCATTTGCCGAGACGTTCCCACTGACCATTTGGAACCAAGGCCACCACCGGGAAACGTATGGGGCCGTGCGTCTCCAACACCCAAATGGTCAGCTTGCGACGAGTCCTGCGGCGGTGGGAAGGCAAACCTATCAAAGTGGGCATATGGAAGGACGGCGACTGGATACCGACCTTCCTCGACGTGCAGGACGACGAACTAGTGCCCGTTCAACGCATGCGACTGTTCTTGGTCCTCCGAGTCGACAATTGGGAACGTCCTTGTCGCACTCTTGGAAGGGAGCTCTACGGTCGGGAAGACGGCAAACTCCAACCCCTACGCTATGGAGGAGTGTCCGAGGGCGCTGTGGAGTACGAGGTCGTGATTTGGACGCAGGTGAGCCTCAAACCATTCTTACTTTGCCTGTTTGTCTGACGTTAGAGCAAGGATGCCAACACGCCGCCCACGATCTGCTACACGCGCTCACAGGTTGGGCGTTCAATCGGCGAGGCCATCGCAGATTGCACCCGCCTAGACCCTGCTCTCGTCGTTCCCGAAGGGGTAATGACGTGGTGTTTCCAGACGTCTGTGTGGCACACGAGGTCTATGGGGGACGTCATCCGTGAGTCGGAGCCTCCTGCACTACTCGTGCGCAGCGTTCGCAACTCCGCACCGCGGTCCTGTGGTCCCGTTTTCATGAAGTGGGAGTTCTATTTGCAAAAGCTGGTGGGAGAGAACCGTCGCCGGTGAGTGCTGATGTGCATCCGTACCTGGTTAAGCTGACGATGCGTACAGCAAGCGTGAAGCGATAGCTGGACGGTATAGTGAGCACGTATTAAGCTAGGAAATAAACATTGTCGTAGTGTTAGCTGGCGAAACATCGGCGAGAGCTTGAGTGCAATGAAAGAGCCACGTACAGCGACCTCGGTCTCTCCAAGGAAACGGCCACTGCGGCGTGGACGAAATCTAAGGGAGAAGGGCAGGAAGTCAAGATTGCCGAAAGCGGTATCAGTTCAAACGCGCGCGACGAAAATTAGGCACTGTTCGCCTCTCTCCTACGTACTGTCTCCAGCTCATGGACGCGAAGGGCCATGAGCGCAAGCGCGCCCGTTCCCCCGAAGGCTGTGGTGACGTCGCGAGCGATCACAAGAAACTCAAATCCGACCCAACGACTGCGGCCAGGCCAACGAGGGCGCTCGACCTAACTTCTAACGTGAGTCATTCGACGATCTATGCGACGGGAAACTCATGGACGGGAAAACAGGCTCCAATCAATGTTGACGAACATGAGGTAGAGCTCATCCTGTGGAACGTTGTGAGCGATTCCGGACCTATGAGAGCTCACGCAGCTCACCATCCATCAGGCGATGTCGAGCATCTTTGAACGTTTCAAAGCCAAGGCGATTTCGGGCGCCGTCGACCTCATGAAAGTTCCCTGGATCCGAGACAGATACAACGCTGCGGACGTACGTAAATGGCAAGCCTGGGCCCATGGTGCCTGCGACTGGCAAGACATCGCGAGCACTTCCATCGACATAACCGCGGAGAGCGCGAGTTGGGTTTGGGTGCGGCTCTACCCGGGAGAATGCACGGACTTTGGGCTGTACATGCGTCGTTGGGAGCACGCTCGAGGCCAGGACGTAGTGTGGAAGGACGTCTTACCGATGATGGTGGCGACCGCGACGGATGACGCTCCTTTGGTCATCCTATGGGACAAGGTGAGAGAGGTTGGACACACGTTGCACGTCTTCTAACGACGTTACTTAGGTAACTCCGGGGTTCGAATGCCTCAGCGCCCAAAGGTATGCAGCGTTTGTCAAGCTTCTCATCATTCGCTGCCGCTCCGCCAAGATATGGTACCCACTGGAGACACGCTGGATGGAGGTGAACGATGTGGAATCTGCCCTGCGGTCGTCCGCCATGGCTACCAGGTATGCACCGGTAGTGCTGATCAGGACGGAGAGCGTAAACATGGAGGGGATAGGGGTGGCGATGGAGGGCATACACATCCGAACTCGTGCGGCGTTGGAGACGCAGGTGAGTGAGAACTCAGGTTAGGATAAACTTCGTTGACAGCGATTTCCAGGCCAGGTCTGAAGAGCCGGCAAACGACTCGGAAGACGAGGGCGTACTCATTCGCACTCCCAAAGACACCGACGTTCACGACATCCCGGTGCAAGGGGATGCGGCGAACGACGGGGAGGTGAGCATCCCACCGTCTCGAAATCTCAAAGCGCTGACGACCAAGATAGACGAAGGTGGAATCTGCTGTGCAAACCGATGGAAGGAAGAAGGCGATAGCAGGCAGAGACGACTGAGCGGAGGCGAGTCTTCATCGCCGGAAATCTGTGCATCCTACTTATATAGTACAACAGGAAGGTAGCTCTGAGGAAGGGAAGGTGGAGGATGGTCTTCGGACTAAGGACGGGGACTCCCGGGGCGTGCGCAGAGGGTGATCGTGGAGACGCTCGGGTGACTAGTGAGGAGTCGAGAGTCGAATGCATATGAATAGGGGAACGGACAGCGTTTGAACGGTATAGCTGTTACGGGCCATACGATCGGGGCCGGAGGGCGTATCCAAAGGCGCGGGTGCTTCCCCGAATAGGAAATCATACGGACCGCGCGCAGGTGAAGATTTCGGGCTCCCCGTTTGCCTCTTCGTCCGGATCCTCCTGCCCTCCACCCAACTCCCACCCCTAGTATGGACCCCTCTCTCTTAGATACCAGACGCGCCTATGATCAAACGCACCGGCGACGGGACTTGGTGAGCGTCGCTGAAATCCGTCTGGGCGGCAAGACCTGTAGTGCAGCGCTCCGAGCGGCCTGTCATGACGCCGCAACGCATTCTCCACCTGCTCTTCCTCCCAAATGCCCTATCTGTAGCCACCTGCTCCTTGGGCCGAACAGGGTGAAGCTTCCGTCCCTAAAAATCGCACCCTTTGTCGCCAACAAGAAATTCTATGCAGGCGCATGGGGCTATCGCGTAAGTGGGAAATGCACGCTCACAGCCGATGCCTCACTCACACACTCTCCCAGCACGACCGAAAATCCGGGGTGGAACGATGCGTATTCTTTCCTAGCCAACCTGGGCCATCTGAAGACGATCTGAATGCCATCGAAAGGATCCGCCGAGACGATGAGGCCGACGCGCTGGCCGACGCACAGGCCGCCGCGCAGGATGCCACGCAGGATGCCGCTCTGGGCATGCGCCCCCTGGGTGGGCGGTCTACACGGGGTAGGAGGGGGAAGGGCAAGAAGAAGAGCGGGAACGCTGGTGACATGAAAAGGGAAGATGTGAGTGCTTTGCCGCTGTGAACGGCGCAAATATCTCATGCGATGCGCAGGAGAAGAACAAAACAGCCCAGCATGTTATCCAGCGCCAGGTAGGTGTCCTGCTACACGAAGCACGCACGAGCTGACACGAAGGACAGGTCTCCAAGGACTCGGAGGCATATCTGCGCGTATGTAATCCGGTAGGCCCGGCTCCGCTCTTATGAAACCTGGTACTCAGCGCGCAACAGGCGGGTGCCCGAACGGTGGTCGGCGAGCTCGATGCCCAGGAGAAGATCACAACGGCGCAAGATCTTACCCAGCAACAGGTAGGCGTGTACCTATATAACGCACGCACGAGCTGACCAGAAGGACAGGTCTCTAACGACACGGAGGCACGTCTGCGCGTATGGAACCTAGTAAGTCCAGCTGCGCGTCTATGAAGGCTTGTACTCAGCCCGAAGCAGGCAGGCCCTCGAACGGTGGTGGAGAAGGCCGTCAAGCTCGCCGGCGGTGAGGTCGACCTATCCGAGACCAAGTTCGTTACGAGACATGCAGACCTCGCGAAGATCCGCTACATGAGTTTTTGGTGCTTCGACTCCCTCACCTGGAAGCGATTGGACGAGACCCACGCCCGAATGTCAAGGGCTTCACACGGCCGCATCTGGTTGCGGGCGGGACATGGGCGGTGCGAGGGGTTTGAGCTCGATCTGAAGAAATGGGAGGAGGCTCACGTACCGACGGAGGGCTGGTTGAAGGAGCAGAGGTCGCCCGGGGTATGCTTGGCAGTGACGGTGAGGCACTCGCCTTCGTCTGGAGCAAAGTGAGTCCGTTCACGTGGCCAAGGCGTCGTTCTGAAAACGACTTTCCCAGGGAGACGGGACACCAGAGATCTCAATCTCCGACCAAAACGAGCTCCGGAGCAGCTGCCGTCGTATGTGCTACAAGCATGGATCCGCTCGACTGTGGAACGCCGAGGAATCCCGCTGGGAGACGGCAGTCGACGAGGACGGCGCGATGGCCATCGTTCAGCAGGCTTCTAACCCGACTTCGGCGAGCGTCGTCCTCTTGGCGTACTCACCCAAGGCGGGGGAGACCGTGAACATGAAGGGCTTGGGCATCGCCATGGAGATGGTGCACAAGATGCGTCAGGGACAGCTGGGCAAGGTGAGTTTCACATCTGTAGTAAATGCACAAGAAACCAACCACCAGTCGCAGATGACGACGCAGGTGAACGCTCGTGCAGAGACGTTGAAGCGCGTCATGCAGCACAAGGGGCGACGTGACACAAGCCGCGACGTCATCGAGATATCCGATGACGAACTGGAGAACGCCCGGAAGAAACCTACGGGGTTCACAGCGTCGAAGAAGTACTGGGAGGAGCCGATAGAAATATCGGACGACGATGTGGAGCGTCCAAGTAAGGTGCGACGAGTTGGGTCAGGAGGGATGGGCATGTATGGGGAAGCGGGCAACCACAATCGAGTGGATGTGGACCTGACAGTTCAAGAGTAGCTACATGTATCGATGTCGAAAACCTAACGGTTAGCTCTATGGGATGTGGCCCGTCGCAACAAAGGGTGTGTTTCGAACACGTCCGGCGACCGTAACGACGAAGTCCAAAGCGCTCGCATCCAGCGCCCTCTTTGGACGTCGGCGGGGTACGCTACGGCCCAAGCTGTGAGTACACCCCACCAGAAACGACCTTAATACTGATCAGCATGCCCAGGATACAGATGCGTTGTACGCTGGAAGGTGCGTGTGATGCCAGAACAAGCGACGATGCGATAGTAATGAAAGCCAAGGGGCGGCTACAGCAGACGTCCGAGTAGGATCAAAAATCGAAGGTGCTATATAGCTCTTCGCGCTGACAGAAGACACTCAGGACGCCCCTCCTACAACACGCTCGGGACGTCGGTACCGTGCACACGCGCTCCCAGACGGACTGCCGTGCGTTGCCATTTCGTATGAGATCGGGGACGACCTCTTGCACGCTATAGAACAAGAAATTGCAGCTGCAGAAAGGGAAGACGATACCAGGGAGCCTGCATCGGACCAGGAATTGCTGGCCATGGTGGGGGATCTGAGTCTAGGCGATGAAGGTGAGCTTGACCGTCATCGGCTGGGTATGTACGTGCTCAGTCAGTCTCACAGCCGTTGGGGATGCAAGCGATCATCCCCGACAAAAGACTTCAACGGCGATGAGGAAGGTGAGTCAAGTTTCCGCCGACATGCGCATGTGCCTCAATTTGGATGATGTTAGGGACGAAACCCCGACCTCGAGCGCCGTCACAACTCGCAAGATGAAGGCAAAGCAAAAGTGCAAGGAGCGCAAGAAGAAGCGGGCTGTCGCACAGGCAGCGGCGCGTCACGCCACCATCGTCGAAACCCGGCGTGGGGCTGCGAATTTCTTGCTCCCGGGCCCAGGGCGGAAGGGCGTTTGTCTCAACAGCCATCTCTCTGCTCAGACGACGGTTGTCGAGACTTTCTCGACGTGCGAGATGGTGGTCGACCGATTCGGGTTCGAGGCAAAAAGGGATCTGGCAAAGTCACGCTCTCACCCCCCGACGCCTTCGGAGCTCAAGCGCATGCGCCACACGTACCTCAAGTGGGATGGCATGTGAGTTCATTCCATTGTTTACGACCCACTCGATCATGAACTATTCGCCAGCACCGATCGGCATATCTTGGACAAGGACCAGAAGCTGCTTGTTGCGCTGATAGCTCCCGGCAAAGTCAAGGCGGGGGACTCTTCCGGGACCATGACTGACGTCGCTCTTCGGCTGAAGACGAAGTTTGGTTGTCTCGGTCGCGTTCACAAAAGGAGCATCAACGCGCTCCGCTCTTGCAAGAAGCCTCAGCGCCGCGGCGACTTCGGAGCCGTGAAATCAGGGGTGACGATGGGCAATCAGGTTCGCATCCGCTTGTTCAACACGGCGTGTCGTTCTGAGTTGAGAGCAGGAGCCTGCTAGGCTTGGTCACAACGTGTGGCAGTCGAAGGTCGAGAAGACCGTTCTCGAGGACCCAGACGTGCGGCGTTTGGCGGGTTGGCAGAGCGGTGAGTGACGATGTCCTACAATGAGCCTAAAAGCTGAGAACCGTATCAGGAGGGTTGAGGTACCACTTCCCGCTTGCATACGCCCAAATGCACCAGACGATGCATGCCATATATGAACGCGACGATGAACTTGAGCCGAACTTCCCTGGGGTCAGCGTTCACCCGTTGTGCACGGTGAACATGGGTCCTCACACCGCGACGGTGGATCATCTCGACAAGATGAACTATCCCGGTTGTCCATGCGCCATCACTGCGCTGGGGGATTTTGATCCCGATCAAGGTGGACATCTGTATTTCCGATCCCCTCCGGGAAGCACGGTTATCCTGTGCTCGGCGGCGTTGCGTCATGGGAACACTGCCGTCGATCCTCAAGGGAAGGAACGTCATTCCTTCACTCAATTCACGGCTGGGGGGCTTGTGCGCTACAAGCAGGTAGGATTCCGGTTGGTCAAGAACGTGCCGGTATCTCAGAGGGGGACTACCGGGCAGGAGAGGCAGTCACAGCTCGCTCGCATCCCGACTCCTCAGTCTCTATCTGCTGATCGCGCCGAGATGTTTACGCAGTTGTCATGAATGGTTGTAGCGCATCGTCGTTGTTTATCAAATCCATGGAGCGGTGCTCTCTGAAGCATGCGACGTTGATGGTCGACCAAGGGACGTCATGAATACGGCTTTGCTTGATGTTGATCAGACATAGGAGCCCGGGCCGGGCCAACGCGGAGAGTAAGACGCCGGTAAGTTGCCGGAATAAACGCCGAGCGCTCGGCCCGCAACTGAACGCCGCGACGGATCACGGAATCAGGAGTCAAGCGGTGCCCTGCGGACATCGCCGAAGACACCGAGGCCTGGCCAAACAGTAAGTAGCGTCGTCCTTGGGAGCGTCGTCCTTGGGAGATGTCGTCAACTCATATGAGCAAGGATTATTTTCAGGAATTAAAGAGCTTGGAAAACCGAAACGCCAGGAAGTACCACTCAAGCGGGCCTTGCGAACGAGGCCAAAGGCGATCCAGGTGAGGAACAACCAGAGACGCTATGCATCGCGAGACGCTAATCGAATGTTCAGCGCCCCGCTCCACGCTCCCGCGTTTGCCACATCCTCGCCCTCCATCCACTGTCGTCTGTCGGCGGCCTCTCACTCTCGAACACATCCAGAAAGCCCGACGATCGACATCGTGGTCCGTTGTTTTGTTTTGTGGTACTCTTCCTGTTCTTACAACTACGGGCCGGCGGACCGCGCGACGCGTCTCCGAGAAAACCGGAATGAGATCGACCTGAACGTCATCGAGTCACTGCGGGGGTGGCTGTGGTCAGCTAGGGACATCCTCGCTCCCCAGGAGCCCCCAGGTTCCTGGGGGCGCGGCACCGCGCGAGGTCGCGTCGCGCGCGCGGGCGAGGGCGCGCGGCGTAGGCTGGCACCATGGAACGATAGTTCACACTATCTGAGGCAGTGCCGGAATTTAGAGCACCGATGATGGAAATCAGCGGGGGCGCCGGCGGACGCATGGCACATCAAGCATTGCAATCATCGCCCTCCGGCGCCGCATGGTACGGGGACCTGAGGGGGGACGGCGCGGACGGGGGCAAGTGCGCGCGCGCGAGGGCGGGAGGGTCGCGCGCGCGCGCCACGCACTCTCGCCCACGCACTCGCGCACACTGGCCGACACACGACTTCTAGGGAAACATTCGCACCATCCTCTTTGTTGCGCGAAGCAGCAGACACGGGCCGGCACCGAGAGAGGAATTCCTCACAAGAGGAAAGGTGCGCACGGCCGGGCGAGGAAATGGAGGCTGCAGGCACTGAGGGAGGAATTCCTCCCAAGGGGAAATGCGTGCAGAAGGCGCCGAGGGAGGTATTCTTCTCCAGGGGAAACGCGTGCAGAAGGCGGAGGTATTCTTCTCCAGGGGAAACGCGTGCAGAAGGCGCCGAGGGAGGTATTCTTCTCCAGGGGAAACGCGTGCAGAAGGCGCCGAGGGAAGTATTCCTCCCAAGGGGGAATGGGGGAGGGGGTGTAAGCGCCCGCAGGACATTCCCCCAGAGCTGAAGTGTGTTTCCTGGAGGGGCTGATAGCAGTACATAGTGTATAAAATAAGCCCCTAAAGAACGAGAGGGTGGCGGAGTCGGTACAGCGCTTGAGTGTTCCACATGTGCGCGTGTTCGACTCCGAGAGAGCATGTTTGTATTTTGGTTGGCTCCTGATATCTGGCGCCAATCGGATTCACGTGCTGCCCTTTAAGCGCCTTGCATTTCCCCCGGGGAAATGGGGGTGCGTTCAGTGAACGGTGCTCATTGTTATTCACGTACTGCGGTCCCTCCCTGGCAGGTTCGAGGCCACCGAGCCCATCGCCTGGCACGCGCAGCTCGCCGCGCGACCTCGGCATGTCACAAGCGACTGCAATGTTCTGCTTCTTGTATGTACCATCCCACTCCTCCGTCCGCCCCTCACTCACCGCGTCCCGCTCGAACCACCAACCATAACATCGCGCTCACCGTCCCCGCACTGCTCGGCGCTTGAACACCCCGAGGCGCTTTTGGTTGGTTTGCGAACTGGAAGTACGTCCGCTTTCCGCCCTTCCCTCGCGCCGAGTCCCGAGTTGCGACGCTGATGACAAGCGTTGACTCCCCACACAGAGTCTCCGGCTTATTCGCCCCAGTCCTCTCAGTGCCCGAGATCAAGGTGTTCACGTTCCGGCGGAGCTCGACCACCCGACGCCGCTACGCACCCACGCTGCGTACCAACTTCACGCGCTCGGTCACAACCTCCGCCAGCACGTCCTTCGGCAGAATGTCAGGGACGTGCCACCGCTGTATGAGCATGAGGGTGCGCTCAGTGAGAAGACGTACGCGCATCTCATTGATGACGAGTGAGTCGGTCTCGATTGCCCTGGCGCCGCGCGCGCGCAGAGGGCACCCGCCCAGCACGTCGTCAATTTTCTTGGCGATGCGCTTGCACGAGTCTATTCGGATACTACCGCACTATCGTCTGCATTCATGTAGCCCTTTCTAATGTGTATTTTACTCGATACTATAACATAGTGATACTACAATGGTTTGTCCTGCACACCCGATATGATTGCGTGCATGACGTGAGTGGATTGTACCGAACCAGGCATCCCGTGACCCATCGTATGGTTCATAATGGACGTCAACAGCTATGTCTGGTCGGACTTGACAGTTCTTTGTCGGGTCAAGCATGCACTGTAGTATAACAGCTGCACGGATGATGTTAGATCATACATGAGCCCGCTAATGATCATACACACACCGGGATTCGATCTGACGTTCACCAGCGTCCGATAATGACCGGTCAGACGGCGTCTTGTCCGACGAATGCAGATGAATGTTGATCGTCGCCACCGTTAATCTATCAAACATGGATACTATCGGATAGTTGCTCGTCTGAACTACAATTAATGATAGCGCACTCTGACATACTACAGTGCACTATAGAGCCCTGTCGTGTGTGCACCCATTTTGCTGATGGGAGTCCACCTCGCGCGCATGACGCAATCGAGCGCCTGCGGTGACGCCCTTTCTGCCCTGCGCTTGGCGCTTGCTGACCAGCCTTGGACTCACAGCAGGGCGCACCGCGGTCGACACAACGCCTCATCTACCGCGTACCTGCGCACCTCGACGTGTCAAGACCTCGCCCAGCACACTCGCCTCCACGCCGTTGCGTCCCAGGGCGTACCGCGGTCGAGACAAGCGTCATCCACAGCATCCCGACGCCTTTCGACCCGTCGATCATCCACCATCGACGCTCCGCTCCTGCACGCCCCTTTGGCTGTCCCGCCTGTGTGTTCCCCCGCTTCGCTCTCCGCCCTTCACTGTTCCCTCTTTGCAACGAACGCGCACAGATCGGCCGTCCAACGTACCGTCCCCACACCCTCGGCGGGCGTGTGCAAACCAACCAGGCGCGTACCGCTTCTCCCAATGCCCGTCGTTGTCACCTGGCCCGGAGCGGGCGGTCGCCTCGATACAGATCAGAGCGTGCTTGCGGCCGACCATTCGTACGTGCTTATCCACCTTCTCATCCTCCAAGCCCTTCTCCCAGCCGGGACTTCCCCCTTCCACTCTCCTACCGTCTGCACACCTTCGTTATACCGCGTCCGTGCCCTGCCGACGTCTGCCCTCCTCGCTAACCACAGCCGTGTTCGCACAGAACGCGATAGACGGCGCCATCGCCGTTCAATCATCCGTACCTTGGCCTCAAACCCTGGACGCGCTAGGCTGCCCAGTCTAATTTGAATGTGAGGTAGGTACCCAACGTCCCTAGACCGAGATCCGACGCTCACATCCCGTGTAGGCGGAGCATGTGCAGCATACGCTCGTGCGTGAGAGGGACCATTCGTTTCTCAGAACGCGACGCACAACACATGGACCGCTTTACCGATCGGACGCCTACCGTTCCATTACAGCTCCAACTCGCTCGTGTATGCAGGGTACGCTCACCCGGCTTCGTCGCAGTCGGTGCCAGCGCACTTGCAGTCTCAGGCCTACGACCGGACGCTCCCTGCGCTCACGACCACGGCGTCGAGACTTCCTCACATGACCTCTTGTCCGACAACGCCAGCTTTCACATACACCTGCTTCAGCTCATCGTGACAGTCATTGATACGACGTGCCTCGTCAGGCTCTTCGACTTGATAGCCAAAGCCGTGTACCACGACGTCGCACGCCGCCAGCTCGAGCGTCCTGTCAAATTCCAGCTTGAGCGAAAGCTCTCCCTGCATCCCTCCTCCTCCTCAAACGCCTTCCGGAGCGCCGCCCCCGTCGCGCCCCGTCCCCTGTCCACCACGAGCTCCAGCACCGCCGGCTACGTGTCCACGAGGGATGCCGCAGCCGCATGCAAACCTCCTCCGCGTCGTGCGGGCCCAGCACACGCAGGACGAGCGTGCGCGTGCGCGTGCGCAGCCGCCGGTACGCGTCGTCGAGCGACGCGCGGACCTCGTCTAGCGCCGCCCACGCCGCTTGAGCCTCGGCGTGCTGAGCAGCAGGCACCTGGCGATGGAGCCCCCGATGACCCGCCCGGAACAACGCCACGTGTTTTCGTATGCTCTGCAGGGCCATTCGCACTCGCCGCGGTCCGCCGCGCACCTGCGCGACCACGCGCAAGACCACGCGCACTACCTACGCCCGAGGGAACAGCGGTCTCGTTTGGATACCGGAACCGGCCGGGATCTTTCGCAGCCCTGCGGGTTGGTACCACCCGTCGTCACACCACCAAGCCCAAGCTCACGCCAGCACGGACGGGAGCCATCGCCCGACGCAGGGCCGTGCCCGGGGCTGCAGCAGCCCCAGCCAACGCGGGCGACACCGCCGCCGCCGACGCCGCCGCGTCCGACGCACCAGTGCATAGAGCCGCCAGAGGTGCTCGTGTCGCACGGGCATGCGTCAGCGCATGTCGCCCGCGGGTTCACGCCCTGTGAGTGCCGGCGCCAATGATCACCATGACGAAAACGTCTGTCCACTGACCTCGCTCACTGACACAGGAACATGCCTACCCTGCGCGTGCCCTCACCTCGCCGGCTTTGGAATTGACCGTGCCCGCTGGCCTCAGATGCCCCGTTCGCTTCGACCGGCCAATCCGCAGACCTCTTCGAATGTCACCGCGGCGAGCTAGGCGTTCAACTCGACCGGACTTTGTCGCCCACGTCGCCGATCGTCGCCCTCCTCGGTACAATCATCGCACCAGCTCGCCCTCTCCCAAGCCCCCTTATGGTTTCCAAACACAACTTTTGGGTGTACTCGTGTATTGTGAGAGATGAAGATATATTTATTAGTACGCTACTACAACGTGGAGGGCGAGGCGGAGGCGGAGGCGGAGGCGGAGGGCGAGGACAACGCAGCGGGGAAGCGGGGACGTGGTGCTGCGCGCCCGGGAGTCGGAGCAGCTCGTAGAGCGCGGCTAGGTGGTGCTTGCATGGACGAGCGGGACGCGCGCGAGGGCGAGGCGGCGGGCGGGCGGTGGGACCATGGTCGTGCGGGCACGTGCGCCGGCGAAGGTGAGGGGGGACTCAAGCACGGCGGATACGGCAGCGAAGGTGGGCGAGAAACTCTCCGGGAGGGAGGCCGCCACGGTGAGCGCGAGTGACGGAGAAGGTGGGAGAGGGATGTGTGTTGGAGGGTGATGGTTCTTGTAAACGTCGCGTTGAAGCACGAGAAGTGAGTGTCGTCTCAGGGTTGGAGGAAGCAGGAATTGGCTCGTCGCGCAGGACGACATGGCTTGTGCGAGAGCTTCATCGGGAGGTTCAGGTGTGGGTGGGAAGAGCTCGTGGAAGTGTTTCTACGAGTAAAAGTCAGCTAACACAAACCTCGCAATAAGCAGTGAGGCTTACCGGAATGAATCCTGTCTCGACGTCTCGATCTGTAATCGCCTGGTTTCCCCCGAGGGCCCTCAAGAACTTGATGTTCGTCGACCTCTGTACTCTTCCAGCGCACCTCGCGGCTTCCTCATAGCCTCCGTGCGATCGTGCCCATGGACGATTGGAAGAAGCCAATTTGTGTGCCTTGCTCGAATCCTTGCTCGACACGAAGTGATGGCGCGATGACAGCAGATGTGTTCGCGACGAGCATGAAGGGAGAGCTACTTTCTCCCAGAGGTATGCGTTGTACACCCGGCGGAGCCGTGAAGATGTGAGTAGGCGTGGGTGTGGATAGGTGGGCGAGTTGGCCAGAGTCGGGGAGGAAGTTGCGTGGGTTCTCGGCGTATAGGCGCGATTCGAAAGCACGCCTGACGAGTGGTATTGAGGACTCGTCGAGAAGAAGCGTATCTCCAGCTGCCACCTGCGCAAAAGTCATGGGCAAAATGCAAGGGTACAAATAGTCGAATACTCACCTCTAGTTGCCGCTGGATGACATCAAGTTCGGTGATCAGGGTGTTCGACTTGCAAGTAAGTGTTCCTCAACGGTCTCAATCAGCGGAAACCGACGCCGAACGTGGGGCTGCCCAACACTCTGCGTTGCCGAACGACTTCGTCGCCTTGCGTTGAGCAGAAGAAAGCGCCTTGTGGGAACTCGCCTTGTGCATGTACGATGCGTACTCTTGGGACGGGTTTGATGAGAACAGGGTAGTCTATGTGGCAAGTCTCATGCGGGGAGGCGAGCGCAGGAGAAGATGAAGACCTTCGTACCTATGCGCAAAGCCTCTTGCTGCAAGAAGTCGAGGTCCTGGTTCCCGTGATGGCCAGGGACGACCAGAACACCTGCAGCAGACATGATATTCTTCGACACGCTGTCTCCGCACTTAGCCTCGCCGCTACGCCTGCTCGCAGAAGAACCACACACCTGTTCGAGTCCATGCTCACGATGGCACTCGCCGGAGGCCCAATAAACGCGATCCCCTACAGCGCGAATCGCTCCGCAAAGTCCGCGTTCTCGCTCATCAGAAAGCCGTAACCTGGGTGTACAGTATACATACTCAAGGTAGGTATTATGCGCTCAAAAATTGCGAACACGTACCTGCGCACGGCTTCGGCCGCACACTTCCACGATCGTGTCTATGCGCAGCGATTAAAGTCCATCTCTTGAGGACAACATGCGCATACAATAGGGAAAGAACTCACGTAGCTCTTCGCGGACGACGCAGGTCTAATGCAATACACCTCATCCGCCTAGGGTGGGGACAAGACCAGCAGCGACGGCGTGCCGCATCCACGAACTGGACGTGCCCGCGCGACCGAGCAGGACGCGCGCAAAAGGGGAGGAAGGCAAGGTGGACGGGGGCAAAGCAGAGGTGGAGAGCACAAAATGGGGCGCACTCACCGAGCTAGGGGTCGCCGTAATTCATGGGGACCCCAACATCCTCATCTCAGAGCCCCTGGTGGACATCCCCCGCAGGGTGGGCGAAGCAGGTGGAGAGTACGGCACCGGGCACCGGGCGCCCGCGAGTGGAGGGCGGGAAGCGGGTGAGGCGGATGGAGGAGGGAGAGGAAGAGGAAGACGGTGCGCACCGCTCTCAGCTCTGACGTCCCCACTTGCCGCTCACCCCTGCGCGTCTTCACTAGGGCATGGTCGATGTTCGCGAGGCGGCGGCAGAGATAGTAGGGGGTACGTAGAACTGTGCGAGGTAGTACCGGTCGAATGCGAGGACAGATGCGCTGGGCCATCCCGCGCATCCACGCTTGACGAATGTGATACACGAGAACGAGGCCAGCTTCAACCACAGAAGGCTGTGACCCTGCCTCGTCCCGCCGAACTGCGACGCGTGGAGGAGGAGGAGGAGGAGGAGGAGGAGGAGGAGGAGGAGGGTGACTTTAGGAACGCACCAGGCTGGATTCTGAGTCGCGCGCATGACGCAATCGAGCGCCTGCGGTTGGCGCACGCCGACTCCCAGCCTTTGACTGACTCAAATGCAGGGCGCACCGCGGTCGACACAACGCCTCATCCACGACGTATCGGCTCCCGTAGACGCGTCAAGACCTCGCCCAACACACTCGCCCCCACGCCGTTGCGTCCCAGGGCGTGCCGCGGTCGACACAACCTGCCACCCCCAGCGTCCCGAAGCCTCTTGACCCGTCGACCATCGACCATCGCCGCCCCGCTCCTGCACGCCTCTTTGGCTGTCCCGTCCGTGAGTACTTGAGCTCCCGCGCATCGCTGTGCTCTCTCAACGAACGTGCACAGATCGGCCGTCTGACGGTCCCCACACCCTCGACACACTCCCCGCCGCCGCCGGTCATCATCCAAGAATCCCTCAACGAGCGTGTTCAAACCAACCAGACACGCGCCGCTACTCCAAATGCCCGTTGGTGTCAGCTGGCCCAGAGCGGGAGTTCGGCGATGGAGATCAGAGCGTGCTTGCGACTGACCACTCGTACGTGCCTTCTCATCCTCCGAGCCCTTCTCCCAGCCCACACTTCTCCTCTGTCTCTTCCATCGTCCGCACCCCTTCATTCCACCGCGTCGGTGCCCTACCGACGACCGCCCTCCGCGCCAACCATGTCCTACCATCGGCCTTGTTCGCGCAGGAACGCGCCAGACGACATCTCAATCATCCGTACCACGGCCTCACCTAACTCTGAACGCCCCAGGCCGTATGTAACCCTGTGCGAGGTAGGTGCACAACATCCCTACACTAAGATCCTACGCTTACATCTCGTGCAATCAGAGAATGTGCAGCACACGCTCGCGCTCGAGCGTGACCATTCGTTCTCGCAGAACGCGACGCATAACACTCGTAACGTGATCCCTATCGGACGCCTGCCGTTCCGTCCTACCCCCAGCTCACTCGCCTCTGCAGGTACACGTACCCAGCTTCCTCGCAGTCGGTGCCAGTGCACTCGCAGTCTCACTGAGGGCTACGACTGGACGCTCCCTGCGCTAACGACGACACATACGTACGCACGGTGCCGAGACCTCCTCATAGCGATCTCTGGCCCGCTGCCTATGATTCCCCTCCCCGTGCGCCTGCACACGTTCACGGACACCATCCCAGCCGATGTCCCAACCAACAAGCCTTCCGCGGCGGACACGCGGGCGTGCGTGTTTTCGATAACGGAGGACGCGCCCAATTGACGGTACCACCCGCGCTCGCCATGCCCGCCAACGTCCAACAAACCGCCTGCAATCGCCGTCCGACTTCGCTCTTTCGACTCGAGGACTCTTCCTCGTTTGCACCTCAAGGCTCGTGGCGCACAACCGCGTTCCCCAGGGCCCACGCCGGACGGGTACTCGAACCTGGTCGACAGCTGGAGCGTCGGCGTGATTGTCATTGCCATGTGCGTCTGTCCGGGTGTGCTGACCATTTTCTCCTCTCAAGTTCATGCAGGGCACCCCGTTCGACGCAGACCCGCCGAACACGGACATCCATACCAACATCACGACCCGCCGGGTGCGGTGGACGCTCCTGTACGAGTGCGGCGTGAGCGAGCAGAGTGCGTGTGCCCTCCTTCTTCCCAGCCGCGCGAGCTGACCTGGGCCCCGCACACACCCACAGCCGAGCGGTTCATCCGCGCGCTCCTCGCGTCTTCCCCGAGCGAGCGCATGTCGCTCAGTGCGCTGTACCACCCGTGGCTCGCGACCGAGGCCGAGCTCGAAGGCGCGCCCCGGCCGCTCCCCGCGACTCCCCCCGCGCTTCGCACCGCGTCGCTCCAGTCGCTCCCCTCCGCCCCCTCCATCGCGGACGGCGGGCCGGCGGCGACGCTCGAGCACACCCCTCCGCCCGCAGCCCCGCTGATGGGACTGCCCGGGACGGCGTCGCTGCTCCGCATGGACGGCGAGCAGGACGCATGGATGCGCTCCGCGGCGGGCTTGCACATGTCCCTCGACGCCCTCAGCCTCATCCTCCCCGTGAACCCGCCGTCGCCCGTCAAGCACGACCACGTGCTCTCGCGCCCGCGGTCCGCCGCAAGCGAGGGGACCCAGCGCGGGAGGCTTCAGCGGCGGTCGGAGGTGCTGTCGCGGGCGCGGCGGGCGGGCGAGGAGCTCCCGGCGCCTTCATAGGACATGCGTACGTGGGCAGGGAGGCTCTGGTCGGGGTCGGTGGGGGCCTGTGGGGGAGCCAGTGGAAGAGCCCGAGCGTCACGCAATGAAGGAGGCCACGCCGATGCGATAAAACAAGACGCTCGAAGACGACACACGGGTCGGGAAGTCGCCGATGCGCACGAGGTGGAGCGCAAGTCGCTGCCGCAGGAGTGTGACGACGAAGGATCGGATACGCGGCGTCGCTGCCCCCGCAGACGCAGGAGCAGGACGACCCTGAAGAGGAGTCGCGTGTGGCAAAGCGGCTGCGGACGGAGCTGTCGATGTCTATCGCGGACGTGGACGGTGCGGACTAGTCGCGTCGGCGACGCCCAAGATTGTTCAACGTGTACGTTCTTGTCGTGCCTTCGTGCCGATACTTTCGGTGTTCCGTCTTGTCGTACTCTATCGAATGTACATACCCATAAGTACGTGTGCGAACGTTCTCCGGATGCTCACTGGAGTACGGTATTTAAATGGACGTGCTTCAGCCTTCGTCAGCGGTTCTTGTTCTGAAGGCCGACGTGTGCGCAGAAGGAGGGGTGTGCGCGAACGAGGATCATACATATGTAGCCTGTACCCCGTAGGCATCACCACAGGTACGGTTCCCTCGGGTACGGGTTCGGGTCATCCAACCCGTGCACACGCATGGTGGACCCTCGGAAACCCGTGGAGGTTCGTGCGCTCAACACCATGGCATTACACAGTGGTATTGCAGAGCACCGCATGTATATATGCACCGTAGGCGCTGAATTGTAACTATAAACTCCTCTGACGAGTCTAAGCCCCACTCCTCCTGACACGCAGGCCCGCAGGTCCGTTCGCGATCGTGTCAACACCTTAGACATGCACCGCGCGGCGCGCACGAGTAGTGGCACGGCACACGCTTGCATCCCGCGTTCACTGTCGTCGTCGTGCGTTTGCTCTACGCCGCGCTCTGACGCACCAAGTTGGAGGTAGTCCAGAGTGGGATCGGTCAAGGCGAAGGGCCTCACGTCGACGTCGCCGTCCGTGTCCGTTCCCGACACACGCTCGAAGGCCGTGCCGGCATCGCAGTGCTGTTGGGAGAAAGAGACCGCACGGTGTCAGCGACCGCGGGGCGAGAAAATGGAGCATGCGGACCTGCAGTGCGTAGCGTTCCACCCATCCGCTTTGTCACCCCAGAACCTCGCGGCGGGGCGCGCCTGCTGGCGTTTGAGACACGCGCGGAGAGCGGTACCGCCGCCGTCGCTCAGGACCGTCCACTGGCGTGCGGAACGGGGAGGCGGATCGGAATCGAAGTCGACGAGCGTCGTCGTGTCATCGCCGGTGAAGGCGACGAGGGACGGGAGTCGTCGAGGAGGGGAAAGCGATCGCGCGCGACAAGCATGCGCGCAGGTCCGCGTACATCAGATCGACGCCCGCCGCCTCCGTGGCCTTCACCGAACGAGGTGAACGCGTCTTTCCAGCTGCATTGCCCGTCCGCCGAGTGCGAGGGGAGCCCGAGCCGGTCCATCTGGATGGTGTCGTGCCTTCGCTGGGATTCGGGTGCTGGGGTTCGGCGAGATGCTGTGGTAAACATGCAAGACCAACTTTCAACAGGTAAGAGGTGCCGTTACTGGCGTGTATGGCTTAAGAGGTGATGAGGGAGATCCCTGGATGAGTACAGCAACGTCTACGCACTCGGAACAGCCGAAGTGCTTGTCAACCTCCTCGATGACCATCGATTCCCTGTGAGCCTTGCCGATGATCTTCACGGAGACGTGGTGCTGCGCGCCCGCGAGTCGAACAAGCGCACAGAGCACGGCCAGGTCGTGCTTGCATGCACGAGCGGGACGTGTGCGGGGGCGGAGGAGGGTGAGGGGGACAAGTGACACCGGCAGCGACGCCGTGCCACACCCACGAGGAGTCGGACGTGCTCGCGCGAACAAGCAGGACGCGCGCAAGAGCGGAGGAGAGCAAGGTGGAGGGCACAAAACGGGGTGTACTCACCGAGCTAGTGGTCGCCGGAACTCACGGCGACCCCAACATCGTCATCTCCGAGTAGAGGACGCCCATGTGGACATCCGCAGGTGTCCACCGTACGTGTGGTAGGCCGGGCGGGCGAAGCAGGAGGGGAAGGCGGCACCGAGCACCGGGCACCCGCGATTACGGGTGCTCGGCCGAGGCGGGGTGCGCGGTGGAGGGCGTGAAGCGGGTGAGGCGAATGGACGAGCTTCTTCACGTCCGGATCCCATCCTCGCGTGTCGTGCGTGTCGTGGGCGCCACTAGCAGATTCGGCAAAGGAGATGGCTGGCGCTAAGCGGCAGTGGACGCCTGAACGGGGCGCGAAGCGTGAAAACGAGACAGACGGGGGGAGGAGGATGGTGCGCACCGCTCGCGTTCCCGCTCCGTTGCCGCCCACCTGGGCGCGTCTCCACCGGCGCGTATCTCTGGCGCCCTCGGGGGTGGAACTGTGCGACGTCGAACGCGAAAACGGACGTGTCGGACCATCCGGCGCGCCCATGCTTGGCGAATTTGATGCACGAGCAGAGGCCAGCGTCGGACGTCGAACATAGGCCTCTGCTTCGTCACGTCTCGCCGAACTGCGACAAGTGCCACCCTCGTTGAAGTACTAGTGGAGTCGCACCGCCAGCGCCTTCTCACAGAGCTTTCCAAGGCAGCTCAGAAGCACGATCGACCGGTCCGCCTTCAACTTCGAGTACATATCGTCTTTCTTGGGTTTGGGAGTAGCTGCTGACACCGCCGACTTGGATTGTGACAGCGAGTAGGTGACATGGTCAAGGCACGCATTGAATACGCCGCACGGAGCACCTCGCACTTCACGTCGTGGATGAGAGCATTCATATAACGCTATCTGAGATGATCCTCCCTGGATGCTGGGCACAATCTCCGTTGCCTCGCGGAGTTCTCGCGGTCAGCGCATGCGTCCAACATGGGTAGGCCGTCGTTTCTCTTCAGCTCACCTACCACTCCCCGTCCTAGTCCCCGCCCGCGTCCCCACCCACATCCCGTCTCGCGAGATCCGGCGCTCAGGGAAAACTCCATCCCAGTCGGCCTCACGAGTCACTATGCCTCCCTCGCCGACCGTCTCTGCCAAGGATTCACCCCGCGCTCCGGTGCGCACAAACGTGAATCACCCAATGAGGCGAACAACCGGCTAATACACTCACACTCAGACCTCGGCGCATTCGTCCATTCAACAAACCTCAGACACGGCTCCTCTCCCTGAAGATACACCCTCCTCCGTGACGCTGCCACCAGTATGCCTGTTTTTCTCTTTTTTTGGAGCCTGAAATTGGCTCACATAGTTCGATCAGGCGAACGTGTCCCTTGACAAGGTCTGCGTCCTGCTGAAGGAGATTCTTGACGAATTCAAGAAGGTATCGTGTGACCGTTTCCACGTCCCTCTCGTATGCTACCATTGATCAGCCCCACAAGCGGCAAAGAGGGATTGGAACGGAACGGAAAGTTGAACCCGTGAGTATATCGTTCACTTTCTGCCAGATAGAGATTCATGGCGTGCGCAGACTCGTATCGAACCATCGCTAGCACAGGAGATAAGAACTGCCGGATATCACGACAATGTGAAGTACGTCCCGCATCTCACTCGTTTGATTAAGATATGCTGAATTCTGAACGATAGATCTGCCTACTAAAATACAAGCAACGGAGATCGATGCGGCATGGGATGAGACTAGAAAGACGGTGGAGAAGTACAGCGACGAGCTCGTCGACCAGTGGAACAAGGAGATCGATGGCCTCTTGACTTTGTACGTCTCGACGTTCATGCCTCGGCAGTGACCCTCACCCGCGATCCCTCAGGACGGTCTGTTCTCTGCCGCTCTCACCGCGTTCAACACCATCGCCTTCGCCATGCTCCAGCCTCAATCAAGCGATCAAACCAACGCGATCTTGACACAGGTCTCTTCCCAGCTGAAAAGCTTCGCGCTCAATCCCTCCTTCGTCAACTCCACCGCCTTGGCGTTCGGGATATCGTTACGACCCCTTTCGCCCCGAGACCTGGGCCGTATGGGTGAATGCGCTCTGGTTCACTAGTCTTACTTCAGCATGTCATCGGCGACGATCGGGATCATGGTGAAGCAATGGCTCAAAGAGTACAACACCGGGCTGTACGGGTTCTCCGCACCAATCACACGACGTCGCATCTACCGGCTCTCGACCTCAAAAGGCGCACATCCCTGCTATCATCTCGCTTGTGCCTCTCCTTCTGATCGCCGCCGTCATTCTTTCTTCGCCGGCCTCCTCGTCCTCCTCTTCCACTCCGACGTCTCGTCTTCTCCGCCACTGCGACGTTCGTTGGGATGCTCATGCTTTTCATCATCGTCACAACGATCTCCCTCGATCATCCTCGATGTGTTACTTTTCGCCTCAATCCAGGGCCTTCCTTCCTCTCTGGAGTGTCATTCTCAGTTCTACTCGCCCGTTTATCGTTCAATAATACGTGCCCTCCCTCTTTTTCTCACACCCCGTACATAGAACCCTGTGAACAGTGTCTGGAAGCCATTGGGGCCTTCCGCGACTTTTTGTCCTCGAGAAGGTTCCAGAGCCCATTCAATATGGAAAGGCGACGAAGAGGCCATTCTTTCGCGAAGCGCACCGATCTCGACGCCCAGACGGTCCACTGGGCGATGATCAGCTCTCAAAACCGGCATGGCACACGGCTGCGATGTGCCTATCCAGCGACCCACAGGTTGCAAGTCGTATCGGGAATGGACCTTCGACGCCTCTCGGACCTATACGGGTCTGTGCTCCACTGGCCAGACTTTATGGTGAAGATGTTTACGACCCCCTCTTGAACGTGTCCGGCGGGTTCTCTTTTCAAGAAGTGCTCGAGGCGGAGGAGACGAGGACGCCAGCTCTCCGAGAACGCCCGCTTCATCAGAGTATAACAAGACTGCGGCCCAACTGCTCTTCAGCATGCAAAGAATGGTTGAACCCGCGAGCGCAGACTCAGAATGGGACAAACTGACAACGACGCGTTCCAGAATATCAGTGACACCGAACGTTGCAACTCGGTGCGTCTGCGACTTCACCTTCAACCCCGTCCAAGTCAGAGCGCTCACCGTGACCGCAGCTGCCTTCGCGGCAGCTCACCGGATGCAAACGCTCGTCAGCGACCGTGGCCTCCGACGCGCAGACCCGCCTTCTCAAGACGTCCTCACGGGAGTTCAAGTTCATGCGGAGCATATCCCCCATCTGGCAACTCGTCAAGGACTCGGCGCCCAGGATCCGCGAGTGCGACGGCATCGCTGCGATCCAGCCGTTCGTCGCGCACGCGTTCTCCTCCTTCGAAATGCTCCTCAACACGATCGACTGGTCGCTGCCTGTATCACCGGAGACGCCTGCACTGGTTCGAGTATCCTGACGACATGCTCAATTCCACTCCCATTCCTCAGACGGCATCCGCCATCTGGTCACACCATCCTTGTTGCGGCGCTCGAGACGCGTTCATACAACTCGTTGGAACGGAGACTGGCGTCATATGGACCCGCGGAGTCTGGGTGAACGTGTGCAAAGATCCTCCTCGATCTCACGTCGAAGGTCCCGCCGTGCGGGCCCCTCCACCGGACGCGTCGTCTTCCGCCGCAGGTCCTCAACTGGAGAAACAGAGCGACCAAGCTGCGGAACCGAGCTCGTATCCGTCCTTCATTTGTGCGATTCCCGACGCTGACCCCGTCTCACAGCCCTGCAGATTCCCCGTGGGGTGGACGCTGCTGCCACTCCACACGAAATGTCCACGGCGCCCGACGCAGCGACCGGGACCCGACTGCTCGTCAGTATACTAAGAACGGTCGAACCCGCGAGCGCAGAGTCAGAATGGGACAAACTGTGGGAAAACGACGCGTTCCAGAAGATCAGTGACGCCGGAACGTTGCACCTCGGTGCGTCTGCGACTCCACCTTCGAAGCCGTTGAAGTCAGAGCACTCACCGTGACCGCAGCTGCCTTCGCAGTATCTCACCGGATGCAAACGCTCCTCAGCGACCGTGGTCTCCGACGCGCAGACCTGCCTTCTCAAGGCGTCTCACCGAGGAGTTCGAGTCCATGTACAAGAATATCGACTCCATCTGGGAACTCGTCAAGTACTCGGCGCCCAGGATCCGCGAGTGCGACGGCATCGCTGTGATCCAGCCGGTCTTCGCGCACGCGTTCTCCTCCTTCGAAAACTCCTCAACACGAGTTGACTGGTCGTGCCCGTATCACGGACAACGCCTCCCACTTCTGCTGTATCCTGAACAACATACTCGAATTCACTCCCATCCCTCAGACGGCATCCGCCGTCTGGTCACACCGTCGCTCGTTGCAGCGCTGGAGCACACGTTCACACAGCTCGTTGGAACGGACGACTGGAGTCGAGTGGAGGCCATGGTTTCACGCCTGTGCGCAGGTGCCAAGATCTCCTCCTCGATCTCAGGTCGAAGGTCCCGCCGTGCCCTCCGCCCGATGCGCTGTCTTCCACTAGAGATTCTCAATCAGGGGAACACAGCGACCAAGCTCCGAAACGCGAGTTCGTATCCATCCTTGCCATTTGTGGGACTCCCGACGCTGACCACTGCGTCTTCCACAGCCCTGTGGATTTCCTCGCGGCAGTGGACGCGGCTACCAAGGCTCCACACAAAACGTCCACGGCGCCCGATACAGAGACCAGGACCCAAATACTCATCAGCCTTCAAAGAACTGCTGAACCCGCAAACGCAGACTCAGAATGGGACAAATTGTGGTACACGACGCGTTCCAGAATATCGTGAGCCGGAACGTTGCGACTCGGTGCGTCTGCGACTTCACCTTCAACCCCGTCCAAGTCAGAGCGCTCACCGTGACCGCAGCTGCCTTCGCGGCAGCTCACCGGATGCAAACGCTCGTCAGCGACCGTGGCCTCCGACGCACAGACCCGCCTTCTCAAGACGTCCTCACTGGGAGTTCAAGTTCATGCGGAACCATATCGGCCCATCCGGGAACTCGTCGAGCACTCGGCGCCCAGGATCCGCGAGTGCGACGGCATCGCTGCGATCCAGCCGTTCGTCGCGCACGCGTTCTCCTCCTTCGAAACGCTCCTCAACACGATCGACTGGTCGCTGCCTGTATCACCGGACGACACCTGCACTGGTTCGGGATCCTGATCGACATGCACCAACTCCACTCCCGTTCCCAGACGGCATCCGCCATCTGGTCACACCGTCGCTCGTTGCGGCACTCGAGCAGCATTCATACAGCTCGTTGGAACGGAGGATTGGCGTCACATGGACCGCAGGGTGGTTGGGTGGGCATGTGCAAAGATCGCCTCCTTGATCTCACGTCGAAGGTCCCGCCGTGCCGGGCCCCTCCACCAGACGCGTCGTCTTCCGCCGCAGGTCCTCAATCGGAGAAACACAACGACCAAGCTGCGGAACCCGAGCTCGTATCCGTCCTTCATTTGTGCGATTCCCGACGCTGACCCCGTCTCACAGCCCTGCAGATTCCCCGTGGAGGTGGACGCCGCTGCCACTCCACACGAAATGCCCGTGGCGCCCGACGCAGTTCCTGCCACTTCGCCGGCCGCCTCCATGGATATACCACGCACACCGTAGATTTTCGTCGTGCACGGGTTGAAGTGTTGGTGCTTCATGCGCAGGACTACCTGAGGACGTGGGATGACTGGTCCAGGCTTCATTCTTTCGTGTATATCTATATGGCGAGAACAGAGAACGGATTCAACGACATAGCTTGTGATGGCAATCAGACGCGAAATTTCATCCTCCAGCTCCGCTTCCTCTTTCGAGTCAGCAATGCTGACCATGGTTGAAGTGAACGAGGTTACAACATGTCATCGAAGGATACGAGCAAACAAGTACGCGGTGCGGTCTGATTACATGTCAGCCATCGTCCGTTGTTTCGACGCCAGCGTTCCTCCACGGCCAAGTCGCTGTTCTGACATCGGGCACTGGAACCAGAACCAGACATAAGCGTTTTCCGTCGACAGGGGAAGCAGGGAAGGCACTCACGGTGATGGTATACGGGGAACGGCGCATCTCACGAGCTTGTTGAACGCCCTCACGCGTCTTCGGCGGACCAAGCTCATCTCATGGAACCCGTCTGCCTCGACGCGCACCCGGAGGACATCGCCGGCGTTGATGCATATCCGGTCCGTCAGGGGTGAGCCGAGGGCTCGTGAGACAAGCAAGTTGCTTCCGATCCTGGAAGCCGGAAAATGTGCTCGCTCTTCTGGGTCGCTGGGGGCGGACGGAGATGGGTGCGGGGAAGACATGCTAGAGAGGGGGGCACTTACAAGGCGCGGGGTCCGGCAGGTAAACAAGGGGGACGTAGATGTCGCCAAAGAATCCGACAGTTACTGGGCGCGAGTGAGCTTCGGGCGCGAGAACGAGGCCGAAGAGACGTACGTCGGACACCGTCCTCATCCGAGGACTTGACCTTGGCGAGAATGACCTCGGATCCAGAGGGACGGAAGACGCAGAGATTGTTAGTCGTACCTCCACCAGTGCGAGACAGACTCACCGATCTTTGTACCACAGACATCCATCTCCGTGCCGCACCTTGCCCTGCCGTACCTCCGCGAGGTCGAAGACGCGTGTGCACAGGCCGACGCCGTGCAAGACGCGTCTCGCGTGGACCTCGTTGAGCGCATTGGTGATGGCTTGTTCTGGAGGTAGACGAACTGTGCCGGATGTACAGCTACTGTGTCCTGTCGGCTTCACGTTAGACATGGTCGGTTGCGAAGGAAGACGCGCGGACCTTGATCACGGAGAGCTGGAACGCAGAGGGCGGGACTCGGTGTTCTTCTCGACGCCCATGACGCTTGTAAGTACGAGACGGGCTGAGAGAGGGCGGGGCGGTCGAGAGGGGGAGGCGCGAACTCGCTCGACGCGGAGTCCACCTCGCGCGCATGACGCAATCGAGCGCCTGCGGTGAGCCTCTCCCGCCCGGCGCTTGGCGCTTGCTGACCAGCCTTGGACTCGAAGCAGGGCGCACCACAGTCGACACAACGCCTCAAGGCCTCATCTACGGCGCACCTGCGCACATCAACGCGTCAAGACTCACCAACACCCTCGCCTCCAGCAGTCCAGTCCCAGGGCATACCGCGGTCGAGACAACCCACCATCCCCAGCGTCCCGACGCCTGTCGACCCGTCGACCATCCACCATCGACGCTCCGCTCCTGCATGCCTCTTTGGCTGTCACGTCCGTGAGTGTCCGCCCCTCGCCCTCCGCCCTTCGCTGTGCTCTGTCAGCAAACGCGCACAGCTGCAGCGATCGGCCCTCAGCCAGAGATCGGCCGTCCGACGCACCGTCCCCACACCCTCGACGCACTCCCCGCTGTCAGACATCATCCACGAACCCGTTAGCGGGCGTGTGCAAACCAATCAGGACGCGTACCGCTACTCTCAATGCCCGTCGTTGTCACCTGGCCCGGAGCGGGATGCAGACCAGAGCGTGCTTACGCCGACCACTCGTACGTGACGTGTCATCTACCTTCTCATCCTCCAAGCCCATTCTCCCACCCAAGACTTTCCCCTTCCACTCTCACACTGCCGCAGCCCTTCGTTCTCCCGCTCGATGCCCTGCCGATGTCCGTCCTCCGTGCTGCCCACGTCCTGCCATCGGCCGCGTTTGCACAAAAACGCGCCAGACGCGCCGTCGCCGTTCAATCATCCTTACCTTGGTCTCAGAACGCACCAGGCTGCCCGGTCTCAGTTGAATGTGACCCTGCCGAGGTAGGTGCCCAACGTACCTCCACCAAGATCCCACGCTCACATCCGTCCAGCAGAGAATGTGCAACATACACTCGCGCTCGAGAGGGACCATTCGCTCTCGCAGAACCCGACGAACATCACTCGTACCGCCGTCCCGATCGGACGCCCGCCGTTCCATTACAGCTCCAACTCGCTCGCTTCTGCAGGGTACGCTCACCCGGCTTCCTCGCAGTCGGTCCAGCGCACTCGCAGTCTCACTCGGGCCTACGACTGGACGCTCCCTGCGCTCACGACCACGCATCCGCACGGTGCCGAGACTTCCTCACAGGGCATCCCCTTGTCCGACAACGCCAGCTTTCACATACACCTGCCTTGCCCACCACGAGCTCCAGCACCGCCGGCGACGTGTCCGCGAGGGTGCCGCAGCCGCATGCGGACCTCCTCCACGTCGTGCGGGCCCGGCAAACGCAGTACGAGCCGGCGCGTGTGCGTGCGCAGGCCGAGCCGGCACGCGTCGTCGAGCGACCCGCGGACCTCGTCTAGCGCCGTCCACGCCGCGAGAGCCTCGGCGTGCTGAGCAGCAGGCACCTGGCGATGGAGCCCCCGATGACCCGCCCGGAACAACGCCACGTGTTTTCGTATGCTCTGCAGGGCCATTCGCACTCGCCGCGGTCCGCCGCCCACCTGCGCGACCACGCGCAAGACCACGCGCACTACCTACGCCCGAGGGAACAGCGGTCTCGTTTGGATACGGGAACCGGCCGGGATCTTTCGCAGCCCTGCGGGTTGGTACCACCCGTCGTCGCACCACCAAGCCCAAGCTCACGCCAGCACGGACGGGAGCCATCGCCCGACGCAGGGCCGTGCCCGGGGCTGCAGCAGCCCAGCCAACGCGGGCGACACCGCCGCCGCCGACGCCGCCGCGTCCGACGCACCAGTGCATAGAGCCGCCAGAGGTGCTCGTGTCGCACGGGCATGCGTCAGCGCATGTCGCCCGCGGTTCACGCCCTGTGAGTGCCGGCGCCAATGATCACCATGACGAAAACGTCTGTCCACTGACCTCGCTCACTGACACAGGAACATGCCTACCCTGCGCGTGCCCTCACCTCGCCGGCTTTGGAATTGACCATGCCCGCTGGCCTCAGATGCCCCGTTCGCTTCGACCGGCCAATCCGCAGACCTCTTCGAATGTCACCGCGGCGAGCTAGGCGTTCAACTCGACCGGACTTTGTCGCCCACGTCGCCGATCGTCGCCCTCCTCGGTACAATCATCGCACCAAGAACGCGCGTGGCCCATCGTCTGTCGGGCCTGACCATCGACCATTGGTGTCTCGTACGACGCCTTCCGCATATAGGTACTATACAGTACCTCGGCATTCTCCGCCGCTGCGTCCGAGCCCCGACCTCGGCCGCAGTCCCTCGTACCTCCAGTCGTTCTGTCTGCCCGGCCGCGGCCGCGGTAGACTGAGGCATGTGTCTCTACACAGCACTGAGTCCAGATACTTATATTCTGTGCCTAGATCCTCACTGCGTTATTACCGCTGAATTGATGGTACCACCTGCGCCCGTCATGCCCCCGCGCCAACACCGAACAGACCGCCTCCAATTGCTGTCCTATCTCGCTCGTTAGACTAGAGGACTCCCTCGTTTTCCCTCCACGCGTCGTGGCGCACAACTGATGGTACCGGCTGAGCCTCGCGATTCGACTAGAACCCCGCGCGCCGCGGCTGTGTGCGCGATTCTCAAGTTCGACCTCAACGCAGAATGCCATTTCGGACATCATTCAACGTAAGGCCACTCCTTGCGTCCGCCTACGCACGTGCACAGTGAGTGGTTCGCACAGGTATTCGCGTGGGCCCGCCAACACCACAGCACATGTCCCTTGCCGCCGCATGACTCGCATCGCGTTGAATTCCGAGCCACCCACCATGCGCGGCGCCGCCCAATGCCGCAGCGGAGGCGTCTGGAGTCCCCCTGACACAATATATTTCTTCGCTGAAACCATGCGGTGCGCTCGGTACGAGTGCGGCTGGAGGAAACGCCACAACTGCCTGCAGAAAATGGTTGTACTAGTTAGACATGCACGCGCGGGGCGTCGTCGCACAAACTCCTGGTCCCGAGGGTCTTGCGGATGAGGTGTGGGTACTTCAAGCTCGGGCTGCCGTCCGAACGCTTGACCCCGCCATCGGATACACACGACAAACGGAGCGGGTCCGGGTACATCTGCGCAAGAAGATCGAGAGGGAATTAGGTGAGCAACATTCTCTTCGTGCGCGCACTTGGCACGCACCGACGGTACGCACCTCGCAGCACACCTCACTGGCGACCCGACGACCGAGATGCGGTGGACTTTGGAGCGGCTCGCGAAGCACTGCACCCTCGTCGAGCACCGGCTGCGCATCGTCGGCCGGCTGCACGGTACCAAGTTCGGCAACCCGAGCGACAATGCGGCGAGCTTGGACGAGCTCGTCGGCCTCCACCGGCCGTGGGACCGCGGCGACCTGCGCTTCGAGCGCGTGAGTGTCGAGGAGGCGGAGGCCGCGAGGGCGAACTGCGAACTTGCGGCGCCAACGCCGTTTGTTGTGGCGCGGGGATCGCGGTCGGACGAGGGAGAGCGGCGGGACCCAGGTGTACGGTCGTCGAGTTGGGGATGTGGCAGTGGTGGACGTCTTGCATGGTGACCAAGGCTACAGCTTTCTGTTCAAGCTACTTGTGCCTGTAGTAGATCCATCATATCCTGTCTGGGCCACGAAATATGATCAAACGTCATATCGAAGACGAATGAACATCAGCTGCTACCGTTCTGCTACCATCATTTGTCGTGCAGACAAAAGACGACCTGTCCCGATCTGGCAGAGTCGGGCGCTATCGGGCACTACCGTTAAAAACACCTTTTGCTGATGTGCCCGTGCCCGAAACACGTTCGAAGGCCGTGCCGGCACCACAGCGCTGTCGGGAGAAAGAGATCGCACGATGTCAGTGACCGCGGGGCGAGAAAATGGAGCACGCGGACCTGCAGTTCGTAGCGCTCCACCCCACCGCGCGCTTCGTCGCCCCAGAACCTCGCGGCAGGGCGCCGCGCCTGCTGGAGTGTGTGACACGCGCGACGAGCTGCACTGCCGCCGTTGCTTGATCAGGACCGTCCACTGGCGTGCGGGACGGTGGACGCGTATCGGAATCGAATTCGATGAGCGTCGTCGCGTCGTGGTGTCGTCGCTGGTGAAGGTGACGAGAGACGGGAGTCGTCGAGGAGGAAGAAGCGATCGCGCGCGACGGCACGCGCGCAGGTCCGCGTCCATCAGCGCAGCGACTGCCGCCTCCGTGTGGTCGAGTACGCCCTCGACGAGCGGCGTGAACGCGTCTTGCTAGCGTATAGCCCGTCCGCCGACTGCAAGGGGAGCCCGAGCCAGTCCATCTGGATGGTGTCGACTGCCTTCGCTTGAAGTGCTGCCAACCCAGACGGAGGTCGAGCATCACGGGCTGGCGTGGAGAGAGCCTGCCAGAGATGCGCGCGAGGGAGAGCGGCATGCGAGGGACAGATGGGGTAGGGAACGGTGCCGGTGAACCCGGATCCTCCGGAGGCAGTCGAGGATTTCGGGAGCGGGGATTCCGGTGTTGGGGTTCGGCGAGATGCTGCGGTCGATGTTCGAGTTGCAGCATTCACCAGGTAAGAGGTGCCGTCACTGGCGTGTATAACGTTACATAGACGTGGTCCCTGGATGAGCGCAGACGTTTGCAGGTCTCAGGACTCACACGAAACCGCCGAGGCACTGGCGCCTGTCTCTGGCGCCGTAGGTCGTGCTCGCGAGCATCGTGTGGGTGACCGAGGGGTAGAACTCTGAAGCGTCGAACGCGAAGACGGACGTGCAGGGTCACCGGTCATCCCGCACGCCCACGTTTGGCGAGTGTGGTGCACGAGCATGAGGCCAGCGTCGACCGTATAGCCCTCTCCTTCGTCCGACCGCGGAACTGCCAGGCGGAGTTTGCGCGGTCAGCGCATGCGTCTACTAACATGGGTAGGCTGTATATTTTCTCTTCAGCTCACTTACCGCTCACTCCCCGTCCTGCTCCCCACCCACATCCACTCCCACATCCCATCTCGTGAGATCCGGTGCTCAGGGAAAACTTCACCGCAGTCGCTTCACTATGCCACCCTCGCCGACCGTCTCTGCCAAGCATTCACTGCCCCGCGCTCCGGTACGCACAGACTTGAATCACCCATTGACGCGAACGACCGGCTGACACACTCACACTCAGACCTCGGCGCATTTATCCATTCAACAAACCTCAGGCACAGCTCGTCTCCCTGAAGATACACCCTCCTCCGTGACGCTGCCAGTATGCCTGTTTTTTTCTTTTCGCAAACTAAAATTGCTCACACAGTTCGATCAGGCGAACGCGTCCCTTGACAAGGTCTGTGTCCTGCTGAAGGAGATTCTTGACGAATTCAAGAGGTATCGTGTGATCGTTTCCACGTCCCTCTCGTATGCTCACCATTGATCAGCGCCCACAAGCGGCAGAAGAGGGGATTGGAACAGAACGGAACGTTTGTGGGATTGAACCCGTGAGTACATCGTTCACTTTCTGCCAGATACTAGAGATTCATGGGGTGCGCAGACTCGTATCGAACCATCATTCGCAGCAAGAGATACAGCACTGCCGGATCTACGCGACAATGTGATAGTACGTCCCGCATCATCTTACTTGTTTGTATTATCATATGCTGAATGTTCTGAACGATAGATCTTGCCTACTAAGAATTTCAAGCAGGCGGAGATCGATGCGGCATGGAACGAGACTAGGACGACGGTGGAGAAGTACAGCGACGAGCTCGTCGACCAGTGGAACAAAGAGATCGACGGCCTCTTGACCTTTGTACGTCTCGACCTTCGTGCCTCGGCAGTGACACTCACCCGTGATCACTCAGGACGGTCTATTCTCTGCCGCTCTCACCGCGTTCAACACCATCGCCTTCGCAATGCTCCAGCCTCAAACAAGCGATCAAACCAACGCGATCTTGACACAGGTCTCTTCCCAGCTGCAAAGCTTCGCGCTCAATCCCTCCTTCGTCAACTCCACCACCTTGGCGTTCCAGGATATCGTTACGACCCCCTTTCGCCCCGAGACCTGGGCCGTATGGGTGAATGCGCTCTGGTTCACTAGTCTCACCTTCAGCTTGTCGTCGGCGACGATCGGGATCATGGTAAAGCAATGGCTCAAAGAGTACAACACCGGGCTGTACGGGTTCTCCGCACCAATCACACGACGTCGCATCTACCGGCTCTCGAACCTCAATAAGGCGCACATCCCTTTCATCATCTCGCTCGTACCTCTCTTTCTTATCGCCGCCGTCGTTCTCTTCTTTGCAGGCCTCCTCATCCTCCTCTTCCACTCCGACGTCCGCGTCTTCTCCGCCACTGCGGTGTTCGTTGGGATGCTCCTGCTTTTCATCATCGTCACAACCATCGTCCCTCGATCTATCCCTCGATTTGTTACTTTTCGCCTCAATCCAGGGCCTTCCATTCTCTCTGGAGCGTCATTCTCAGCTTCTACTCGCTCGTTTATGGTTCAATAATACGTGCCCTCTGCTCGTTTTCTAAGACCCTCTACCTGAGCCATTGGGGTTACCTTGAAACTGCCACCGTGGGGTGCAGACAGGCCTTCTACAAATTTTCATATTTGTTGAGGTTTCCAAAGCCTAACACTGTATGGAAAGGCGACGAAGAGGCCATTATCTCACGAAACGCAACCAATCTCGACGCCCAGACGGTCCACTGGGCGTTGGTCAGCTCTCAAAACACCGGCATGGCACACACGGCTACGATCTGCCTATCCGGCGACCCCCAGGTTGCCAAGTCGTATCGGGATGGACCTTCAGACGCCTCTCGGACCTCTACGGGTCGGTACTCCACTGGCCAGACTTTATGGTGAAGATGTTTACGACCCCCCTCTTGAACGTGTCCGGCGGGTTCTCTTTTCAAGAAGTGCCCGAGGGCGGAGGAGACGAGGACGCCAGCTCTCCGAGAACGCCCGCTTCATCGGAGTATAACAAGACCGTGGCCCAACTGCTCTTCAGCATGCAAAGAACGGTTGAACCCGCGAGGGCAGACTTGGAATGGGACAGACTGTACTACAACCGTAACGTGTTCCAGAATATCAGTGACGCCGAAACGTTGCAACTTGGTGCGTCTGCGACTTCACCTTGAGTCAACCCTGTCCAAGTCAGAGCGCTGACCGTGACCGCAGCTGCCTTTGTGGCAGCTCACCGGATGCAAACGCTCGTCAGCGACCGTGGCCTCCGACACGCAGACCTGCCTTCTGAAGACGCCCTCGCCGGGGAGTTCAAGTTCATGCGGAAGCATATCCGCCCCATCCGGCAACTCATCGAGTACTCGGCGCCCAGGATCCGCGAGTGCGACGGCATCGCTGCGATCCAGCCGTTCGTCGCGCACGCGTTCTCCTCCCTCGAAAAGCTCCTCAACACGATTGACTGGTCGCTGCCTGTATCGCTGGACGAGGCCTGCTACTGGTTCGATGACATCCCGGAGGACATACTCCAATTCCACTCCCATTCCTCAGACGGCATCCGCCATCTGGTCACACCGTCGCTTGTTGCAGCGCTCGAGCACGTGTTCATGCAGCTCGTTGGAACGGAGGACTGGCGTCACATGGACCCGCGGAGTCGCCGAGTGGACATGTGCAAAGATCGCCTCCTCGATCTCACGTCGAAGGTCCGCCGTGCCGGGCCCCCTCCACCGGATGCGTCGTCTTTCGCCGCAGGTCCTCAATCGGAGAAACCGAACGTCCAAGCTGTGGAACCCGAGTTCGTACTATCCGTCCTTCCCATTTGTGGGACTCCCGAAGCTGACCACGTCTTCGCACAGCCCTGCGGATTCCATCGCGGTGGTGAACCCCGCTGCCACTCCACACGAAACGTCGCGGCGCCCGACGCAGTTCCTGCCACTTTGCCGGCAGCACCCACGGATATACCGCGCGCACCTTAGATTTTCGTCGTGCACGGGTTGAAGCGATGGCGTGTCGTGCGCAGGACTCCCTGAGGACGTGGGGTAACTGGTCTCGGGCTTCATTCTTTCGCGTATATCTGTATGGCGAGAACAGAGAATGGATTCAACGGAATAGTACCTTGTGATGGCAATCAGAGGCGAAACTTCGTCCTCCAGCTCCGCTTCCTCTTTTGAGTCAGCAATGCTGGTCCCGGTTGAAGTCAACGAGGTTACAAGATGTCATCGAACGATATGAGCAAATAAGAAGTACACGGTCGGGCCTGATTATATGTCAGCCATCGTCAGTTGTTTCGACGCCAGAGCTCCTCCACGGGCCAAGTCGCTGTTCTGACATCGGGCACTGGAATCAGAACCAGACATAAGCAGTTTTCCACCGACAGGGGGAAGCAGGGAAGGCACTCACGGTGATGGTACACGGGGAACGGCGCACCTCACGAGCCAATTGAACACCTGGGCCTTCGATGGTCCAGGTTCATCGTCATGGAACTCGTCTCCCTCGACGCGCACCCGGAGGACATCGCCAGCGTCGACGCATATCCGACAGTAACCGGGCGCGAGTGAGCTTAGCGGCGCGAGAACAAGGCAGACGAGACGTACGTCGGACACCATCCTCATCCCAGGACTTGACCTTCGTGAGGATGACCTCGGATACAAAGGTACGGAAAACACAGATAATTGGTAGTCGTACCTCCACCAGTGCAAGACAGACTCACCGATCTTTGGACCACAGACATGCGCACCTCACGAGCCTGTTGAACTTCACCCTCGTGGGCCTTCGGCGGTCCAGGCTGATCGTCATGGAACTCTTCTGCCTCGACGCGCAACCGGAGGACATCGCCAGCGTCGATGTGCATCCGGCCCTTCAAGGCCGAGTCGAGGAGCTCGTGAGACGAGGCTGTTTCTGATCCCAGCAGCCAGAAATGTGTTCGCTCTTTTGGGTCGCTGGGGGCGGACGGGCATGGGTTTCGGGAAAGAGATGATAGAGAGAGGAGGACATACAAGGCGCAGGGGTCCAGCATGTAGACCAGGGGGACGTAGATGCCGTCAAGGAATCCGACAATGACTCGGCGCGAGTGAGCATCGGGGCGCGAGAACAAGGCCGAGGAGACGTAGGTCGGGCCCCAACCTCATCCGAGGAGTCGACCTTGACGAGGATGGCCTCGGATCCAAAGGGATGGAAGACGCAGAGTTGGTAGTCGTACCTCCGCCCAGTGCGAGACAGACTCACCGAACCACATCCATCCATCTCCGTGCCGCACCTTGCCCTGCCCTACCCCCGCGAGGTCAAAGACGCATATGCACAGACCAACGTCGGGCAAGGCACGTCTCGCCTTGGCCTTGTTGATCCCATTGGTGATAGCTTGTTCCGGGAGTAGGCGGAATGTACAGCTACTTCGTCCTGTCGGGTTCACGTTAGACATAGGCGGTTGCGAAGGAAGACGCGCGGACCTCGGTTATGGAGAACTAGAACATAGAGGGCGGGATTCGGGATTCTTCTCGACGCCTAGATGCTTTCCAAGCACGAAACGGGCTGAGAGAGCGCGAGGATGGGTAGAGGGCGGAGGAGATGAGCTCGCTCGACGCGGCGTCGACTTGCCCTCGTCCACCTCCCGTGGACCCGCGCGCATGACGCAATCGAGCGCCCGCGGCGATGCGCAGCGCCGCACTCGGTCGCCCTCTCGCCCTGCGCTTCGCGCACTTTGACTGAACGCAGGGCGCACCGCGGCCGACACAACGCCTCATCCGGCGGCCCTCGACGCGTCAAGACTTCGCCCAACACGCTCGCCTCCGCGCCGTCGCATCCCAGTGCGGACCGCAGTCGAGACAACCCGTCATCCGCAGTATCCCGACGCTTCTCGACGCGACGACCATCGAACATCGCCGCCCCGCTCCAGCACGCCTCCTTGGCTATCCCGTCGGTCATTGCACAAGCTTCGATGTGCTCTGTCAACGAACGCTCACAGTCAGCGGCACCCAGCAGGAAATCGGCCGTCCAACGTACCGTACCCTGGCCCACACCCCGACGCACTCCCCGCCGCCAGGCATCATCCAAGAACCCGTCCGCGAGCGTGTGCAAACCAACCAGACGCATACCGCCACTCCCGATTTCCGTCGTTGTCACCTGGCCCGGAGCGGGATGTAAACCATAGCGTGCTTGGGGCTGACCACCCGTACGTGCTCATCTACCTTCTCATCCTCCCAGCCCTCCCCCCAGCCAAGACTCCCCTTGCCGACTCTCATACCGTCTGCACCCCGTCGTTCTCCCGCGTCTGTTTCCTGCCAACGTCCGCCCTCCACGCTGACCACGTCCTGCCATCGGCTGTGTTCGCACAGAAACGCGCCAGACGGCACCGTCGCCGCCCACTCATCGTACCTGGCCTCACCTAACCTGAACGCCCCAGGCCGCCCGGTCCTAGTTGAATGTGACCCTGCCCGAGGTGGGTGCCCAACGTCTTTACACCAAGATCCCACGCTCACATCCCGTCCAAACAAAGAATGTGCAACATACGCTCGCGCTCGAGATGGACCATTCGCTCTCGCAGAACCCGACTCACATTACATAGTCTCCGCATCCGCATTGTCCTACGCTAGCGAGCAACACAGCTCTTTTCCCCGTTTTCGCCCTTCCGCTCCGCGTGCGACCGTCACACGCGTCTACATACATACCACCTGGCGCCGCAGGAGGTTTTTCTTTTTCTTTTGTCGTCCTCGTTTAACGCCCTATGGTAGGCGTACAGCAAAAAAGCTAAATCTACACGATCGGGCTGGGTTCTCGACTCGGGGGAGGAGGAGGTTGGCTCACAGACATGGTGTGATTGACCACCCCGCGCGCCCACGTTCAGCGAATGTGGTGCGCGAGCATGAGGCCAGCGTCCACCATAACCTCTGCTTCGTCCACCGAACTGCGATGGATGCTAGAAGACACCCTCGTTGAAGTGTCGTTCGGACTGAGCGCTACCCTCCGGACAAGCGCTCCGCTTTTATCATCTCACGCTCTAGCACGAAGCACGAGGGAATCTACATGTACATTCCCTTCAGAGGTCGAGTCTCCTACCATCTGTCTACCCGCCAGACCTATCCCACTAGGCACTACACGCGATTAGGAAGCTCAGGAGCACGATCGACCGGCACGCCTTCGTTCGAGTATCGTCTTTCTTGGGCTTGGGAATCACGACGTGAATAGTGACGGCAGTAGGCATGGTGAAGGCAAGCACTGTTCGAGATGTCGTACCATGGAGCGCCTCCCACCTTACGTTGGGCTAGACGAGAAGTTGAACTTTACATACATAAGCTCGGGTGCTAATCGGCCCTGGAGGTTTCCGTTGCCTCGCGGAGTTTGCGCGGTCAGCACATGCGTCTTTTCTCTCCAGCTCACTCCCTGCCCACGTCCCGTCTCATGAGATCCGGTGCTGAGGGGAAAATCCATCCTAGTCAGCCTCGCTATGCCGCCCTCGCCGACCGTCTTTGCCAATGAATTACCTCGCACTCCGGTACGCACATACTTCCGTCGCCCAATGACACGAACGATCGACTGATACACTCACACTCAGACCTCGACGCCATCGCCTCTCCAAGGAGACTCTACAGAGGATCATCGGGACTCAGACACGGCTGGTCTCCACGAAAATACACGCCCCTCCGTGACGCCCCCAGTATGTGTGTCCCTCTCTTTTCAGACGCCAAATTCGCTCACGGAGTTCGATCAGGCGAACGTGTCCCTTCACGATGTCTGCGCCCTGCTGAAGGAGATCCTAGACGAATTCAAGAACGTATGGTGTAGACGTTACATAAGTGCTCCCTTGATATGCTCACCATTGCCTTGTCATTGTCAACCAGCGCCCACAAGCGGCAGAAGAAGGGATTGGAACGGAATACAACACTGATGGGATTGAACCTGTGAGTGCATCGTGCAATTGCTGCCAGATTGAGATTCACGGAGTCTTCTGTCTCTGCAGACTCGCGTCGAACCATCACTACCAGTAGGAGATACAGAATTGCTGGATCTACACAACGGTTCGATAGTAAGTCTCGCATCTCACTCATTCAATGCGTTATGATATGCTGAATGTTCTGGACGACAGATCCTGCCCACCAATAGTCACAAGCAGGCGGAGATCGATGCGGCATGGAACGAGACTAGAAAGACGGTGGAGAAGTACAGCGACGAGCTCGTCGACCAGTGGAACAAGGAGATAGACGGCCTCTTGACCTTGTAAGTGTCGACGTTCGTGACTTGGCAGTGACCCTCACCCACGACCACTCAGGACGGTCTGTTCTCTGCCGCACTCACCGCGTTCAACACCATCGCCTTGCCATGCTCCAGCCTCAAGCAAGCGATCAAACCAACGCATCCTGACTCAGGTCTCTGCCCAGCTCAAAAGCTTCGCGCTCAGTCCCTCATTCGTCAATTCCACCGCCTTGGCGTTCCAGGACATCGTGCCGACCCCGTTTCGCCCCGAGACCTGGGCCGTTTGGTTGAATGCGCTCTGGTTCACCAGTCTTACTTTCAGCTTGTCTTCGGCGACGATCGGAATCATAGTGAAGCAATGGCTCAAAGAGTACAACACCGGGCTTTACGGTTCTCCGCACAAATCACACGACGTCGAATCCTCCGGCTCTCAAACCTCGACAGGGCGCACATCCCTACGATCATCTCGCTTGTGCCGCTGCTTCTGATCGCCGCCGTCGTTCTCTTCTTCGCCGGCCTTCTCGTTCTCCTCTTCCACTCCAACATCGTCGTTTTCTCCACCACTGCGATGTTCGTTGGGACGCTCATGCTTTTCATTACATTCACGACGATCATCCCCTCGATCTATCCCTCAATGTGTTACTTTTCGCCTCAATCCAGGGCCTTCTTGCCTCTCTGGAGTGTCATTCTCGCTTTCTACTCAGTCATTTATCATTCATAATACGTGCCCTCCTCTCTTTTTACGACACCATGACCTTCTACTTCAGGTATACTAACTACTTTGGAAGTGTCTGGTGGCGCAGATTGTGGGCCTTCCACGAGTTCTTGTCCTCAAGAAGGCTCCAGAGCCCATTGTATGGAAAGGCGACGAAGAGGCCATCGTCTCGCAAAACACAACCGATCTCGACGCCCAGATGCTCCACTGGGCGATGGTCAGCTCTCAAAACATCAGCATGGTGCAAGCGGCTGCGACGTGTCTGTCCAACGACCCACAGGTTGCCAAGTCGTATCGGGAATGGACCTTCGGACGCCTCTCGGACCTCTACGGGTCTGTGCTCCACTGGCCAGACTTTATGGTGAAGATGTTGACGATCCCCGGCTTGCACGTGTCCGACGTGTTCTCTGTCGGAATGTCCGAGGGTGGAGGAAACGAGGACGCCAGCTCTCCGAGCACGCCTGAGTATAGCAAGACCGCGGCCCGACTGCTGTACAGCATGCAAAGAACGGTTGTACCCGCGAGCGCAGACTTGGAATGGGACAAAATGTTGTCCGACGGCACGCTCATGAAGATCCGTGATGCCGGAACATTGCAACTCGGTGCGTCTACGACTTCAATTTCAACCCCGTCAGAGTCAAAGTGCTCACCGTGACAGCAGCTGTTGTAGTAGCAGCTCACCGGATGCAAACACTCGTCAGCGACCGTGGCCTCCGACGCGCAGACCCGCCTTCTCAAGACGTCCTCACCAGGGAGTTCAGGTTCATGTGGAAGCATATGGGCCCCATCGGGGACCTCGTCCAGCTCTCGGCGCCCACGATCCGCGAGTACGACGGCATCGCTGCAATCCAGCCGTTCGTCGCGCACGCATTATCCTCCTTCGAAAAACTCCTCGACACGATTGACTGGTCGCTTCCTGTATCACAGAACGACGCCTGTGAAGCGTTCTACTGGAGCCTGAAAAACGTACTCGAATTCCACTCCCATTCCTCAGACGGCATCCGCTGTCTGGTCACACCATCGCTCGTTGCAGCGCTCGAGCGCGTGTTCATACAACTCGTTGGAACGGAGGACTGGTGGCGAATGGGGCCGCAGGGCTTCTGGGTGGACGAGTGCAAAGATCGCCTCCTCGCTCTCACGTCTTTCGCCGGGGATCCTCAATCAGAGGAACAGAGCGACGACGCAGCGGAACCCGAGTTCGTACCCACCATTGCCATTCGTGGGATTCCCAACGCTGATCCCGCCTCATAGCCCTGCGGATTCCCTCGCGGCGGTGGACGCCGCCGTCACTCCATACGAACCATCCACGGCGCCTGACGCAGCTCCCGCCACTTTCCCGGCCGCCTTTACGGATATCCCACGTGTGCCTTAGATTTCGTTGTGTATGCTGGCCTACGGGAGGACGTGGGACTGGTTTGTAGGAAGGGACTCGGGCTTATTCTGTTGTGTAAGTCTGTATGGCGAGGACAGAATAGCTTGTGACGGCCGTCAGACATGAAATGCTATCCTCCAGCTCCGCTTCCTCTTTCGAGCCAGTAATGCTGGTCCTGGTTGAAGCGGACGAGGTTACAACATGTTATCGAGATACAGGCAAAGACAAATACGCGGTGCGGTGTGATCACATAGTATCAGCCTTCATCCATTGTTTCGACGCCGGCGTTTCTCCACCACGAGACTGGGCCAAGTCCCTGTTCTGACATCGAGCACTGGAACCAGATCCAGACATCGGCAACTTTTCACCGACACAGTGAAGCATAGAAGGCACTTACGGTGATGGTATACGGGGGCCGTCGCATCTCGCGAGCCTGTTGAACACCCTCATGCGCCTTCGGTGGTCCAGGCTCATCGTCATGGAACTCGTCTCCCTCGACGCGCACTCGGAGGACATCCCGGCGTCGATGTACATCCGGTCCGTCAGGGGCGAGTCGAGGAGCTCGTGAGATGAGGTTACTTCCGATCCCGGCAGCCAGAAGTGTGCTCGCTCTTTCGGGTCGCTGGGGCGGACGGATATGAGTCTCGGGGAAGAGATGATAGACAAAGGGGCACGTACAAGGCGCAAGGTTCTGGAAGGTAGACAAGGGGGACGTAGATGTCGTCAAAGAATCCGACAGTGACTGGATGCGAGTGAGATTCGGGGCGCGAGAACGAGGCCGAAGAGACGTACGTCGGACACCGTCCTCATCGGAGGACTTGACCTTCGCGAGAATGACCTCGGATCCAAAGGGACGGAAGACGCAAAGACGGAAGATGACTTGGAGGAGTTGGTAGTTGCGCCTCCACCCAATGCGGGACGGACTCACCGACCTTTGTACCACAGACATCCATCTCCGTACCGCACCTTGCCCTCCCCTACTTCCGCGAGGTCGAAGACGCATATGCACAAGCCGACGTCGTGCAAGACGCGGTTCGCATAGACCTTGTTGAGTTCATTTGTGATGGCTTGTTCTGGAGGTAGACCGAATTGTGATGGATGTACAGCTACTGTGTCCTATCGGCTTCACGTTAGACATGGTCCGTTCGAGAGGAATCCGTGAAGACCTTGATCACAGAGAGCTGGAACATAGAGGATCGATAAAAGGCGGGATTCGGGTTTATTTTAGACTCCCAGGGTATACAGGTGGGAGAGCGGGATGGGGAGCACGAGGCGGTCGAGCAGGTGGGGAAGATCAACCTGCAGCAGATGCCATGGCGGGTCGCATTGGTCGCCTCTGATCTAATCTTATCTCTGCCAAAACTTCGGCGCCAAACGGCCAGCAGCCGACTCGACGCGACGCTGCTCGGAGAGACGACTTGCCCTCGTCCACCTCCATTCCCGCCCCTCCACCACCACCTCCCTCCCACCTTCTACGCGATGTCCGCCTCCGTGCCCCCTCCAAAACCGGTCATCAAAAGCAGCTGGCTGCCGTCCAAGTCCTTCCAGCACTTCGTCGCCGGCGGGTGAGAGTATGACGTCGCGTCCTCGTGTAGACGTGTCTGACCCGCCTCGCGCGCAGCTTGGGGGGCATGTGCGGCGCGATCGTCACAAGTCCATTCGACGTCGTCAAGACTCGCCTCCAGTCGGATCTCTTCCGCGGCAAGGTCGCTTCCGTGACCATCGAGGCCAACGGAGCCGGCACGCTCGCCGTCCGCCGCAACGTCCTCTGGCACTTTGTCGAGACGATGCACATTATCCGGTCCGTCCCTTCGCGCTCGCCGGCTCGCCTTTGGCTTTGACGCTTCAGTCTGCTCTGCAGCGACATCTACCGCGAGGAGTCCCGCGCGCGCTCTTCAAGGGCCTCGGACCCACTCTCGTCGGCGCCGTGCCAGCGCGCTCCATCAACTTCTTTACTTACGGCAACGGCAAGCACATCATCGCAGAGAACTTCAACCATGGCGTCGAAAACTCGTATGTCCACCTCGCCGCTGCCGCGATCGCGGGGGTTGCGACCGGCACCGCGACGAATCCCATCTGGGTCATCAAGACCCGCTTACAGCTGGACACCCACCCGGTCTCGTCCGCGACCGGCGCCGCGTCAGCCCCAGGCAGTCGTAACTTCCTGGGTGCGTCGATGGGCATGGCGAGGAAGATCCTGCGCGAAGAGGGCTTCCGCGGCTTCTACAAAGGGCTCAGCGCGAGCTACCTGGGCGTGGCGGAGACGACGATCCAGTGGACTCTCTATGAGCGCCTGAAGCGGTTAACGGCCGGAACGCAGAGCAGGGGTGGAGTGCAAGAGTGGCTGGGTATGATTGGGAGCGCAGGGTCGGCAAAGTGTGTTGCGACGCTGATCACATATCCGCATGAGGTGCGTCGGCTGTTCGTCTTACTTCGTGCTGCCCCTCATTTCACTCCTCCCCAGGTCATCCGCACACGACTACGACAGCCCCTGGTCAACGGCAGGATGAAGTACACTGGCCTTGTTCAGACGCTTCAGCTTGTCATAAAAGAGGAAGGCGTCGCCTCATTATACGGTGGGCTTAGTGCTCATCTTATGCGTGTCATCCCGAACGCGGCTGTGATGTTCTTCATTTATGAGGCCGTGCTACGGATGGCATAGTCTCTCTTTGCTTCTCCAATCCCTTTTTTATCATCGCCCCTCCTATTCCCTCATACTCTCTCCACCTCCCGCCCTTCACCACTTCATGACCTTATCTCGCATTATGTGCGCTTTGTTGCACCGCTATCGATAACGCTTTATCATGGTATAATGGCCCCCACCCCTCACTCACTCATCCACCGTACACTATCGCACATATCAATGTACAATACAATAGATCTCATGGATATTTCTCTATTATGGGCACATAGATAATCCGGTTCCAATTCACCTTCGTCTTCACGGAATCCCGTTGTTCGCACGGCGAGGCTCCCTATAAGATGGGCCGTCGACGTTGCTTTGAGTGCCCATGTGGGAGACCTGCATGCGGAACTATCAAATGACAAGAAAGAGGGGTTAGCATTGATGTGAGAGTCGAGCGTCGGTTCTTCAGCTTCACCGAAGGACATGCCGGTGTCATGACAAGCGAGAGAGGGTGAGAGGAGTCTGACAGAGAATGTATCAGTCTGCCCCGCTTCAGTGAACAATTGTGCTTGCACCGGATCGAGTGATGAATGGGACATAAGCAAGCAAGCAGCCCGCCGCGTAAGGAAGAAGATCGACCCGTCATTCAAAAATTGTTACAGCATGATTACAATACTACCAAACAATCCGCACCTCCTCCGTCCGAAACCGTCGGCGCCCAGCCTCAGTTCTCGCCGCGGCCGAGCTTGTCCAGCGAGCGGGCGCCCTGCTCGAACCACTCCTCACGCGAGACCCAGAACTCTTCCCGGTTCTTCATGATGTCCGCGAGGACGGCGCCGCCGAGGAAGACCATGTGCTTCCGGCGCGGGGGGTCTTCGATGCGGATCTTGAATTTCTGAGGGCACAGGATTGGGATCAGCGCGAGGATGCGAATCGGACAGACGGAAGGGACGAACGTTCAAGCGTGAGGGGTCGCCGTTCAGCACTCGTGTCAGGTAGAGCTGCTTCATCTCCTTCTCCAGTCGACTTGGCAGGCCGGGGTACATACTTGACCCGCCGGAGAGAACGATGTGCTTGTACAGCTCCGAGCGCACATCTACGGCAGCTGCCTGAATGGTTTGGAAGAGCATTTCTGGGTACACATATAAGAAACCGAGTGCGCAGAAGATGGTATGATGTGAACATACCTGCAACACCCGGCTGCTCAACGTCTACTAAGTGAGGCTGGAACATACACTCTGGAGCCTCAAAGCGTTCCGAACCGATTTTGATGACACGCCCATCGGGTAGCTGCGCGAGTGTCAGTTGCGCACGAAGTCTCGTAGCAACGGCCTGAGTGGAAGAACTCACTGTGTAGGTCTCCACAAGGACGGTCGTCTCCTCCGATAGCCGTGTGTCCTGGTCGAGGTCGTATGATACATAGCAAAGCTTCTCCTTGATCTCCCGCACAGTCTCAAAGTCCGCCGTCCGGTTGAAGGCGTACCCACGCATGAGGAGAAGCTTGATCAGATAGCGAGTGACGTCGCGGCCGGCGATGTCGAGACGTCGGGTGAGATGGGGTAACGAGAAGCCGTCGAACACGGGGACAATGTGTGTCACACCGTCACCAGAGTCAACGACGACACCCGTCGTGAGACCTGGCGGGGAGTTAAACGACATTGGCAAGCGCACCTGGAGGAGGCGAGAGTACGCAAGAGACAGGAGCAGGACGCACCTTGCGCATACAACGTGAGCACGGCCTGGATGGCAACATAGACCCCCTGGAAGCCGTACTCCTCGAACATGACCTGGGCCATGCGCTGCCGGTTCACTTTCGGGTTCATCGGGGGCTCGGTGAGGAGGACTTTGCGGCCGCGGGTGTCGACGCCGAGCTTCTCGTCGAAGGTGTAGTTCCAAAGGAGCTTCATGTCCTCCCAGTTGCGCACGATACCGTGCTCCATCGGCTGCGTGACTTGGAGATAGTTGCGGTTCTGGGCGGCCTCGTCACCGATCATGACATCCTTGATCACTGCTGAGCCCGCGACGCGCTCCTCTGCGCGAAGGATGGGCCGGCCGACGATGGAGGGGAAGACTGCGAGTGGTAATACACAGAATGAGCATACATGAAGCAAACAGATGAGGAACGCGAGTATTAAAGCAGTTGTTCACGGAAAAATGCAAGATGATAGCACAGATCGACGCACCATGTTCTGGGAAGTTGGAGCCGGCATACCCGACCTTGACGAACTAGATGTGCAGGCTGTGATGAGTGCCAAATACAAGTGATGTCGGGCAAGATACGCACGCCGGTACCGTTGTCAACGACGAGCGGAACTGACGGATCCATGGCAGAGGGAGGTCGTAGAGAAAAGAGTGGGTGTCGTGGGCGATGTCGTCGATGAAGGAGAGGTCGTCCTCGAGGAGCTGCCCGCGGGTTTAGCGCAGGCGCTTTGCGGGACGGCGCAGCCGGCGCGTCGCGGTGAGTGCGCCTGCAGCCTTTGCTCGCGACCCCGACCTCCTTTGCCCCTTCAACCCTTTCTCTCCCTCTGCCTGCACCCATAACTTCGCGCCCGACGCGCGTTCCGCCACATAATCCACCGCGCGTCTCTCATCTCTGACCCAGTCGCGTTCCCCATCTCCCACTCCTGATCAGTCATGGCGCGCGGGGCGGCCTCTCCCCCGGTCAACCTCCCTAAGGTCTCATTCGTGAAGGTCACCGAAGAGACGGCCAAGGCCGCCCCTGGTGTGCACGATGGGACGGCGCGCACTTATGGGTGTACGTACGCGCACATTTCCCCGCTCTCTGTTCCTGACCTCGCACAGACAACAACTTCGACCCCAAATTCGCTCAGCCACAACACTACATCCGTTACATTGGTGCGTTCGCGCGGTGGATTTGTTTGCCACTCAGCTTATACCGTCTTCAGAGCCTCTTGAGAGTGATCTCGCGACCCAGGTTGAGTATGATATGGATGAGCAAGGTGAGTCCTTTGTGAACCCTGCACCTCGTACGCTTATGAATACATCGTAGACCAAGAGTGGTTGGATGCTGTGAATATGGAACGAAAATCTCAGCAGCTCGACAAGGTCTCGTACGAAACCTTTGAGATCATCATGGACAGGCTGGAGAAGGAGTGGTTCGACCTCGTACGTCTCCTCGACTTGGTGGGCTTCTAGTTTTCTCTCACAAACGCGCATATAGTCGAAGAATGTCCCGAAAACCGACATGGGTCTTCCCTCTGAAGAGTCTCGTGCGCAATCTGCGACGATTCTGAAGGCGAGAACACGAACGCCATTGTCTTCTGCGACGGGTGCAATCTGGCTGTACATCAAGGTGAGTATAGTCGTCTGCTAGGATGGTCTTCGCGTTCATATCTCGTCCTTGACCAGACTGCTACGGTGTCCCATACATCCCGGAGGGGCAGTGGCTTTGTAGGAAGTGTACAGTCTGTCCTGAGGTCCCAGTAGTGAGTCGTTGTGCTAGGGGGTGCGCGATCTAGTCTCACTGCGTTTTCAGGAATGCATCCTCTGTCCCAACGAAGGCGGTGCATTCAAGCAGACTGTATCCGGAGAGTGGGTACATCTATTATGTGCCATTTGGGTACCGGAGACAGGGGTTGCGAACGACGTCTTCATGGAGCCCGTTACTGGTGTTGACAAGATCTCGAAGCAACGTTGGAAGCTGGTAAGCTCGGATGACTCTTCTCTCACCCGTGTGTTCATGTGTTGTAGAGGTGTTCTGTATGCGGAAAGAAGCAAGGAGCTTGCGTTCAGTGTTCTAAGCCCTCTTGTTTCACGGCCTTCCACGCGACATGTGCGCGCAGGGAGAAGCTCTTGATGCCCATGAAGGCCATTCAAGGTTCGGAGGCTCCTACTCTTGCGTGTTACTGTGAAAAGCATCTTCCGGCGAGTACCTTTTCAGGCGTCTTTGGCGATATTAACAAGCTGACAAACGTTGTTATTCGCAGCGAGAGCAGTACGACATCCGAGAAGCCATGTTGAGCGCACGAGAAATGGACATGGACGTTCTGCACCCCAGCCCGAAATCGAATAAGACCGCGCGTGCCTATGCGAAGACCTACAAGCCTGGTCCTCCTCTCGTACCCAAGATTATGGTCAACCGAATCATCCAGTACACCTCCCGCATTCACTTTCGTCAGAAGAGCGACTTCGTACACGCGGTGTGCAAGTACTGGAGCCTCAAGCGCGAAGCTCGGCGCGGTGCTCCCCTCCTCAAGCGCCTCCACCTTGAGCCTTGGACCGCTCTTTCTGGAACCAAGCAACACACCGACGAGGAGAAGGCGCTGAAGCTGGACGTAAGTGATTCCACAACTCTTTATTGTACAAAGGAGCTTAGTGGCTCTCCGCTAGTACATGAAACGGCTTCGTAACGACCTCGGTAGCCTCCATACTCTCGCCGGTCTAGTGAAGAAGCGAGAGAAGGCTAAACGCGAGCAGTACGAAGTCATACAAAGCGTTTTGGAACGCTTTTTCTTCCCTCACGAAGCCTACCTTCGCTACGCTTTCGAGAAGATCACAAGGTAGACCTGGATTTCTTCATCGATCTAAACATTACTCACGCATCATGCAGCCCAGACAGGCAGGACTATTTCAAGTCTCCAGTCAACAGAGCTGAGGTCCCCGATTATTACGATGTGATTAAAGAGCCTATGTGCTGGGACACTATCGACCAGAAGTTGGACCGACATGAGTACCTCGACTTGTCACAGTTCAAGGTGAGTATTACCTGAAAACGTCTCCTTCCGATGCTCATATTGTTCAACAGCATGACATCGAACTCGTCTTGGACAACGCGATAACATACAACGAACCCAATTCGCCATACTACAAGGTTGCAATGCGTATCCGAAATAACCTGCCGATGGAGCTGGATGCACTTGACAGTCTCATGAACCACTCACCCCCACCTCTTCAAGAGCCCATGGACGTCGACATCGAAGAAGATTCAAAACCCCCCGCCGAACCTCAACCCACGGCCTCCCCCCAGCTGCCCACTCTGCCCCCTCTCGGCGACCTCGAGCCACCATTCCCCATCCTCGATCTCCTCGAGTCGGAGGAGACCATCCGTCAAGCCACGACGCTCATCATCACCTCCAATCCCATCCAGTCCCTCCTGAATCTCGAGCACCCGCTCATCCGACCCCCTGCTCCTCCCCCGCCCGGTTCGAAGAAGGCCAGCGGGTCAACGAAGGGGACGGACCGCAAAGCCGCACTGGCGCGGAAGCGCGCAGAGCGGCAGGCCGCACTCGATGCGTCGCCTGGCTTCCGCTCGCTCCGGTCTCAAGGCGGGCCGTTCGACTTCGTGCCGCTCCGCTCGTCATCCCACCCTGCCCCTGAACCAGAGTCGGAGTCGGAGGCTCCCGAGCTCGAGGTTGAACCTGAAGCGGGTCCGTCGTCAGTTCAGGAGCCTGCGGTGGATGTCAACGCCCACGCCGACGAAAGTGTCGACATCGACATCGACATCGACATCGAAGGTGACGACGAAGCCGGTCCTGGCACCGTCAACCCCGATGGCCTTGAGGTCACCAACGACATGACTCAAGAACCGGAGGCGGCGACGGCAGCGCAAGAGCCAGGACCAGAGCAGGAACTTCAGCTTGAGCCCGAACCGGCAGAGCCTGAAGGGCAACCAGAAGAGGAGCCGGAACCTGTGAAGAAGCCACGGAAGCCCCGACAGCGCCACCTCCCTCCCCCACCGAAGGAGGTGCGCGATGTTGGCAGCTGGGACTCGTTCAAGCAGTTCGAACAGGGCTGGATCCTCCCGCCTGAGCAGAAGCGCGGAGGGCGTCGAGTCGTCGAGCGCGGGCCTGCGCCCCCGCCAAGAAAGAGACAGAAGAGGAGTACGCGCTTTCTCTTTCTTTCTTGTGTGGTATCCGCTTAAAAGGAGCTTCGCTTGCAGCGCACAACCGCAATCCAACAGAAGAGGCGAGCGTCATGTCGGCTGCGCCTGGGGCACGCTCGACTCCTCTAATGGAGCTCGAGGACGATCTGCGTCCGAGCCTGCAGCGGTTCCTGAGGCGTCTCCAGCTGCGTCTCTCGGTCGTCTGGCGCCCTCTGAGGAAGCTGTAGAACTCGATATCTCCGTGGAGATCCTCGATGACAAGGAAGAGGACCTTCCAGAGTTCCCGATGGAGCAAGCATCACAACCTCCGACCGAAGCGTCATGGAGCGTAAACGCCACGGAAGAAGTAATGGATGTATCCATGACCAGCGACCATGCCGCCGACGACGACCTTCCTTCCCCTCTCGATCGTGATGACATTCACAAAGATGATGACCCCTTCCCGAGGTTGTTTTTCCGACGTTCGACGACATTGCCATGGACGTGGATCAAGATGCTCAGCCCTCGCCACCGCCTATCGACGACCCCGATGCCACTGAAACGGAAGGCTCCGTCCACGCACCTGACCCAATCGGAGACGTACCAGTGCCTTCGTCACCTTTCAACCCGCCTTCAAACCAGTCGTCAAGCCCACCTCCAAGCTGGCCACAGACAATACTCCCGAGCAGCCGCTAAATCCACGTCTCCGCTCCCTCCCGACGAGTCAGCGATCGAACCAGCCGCCGAAACACCGCCGCGTCCCCCAAGCCTCCGCCCGAAGCCGAGTCCGAATCCACGTCCGAGGACGAGCGCCTCGGCAGATCATCATCGTCGAGCACCTCGACACGCCCGAGATCCGGCGCGCGAAGCAGCAACGCGCCCGGCTCCTCCGCGAGAACAAGCAGCGCGTCGCGGAGGGTCTTGCGCCGCTGCCCGTCCCTGCGTTCTCCGACCTCGTTAAGGACTGGACGTCCAGCCCGGAGGTCCCGCGCCCGACCCCCGCGCTCCTCGCCGCGCCGTCTGCGGTGCGCACGCAGAAACCGAAGCCCGTCCCGCGCCGGTGAACAAGCCTGGACCGAAGCCCGGGCAGAAGGCGAAGCTGAAGGCCCTGCAGCAGCTGCAAGCTCAGCAGGCCCAGCAGACGCGCAGACGCAGAGCAAGCAGAAGGGCAAGCAGAAGGCGCAGCCGAAGCAGAAGCAGAAGCGGCGTGGGAAGAAGGCGGGCGCGCTCGAGGAGTCGTCGGACCTCACAGACTTGTCGGACGAGACGGATGCGGAGACGGAGCAGGGCAAGCAGGCGCTCCCGCTAGTGGCTCCTCCACAGGCACGGATTGTGAAGCGGCGGAGGGTGCCGAAGCCGCTGGACCCGAACGAACCCGGCGTGATCACGCTCAAGCCGGGGGAGAAGCTCGAGGGAGGGACGCTCGGTATGTTGCCCTTTCGTGCGTTGCGTCACACACTCATACTTGCTTAGTGTGGGCGAAGATTGGCACCTTCCCGTGGTGGCCGGCCGTCATTTTCGAGGAAGACGACAGGGACATCCCGGCGACGGTGCTTTCGCAGAAGCCGACTGGCCTGGTTGGATGTGTGCTTGTGCGATTCTACGAAAAGAAACGAGCTGGTGTGTCCACCACCCTTACTTCTTGCGTCTAACGGTCGCTCAATCGCGTTCACAGGGCTTGGCTCCCGCTCAGGAACTTGCGATATCTCGGCGAGAACAACAGTGCGTTGCTCCGTATTTTCGTGCGTATCATAGGCGCTGATCATCGGGCATCGCAGCGTTGGACGGTCAGATGCTCGCCGCTTCGAGCAAGTATCAAACGTGGAAGAACTCCGTACGACGGACCGAGTGTCGCAACGCATACCAGTACGAGTGATTCACGGCGTGATCGAGGGTCATTTTTGCTAACCTCTGTCATAGGGACGCGCTTGCAGAGATGGAGCCGGAAGCAGCAGCAGCAGGGTTGGCCGGATCGTCAGGTCCTGGAGAAGGAGAGTTTTTGGAATCCCCAGATGTCGATGAGCAGCTGGTGCCGATGGACGTGGATAGTGCCAGCCCGACGGTAGGTGCAGAGTGAAGGCCCTTCGCAGACATATCACTCCTTGTCGTTGACGTTACCTTATGTATTCTTATTGAGCACGCGGTGTAATCCTTGGGCGACGACAGGATGGGGGGGCCGAAAGTGAGCATGTGGGCAATACTCCTATTAGTCGCCGACTACGATGTGTAAGCGTAAGGTTACGTAATACAAGTGGTCCTGTCTTGCGTCTGGTACAGAACCCAGTGTGCTCCCTCGCTTAGTCTCATCCTCCATTGCGCAATATCCATACCCTCCGAAGATCTTCCCAACCGCCGAGTCATATGAAACAATCCAAGCTCTCATTTTCGTCCAAGCGCACTGGCTCAACTCCTGGCGGGAAGACTGTCGCTAAGCCTGCGCTCTCCAAACGGCCCTCGCACACCTCGTCCAAATCTGGCTCCGCCTCCCCCTTCATCGTCCTCTCTGACTCGGATGAAGGTGCGGAAGACGGTGACGAGCGAGATAAGTCCCTCAGTGTGAAGCGACGGAGGAAGAACGCCCCTGCGCCGGCCAAGGAGCCCGAGGCGGAGAAGGAGCCAGAGGCGGAGAGGGAGAAGTTGGATGTGTCGGATAAGCGTTGGCGGAAGCTGTACGGCGCGACAAGGGAGCAGATGGGGCACATCGACCCTGGTGAGTGCGACAGTCCGCGACGATCAGGTGAGGCTTACATGGAGGCGCAGTTCATGCGAAGGGAAAGAACATGGTCGACCACATCCTCCGCGTCTTTGACTTGTGCGTCCTCCTCCTTCCCTCCCTTTCCATTGTCTCTCATATAAGGGGTGTTCAGGTCGTATGAGTATGGTCCGTGTGTAGGGGTCCCTCGCATGGAACGCTGGGAACGTGCGGAGGCTTTGGGCTTGAATCCACCCCCTGAGGTGAGGATATGCGTCGTTCACCTGACCTGTCGACTGATCCACCCACAGGTGAAGACTATCCTGCTCACCAGAGAGGGCACAGCCGACGAGCGATACTCCCTTTCCGTCTTCCACGGTGAAGTTTAGCGTTGTGCGTCCGTTCCCTCCCGTGTCATCTTGTACTATCGGTTGCTGTGGTGCGTTTCGTTTGAAGTTCGATATCTTTGTAGCCTGTGCTGCCTGTACTGTACGCGTTTATTTTACAGCCCCAATGTATGCGTTAATCTGTTGTGCTTTACACCTCCCAGCGCCCCACGACCACCCCCCTATCCTCACGCTTGATGTCCAGGACAGCTCCCTTCACCTCGAACCCCTTCAGCGACTCGACGTCGTACATGGACTCGGTGTCGCTCCACCGTCGGCTGACTTCGAATCCGGGCGACGAGACCGTCGACGTCGCAGCCTGGCGGAAGACCACCGTTTCCTGCGGGGTGCTCGTCAGGGCCTCCGGCGAGTTCATGTCGGCCGCCTGGCGGTCAGCTTCTTGCAGATGGATGAGGAAACGCGAGACGAGGATCCCGGTAATGCTGCAGGTGGGTCTCTGTAGGCCGAACTTCAGCGACGAAGAAGGAGCGACGCACGGGTGGATGAATAAGATAATCGTGCTCGACGCCTGGAACGGCAGCGTTTCCTGAGGTCGGACGTTCGGTGAGCGCAGTGCCCGTGTTTCGCGGTGGGCAAAGTGGAAGACTTACAGAAATCATCGTCAGAGTCACGTGCAGTGCGTTGAGCACAAGCAGGACGACAAAGTAGATCGCGCCTGCGTTGGCCGGCGGGTTCAGAAGCGTGAACGAGCCTTACGGACCTACGGTCGCCGGAGAATAGGCTTACCGTCTCGGAAGAGCACCTCCGCGAACGACAGTCTCGCGCTCTCGCGGGCCGCGCGCAGTGCACCACGCCTCACGGTTGCGAGCCAGGTCGCGATGACGAGCAGCAGGTCAGCCGAGATGAGGCCGCCTCTCGAAATGATGGTCACTGCGTCCGGGAAACGGTCAACGGTCGAGAATGATGTCGACAGGTCCAAGAGCCCTACGCCTATGCATTATTGTGGGTGAGGACGTCAAATGTTCTCGCGAGGCTGAGACTCACATTTTTCCAAGCTCGGGGGAGATGTTCTCTTCGATTACGCAGCCGAATCCGGGACATTGACGCCTCGTAGTCCGTTCACAAAGGCCAGGAGGTTGACTCCCAGGGGGACCATGGAGAGCGCGAGGATGAGGAGCGTGAAGGGGACGTTCTTGGACGTCAGTGCATATGCACGAAGCGCGGCGAAAGCTGTGGCTAGTGTGAGTGCGAAGTGACTAGATGCGCGTATGATCGCGGCGTGCACCTGCCCAGGGAACGTACTGTAGGTACGCAAAGATGTTCGTTATGAGCGTCATGGGCTCACAGCTGGTACCGAAGTCAGGACAAGGTAAGTTCAAAGGGATCGTGCGCACCTTTGAGGTGAAAAATGAAACAGTGCTCCTGACGCATCCATCATTGCGGTGATGAGGACGATGTATCGGTTCAGCAGGAACAACACCGAGCTGCCCTTTAGTCGTCGCCCGCGCCATGGCCAGAACAGGTTCACCTCGTCGCCGAACGTGATCGCATACTCAAACATCAGCAGCGCTAAGCCAGTAAATCGTGGGTCTGTTTACAATGAGCCAGACCCGTGCTCACCAGCGGTTGCGAGCCCGCAGAGGTTTCCCACGAAGCTACGGGAGGAGGCGGGAGGGGGTTAATTATGCGGTGCATCCGAAGAAGAGTGCCCACATGGTGTTGAGTGCCGCGAAGACCTCTGCGGCCTCCGCAGCGTCAGAAGACCCATCTCCTGAGGACATAGAGAGCGAAGGGGACTTCACTCCGCCAGGGAGAAGGGAATGAAAGCACGAATGCGCCCGGTTCAAAAGGAGGGCGAAGAGGTCAGTCAACTTCCCCCCACATACCACCAACTTATACTGACCAATGGATCACGGTTAATATTAATGTCTGTTGCAAGAGCAGCAGATCTGTCTGCAGCATAACAATGCCTGACGTTCAACTGCGGGCGCTGCAAGTTGGTTACGAGGCACTGACAGAGAACCCCTCACTAGGCTCCGGCGCAGACCGCGCGGGTTCTGATAATGAGGAGATATCAGAAGTACCCATGCCAGTCGAATGCAATCCTCGAACGACAACAAAGCAAGGTGATGACTACAAAACAGATTACGCAACGCCCCGGGCCAGTGTCTGTACATGCAAAACACAGCAGGAAAGCAATCGACAGCATCGTCACGCAGCACAGAAACCGTCCAATCTCACATCCGACGCTCGCTCACCGGCCATGGCATCCCGAGTCCCGGCACCCCTTCCTCTTCGTGCTCCCGCAGGTCACTCACCCACCCTAGCGTCTGGATCGTGCTCGTCGTCGACGTCGACACCGCCGAGCCGTCCCAGGCTGCCCAGGCCGCCTCATCCTCTCCATCTGCATCACGCTCTGCGTACCCTACCCGTGCGCGCTTGCGCGCCGGCTCCTCGTCGCTGCCCACTGACAAGCTCGACAGGTTGCGGCCGAGCGTGCGCATCGCCCCCGCACTCCTTCTCGCACGCCCGCTCCCCTCCGCGCGGCGCTTCTCTCCGACCTTCGCGCGCGAGTGCGCGCGCACCAAGGGCAGGGACGATTGTAGCTCGAACGTCGTCGGCGTACTTTCCCGCGTGGTGGTGGTGGTGGTGGTTGTGCGCGCGGTTTCGCGCACCTGCAGGCTCTCCATGATGATCGTCGCCCCGGAGCCGCCCATGATCGTCGTGACGGAGCCGGAGCTGGCCGATGACCTGGCGGCACCGGTACGAAGCATCTGCTGTTGGAGGGAGAGCTCGCGCTCGAGGCGGCGCGTCTTGACGCGGGCCTTGCTCTGCGTAAGCCAGGAGTGCTTTATGGCCTGTTCGGGCGCGAGGCGCGCGGTGGGGTTGGGCTCGAGGAGGCAGCGGAGGAAAGCCTCTCCTAAGGAACATGTGAGAAAGGGAAGATCAGGGACGCGAGCTAACGGACCTTCGCCGACGATGTTGTAGTCGTTCAGAAGCTCCCAATTTGGCCCCTCGTCTTCCTCATGGGAGTCCGCGAAGGGATGCCTCTTCGTCAGACTGATATCGGCGTCAGACCACTGCGTTGCTGGGGCGCGCGAAGACTCACATGAAATAGACCATGACGCCCAAACTCCAGCTGTCCACGACGCTGTCGTACCCATTCGTGCCGTGCGCCAACACCTCCGGGGCCGCGAAGCCGCGCGTGCCGCATTTGGTCTGCAGAACCGACAGCGAGTCGAGAACCTTCGCCAGTCCGAAATCGGAGACTTTGACGATTGGAGGATGCTCGGTAGTGAGGAGCACATTTTCGGGCTTGAGATCACGGTGCACGATGCCCAGCCGGTGCATGTACTGCAGCTGGTGTTAGTGACAATATCGAGTTTGGAGAGAGGCCGGGTAAGATGACCTTGAGCGCATCGCAAATCTGGTAGGTCATGTCTTGCGCTTCTGGTTCGACTGTGGTCCAGTCAGTTACGTACCGGGGGAAATGGGAAGAGCACGTACGCAGAACATCCCGCTTGTACAAATATGACATCAGATCTCCTCCGGGACACAGCTCCAGCACAATGCCTACGTGACGTTAGCGCGACGTTTTGTCGACCTTAATTGGCACTCACTGATGCTATCGCCCTCGTAAAACGCCTCTTTGAGCCCACAGATGTTCGGATGATTCATCATCTGCAAGATCGTCACTTCCTTCATCAAGCTCTTCGTCGTCGTGCTCTCCCCGATCCCGCGACTCAGCGACGTGTCGAGAGCCTGACGAAGCCGATCCCCAGGGAACATCTTGATCGCGTACCACACACGCTCGCGCCGGTGCAGCGCACGCACGACGGTCGCATACGCGCCCTTGCCCAGCACGTGCGAGATGTCGTACAGGTCGTAGAGACCTTCCTTCGCGCCGTCCGCGGGGTCGCGGCGGATCGCGGCCATGTGTCGGAAGATGTAGCCTGTTCGCGCGGGTGAGTGTCAGGATCAGCAGGCGAGGGCGGTGCGCACGGTAATCCTCCTTTGGTCGCGCATCCTTGTCCTTGTTGGTCACCGGAGGCCCGAAGGAGATCTGGCTCCAGTCCTTCAGGAGCGAGGATTCGCCCCGGCCGAGTTTCCTGTCCCCAATCTGAAGGCGGTCGTCACTGAGTAAACGTTCGCGTAGATCGGCGTGCAGATCCCTACGAAGGTGCCGTTTGACGAGTTGCAGTCCGTGATGATCACCGAAGACTTTGAGTGGTCGCCGTCCCACTCGATCGTGCAATGTGTCTGGCCTTCCTTATCGACGTCAGCAAGGCTACCGGGCGCTCACTCGTGCTGAGCGAGCGCCCTGGAACCAGCTCGTGAGCGAAAACGGTGGACTTACTCATCTTGGCGTGCAAAGGCAGAACGACGTCGTTCAGTCCCTCCTTCCTGCTGCGCCCGAAAGTGTACTTGCGCTGGTTGTGGCACATGTCTATTCGACGCAGATGGGGGTTCTCAGGGTTGCAGGGGATGAGAGATCCCCAGATGTCTTTGTCGATGGACGTCGTGGAGACTTGGGAAGCGGGCTCCGTGGACTGTGTCGAGAACTGAGTCGACTGCGAGACCGCCATCTTAGGCGATACCGCGTGGGAGCTGTGGAGAGGAGAAGGAAAGAGTTGACTAAATGGTTCGACCCTGGAAGAGTCATGGTAAACGCGTAGCCAACGCCTGACAAACGAGGCAAGAATTACCATGAACGGGCTGTATAGTTCGATTAGACGTCCAGAGGTAGTTTACGGCGTATTGAAGCGTGTCGACAAGGCCCTCTCCAGCGCTCCTGGATCCTGTGGGAAGAGCCAGCAATTCAAAGGAGGAACACGTCTTTGTGGGCGCGCAGTCTGCAGATGATGGCGGTTCGCGACGCAGCAGTGGCCGCATGGCCCCCACGCGCTCAACGCGCCGACAGTCCGGGCGATGGATGGCGGTCGCTGCAGAAGAGCGCGGCGCGATCGAGCGCCCGGGTGACGTGGGACGAGCTGTGCGGGGCCGCGCGCGCCGCTGAGCGCTGAGCGCTGGATCCCTGCTCGTGCTCATGCGCCGTCTGCGCAATGCGCATGCCACTCTCTCGCTAGCCCTGCTCTTTGCGCGAAGCCGACCCGCGCTGGGCGCACCGCGACGCGTCGTTGACAGCGCACCAACGCCTTTCGGCACGTCCGACACCCACTCGCATGCCGTCCGTTCGCTCGCCCGTCGCTCGACCATCGCCGCCGCACTGCTGCGTCCCTCTTTCGCCGTCCGACCGGTGAGTGCCCGGGCTTCGCTCGACCATCCGCGCCCTGCCACTCACTCCGGTCTCCACACCTTCCTGCGCTAGCTCTGTCACCGCACGCTCGCAGTCAGTGGCAAGCGGCGCGCACCGTCGTCTCCACCACGCCTCAAGACCTCGCCTAACACGACGCTGGCCGGCAGTGCGTTCACCGCTCCTCCCGACTTCTCTTCCCGCCGCACTCGTCACCGTCCACCCGAGCGCTCACGTTCCGTATCCTAGCCTCTCCCCGCGCCCCCGCCCTCTGCCCCGCCTGCCCGTCTCTCGACGTTCCGTCGACCGCATACACCCACTTCTAACCGCCAGCCGGGCCCCATCTCGAGCCGTCCCCTATTCCCTTCGTCCGCAGACGTCCTCCCGCCCGACTTTCCTCTCCCTGTGGACGCGACAACGCCACTGTCAGTGGCGAAAGCCCCTCGGCAGCCATCCGATCGACGTACCGTATTCTCGCCCAGTGCCCGACGTCGCTTCGTCTGCTCACCAGACGCTCTCCACGCAGCGAGCGCAGTTACGAACAACACGAACCCGTGCGCTGGCGAGTCGGAGCTAAGCAGGTGTATGCGCTGCGTATGCGCTGCGAGAGGAGAGGTGGGCGCTCGGACAACGAGACAAGGCAGATAAGCACCCACTCCGCACGGGGAAAGGCATCTCTCCCGGTCGAGAACGATGTCTCGCATCGACCGATCCGAGGGCGGAGCATACAGCAACCTCTGACCGCCCGCGAAGCCCCAACTCGAGCCCTCCTCTCGTCCCTTCGGCCCTGTCCCTTCGTCTCTCGTTTCTCGACAGCATACACCCACCTCCGACCACCAACGAACTCGCTGCAGACTTCCCCGCCCGACGCCTCTCCCTGGGCGTGCAAGAATGGTCGCCTCAGTGACGAGAACTGCTCGCCAGAAATCCGACGTACCGGCGTATTCTCGCCCCCCACGCTCCGAGTCCTGCCGCATGCGACATCATATCAGCACTCATATGCAACCTGGCCAAGCACGCTCACCGGAACGTCTCACGAGCCACACCAATCTGGGGCATCTCGCGCCACGGCGACTTGCCGTCCTCCCTCCCGACCGCCTGCTTATCTACCTTTTCCCTCCCACCGCTCCTTGTCCTCGCCGACCCTCGCGTCCGCCCCCGCCCCTGCAATATTCTCCCCATCTTTCACACCCTGTGAGTGCCTGACTTCGCTCGCTCACGCAGGGACATGCCCGCCCCCGCGTACCTTCATCTCGCCGGCTTTGCATTAACCACGGACGCCGGCCGAGGCGCTGCTCGCTTCGACAGCCCTCCGGTTGAATGCCACCGAGCTAGGCGTTCAAATCCCTGAGACCACACTCGCTGCTGACGTCGCCAAACGACCTGCAGGACATGTTCCAGCCCCACGCGCTCGGTAGCGACTGTCACCCACCGTCTCGCCGCTCCGTTCGATACCCGCCCGTTCAAGCGGTCGCCGCCCCATCATGTCGTCACCCGCACCAAGAACGCGCTGCCAGAGCGAGACTCATGGCATAGGCCGCGCCCGTCGCGCAGTGCTCACAGTCTCCGGCACGCTGCTCACGATGTCCCTCCCCCTGTGCTTTCAGTGGCACGTTCGCGGACGCCGCTCCAGTGGATCAACGAGTCCCCTGCGGCCAACACGCAGGCGTGCGCGCTTTCGATCACCCCTGCACGCTCGTACGACCGCGTCCCTGCAGGTGCCACGGCGAGCACGGCACCCACGGACTCGGAACGCACCATGTCAAGGGCCCGCCGAGTAGCGCGGGGGATGGGTACGCGCCCAATTGATGGTGCCGTTCACGGCCGCCGTGCCCACCGACGCCGAACGGAATCGTCATCCGACCTCGCTGGAGGACAAATCCTCGTCCGTCACTCAACGCGCCGTGGCCGCTCGTGCAGGTCTGTCCTGTGGGCCCCGTGTGTCGTGCACGGGCTCACGTTTTGCGTCACACAGCGTGTACCGGACCGGATTGGGTCCAATTGTCGGTACCGGCCTCGCAGCGGTCGTGGCACGGCTGCAGGTACGTTTCGCAACCTCTGCACGATTCGACTCGAACCCCCAGCGCGCCGCGGATGTGTGCGCGGTACGCGTGCAAACGGGAATGTCAGACGACAGACACGCCTCCCAGCTCCTCACGGCGTCCGTCCCCACTTGCTACGGTCGGCACGGCAAGCCCCACGACGCGTTCTGCCGCGCCGAGTCCGCGCTCGGCACGCACTACGCCGCGGCGGGTGTGTCTCCCCGGGGACGATGCGCACCGTCGGCGGCGACGACGTCGGAGGGGCTGGAGTGACTGACAAACGCGCTTGCGGCGGACGGGATGTCGGTCACAAAGCGTGCGGCACGGGATCGACGAGACGTGTTGGCGACGTCCACCTCTCGGAGTTGGGCGATGAGTGGATGGCTGTGATCAGCGAGGGCATGGGACGCTCGGGCGGTCGGCGAACCGCTGTGTCAGTGCTTCCCATAGAACGCCGCCGACGCCGACCTCTCGGTCCCGTTTACGTCCCCGTCAAGGGAGCCGGGTGAGTTGTTTTGCATCGGCGGTGCACGTCGCGGACCTCCACATGAACTGTGAGTGGATTCAAACGGGAGTTCACATCGCGCTAACACCGTAGCACAGGTCCCTTGTTGCGGCACGACCCATGTCGGCGTTGCAGTCCAAGCTGCCCGCCCTCCTTGCTGCACCCTGGCTGCCGGCACAAGTGCAGCGCCGCTCAACGCCACACTGGACGAGTTGCAGTTCCGTGTTTGGCGTCCCCCTAACAATATATTTCATTGCTGAAATTGTGCAGTGTACGAGTGCGGCAGCAGGAAACGACACAACTGCCTGTGAAAATGAAGGCCGAGACATTCACGCGCGAGCACGTCGCCCCGCCGCATATGCTCCTGGTACCGCCGGTGGTCCGTGGGCTGGCTGACAGGACGTGTGCTGAGCGTCCGCTCAGATGCACACGGAGGAACGAGCCCGAATCGGACCTCTCGACACCGTCCTCCGCCCTCGCCTCCCCCGGCGGTTTCAGTCCGCGACCCGGGGTGCCTTGTCGCGGTACGCGGACAGTCAGTGAGGACAGGGTGGGAACCGACGTCCGCCGCCCGCACGGGCCTTGCACGCGACGCACAGTCCGCTCGTCTGCGAACATGACGTGGCGCGATCGTTCAGAACGCACTCCGAGCCCAATGCTCGAAACGACTGTTTGCGTCAACGAGACCTCGCGTGTGCATGCATCGCACAGCGTCGCCGCAAGAAACGTTCTGCAGCGCTCCAAATCGGAGCTCTGAGAAGTCGTGCCTGCACTGGCATTCCCCCACGCGGAGCGTAGGATGTGTTGGGACGCGCTCTAGGCCGTTCGAGAATGCGCCGAGCGCAGTGCTTGCCAGAGCCGGTCGGCGGAGGATGCAACAGATCGCTTTGAAACACGGAAGGATGCGTATTGTTGGTTACGTTCTGTGTGTCTTCCGATGTGTCACCGAGTGGCAGAGTGCGTTCTGCGCGGTGTTTGCGGTAAGAGTCTTTTCGGCACACGAGCGCGTTCTAGCTCGCTCTACACTGTTTGGTGCAGCCTACCGCAGCTGCAAGAGCGAACCCGGTCGGGAATGCATTGTCCACGCGGCTTCGAGCGTGCGCTGCAACGCTGGGAAGTACCGGCCGTGTGCATTCCCGGCACCTCGCGCAACTACTTGGGAACGCACCCGTCCTGCGGATGCTGCAGAGAGCGGAGCGTGCTTGGAGCGTACGAACCTACACCCACCAAGCGGCGCGGTTCGACACTCGTTCAGGGTGAGGCGACGGGTGCGCTGGACAGGACTTTCGTAACAGAATGCGCCGAGCGAGTCTTGAAACAGGTACGTATTCCCACTCCAATTACTGACAGGCTGCTCCATACGCACGTCACCAAACCAGTCTCGCCTTGAGCAGGCACTCGTATCAGAGCCCGGTCATACGCATCCGTGAACGCAGCGTACGCTGGTGCGTAGCGGACATCTAGCAAGTCATGAAGTCAGTGAACGGAACGTCCTGAACGTCGCGCTCACCGAAAGAGGGACAGGTGCGGCGGGACACGGCAAGGGCCAAAGACGTCTCACAGACCACTGGTGCAACGCCCGAAAGTTGAAACAAGGTCGCCGTCAGAGGTTGCAGGCACCATCGCCAGTCGGGACCATCAGTGCTGGACACTGTCAGCGCGGAGCGTCCACCAGCCGAGAGCGGCGGACGTTGCAGTCCGTCTATAGTGACACGGAAATTCGTTCAACAAAGCTGGCAAGAGCGTCCCCACGCACCTCGGAAGCCGTTACAGAAGGAGAGCAGGCGTTGATCAGCTCGTCCGCGAGACAAGGAATTCAGGAAAGGTGAATGGAACGGCCGGGATGTCGCGCTCACCGAAGCGTTGACAGGTGCGGGCAGCGGAACGCGGCAAAGGCCAAAGACGCGATATGAGGGACTGATGGACCACTGACGTAGCGCATGAACCCGGCTCGTCGCGGACGTCGGCGTAGGGCCCGCGTTGCTAGCCCGCGTTGGACAATGTCCCCACGAGCCGTCTGCCGGGAGCGCGACTTGCTGTTAACAAAGCGGGCAAGCACAAGACGCAGGAGTATCGGAAGACATACCAAGTGATTCAGTGCATGGTGTGGTACACAGGAATGCGAGACGGACGGTACCTGATCGTGGAACGAGGATACGCTGTCTCGGGAAGCGCTACACTGTCAGGGACGACCGGGATCGAGGTGAGATTGTCGCCGGGCGAGCGAGCGCGCGCCGCTGCGGACGGGAGATGGGAATCGGGAGGAGATACGGTGGCGATTGCCTGAGAGACAGGAGCGCGCGCGTACCTGAGGGCATCGACGGAGCGACGACCAGCTGTGGGTCCCGTCCGATTGATGGCGCGTGCTGGCCAGGCCCGTCCGACGGCCGGCGATGAGAGCTGGTGCCCCTGGGTCGCGTCCCCCGCCGGCCACCGTCACTGCCGAGAGGAGACGCGGAACGCGGGCTCGTACATAGGCTTGTCAGCGGGATCAATGCTCACTCTTGGCGCATACTACATCCACTCACCCGCCGGTACGTCCTCTGCCTCTCGTGAGGTGCTCGCTGACGCTTTGACCCGCGCAGAATGTCCCGACATAGGCGCAAGGCTTTCAAGCTCGGGCAGACGCTCGACCCTGCCATCGGATACACGCGACACACGACGCGCATCCGCGGCATCTGCGCAAGAAGATCAAGAGGGAGTTGGGTGAGCAACGTTCTATTTATGCGCGCACTCACGCCGACGGTACGCACCTTGCAGTCCGTCTCACCGAAGACCCGAAGACCGAGATGCGCTGGACGCTGGAGCGGTTCGCGAAACACGTCTTCGTCAAGCACCGGCTGCGCCTCGTCGGCTGGCCGCACGGTACCAAGTTCAGCAACCTCAGCGACACTGCGAAGAGCTTGAACGAGCTCACCCGCCTGCACCGGCTGTGGGACCGTGGCGACCTGCGGTTCGAGCGCGTGAGTGTAGAGGAGGCAGAGGCGGCGAGGGCGAACTGCCACCTTGCGGCGCCGACGCCGTTCGTCCTCCCACGGGGATCACGGGCGGACGAAGGCGAGCGGCGGGACCCAGGCGTGGTGGAGTTTGGGTTGTGGCACCGGCGGATGTCTTGCATGGTGACGAAGTCGCAGCGGGAGATTACGTCGGAGGACGAGGCGGAGCGGAGCGTCCATTCGGGAGGGAGGCATCGAGAGACCCTATCGAGGGCTACGATGAGAGTTAGTCACGGTCGTGGTCTCAGCGCGTTGACGCGACGTAGGGGGTGATGTCGGTACCGTAGTTGTAGAGCGCATCGCAATCAACTCGAGATAACGTTCAAATGAGAGTGTGAATTGCGTACCTGAAAGGGCCTGCGGCACGGGCGCACGCTGGGTCAGGGCTTGGCCGGGGCCCGGGACCACCCCGGAGAATGATATTGGCTAGCCGCAGCCGACGGTGTCGCCCGTTGGGAGCATAAAAGGCGTCAGATGTCGTGTCCCTGGCCTCCCCTCCCCTCTTCCTCTCCGCCGCCGTCTGTTCTTCTCACAACCCCTCCTCGGACGATCCCGTCACTGATTCCAACGCACCTTCGACCTTCGACCCGCGACCATGTGCGGTATGGTCTGAACCTGTCCCCACCGCGGCGTCGGATGCTGGTGTACCATTCGTTCTCCGACGGTTCTACCGTGTGATGCACTACGGAACGAGCGGCGGTCACGCTCAGGGAAGCACAACCGTGTACGTGTTTGTGTTCTGCTGCTGCTGCTGCTGATGATGATATCAACACCGCGTTAGTAGAGCCGGACAAAGTCTGCGCACCGAATGAATGCGTCGCATGTGGGGACACAAGCGGTACGTCGGTGTTTGTGTGCATTGTAATGGGCTGATGGAAGTCTGGTCAGCTCCGGTACGCGCGTTCCCGATGCAACACATGGACCTACCTACCTCCATGCTCTTCTCCCCGCTCTTGCCAACGTCCCACGTCCCCCCGTGAGCCATCTGAAACGCCTCTGGTGCGCTCCGTATGAGCCTGGAAGTCGCTTCGGCCCGGTACATGGCCCTCGCCGGTACGTGCTTCACGATTTTGATTTCGCTGCACGCTAACGAGCGTTCTGTGCACGGTACATTCACAACGACGATGGTGAGACGAGCGGACACGCAGGTGGGTAGGGCTTACCGGCATCGCGTGCTGCGTGTGCTCGCTCTTCCTCTCCGCTGCCGTCTGTTGCTGGCGCCACTCCTCCTGCTCCTCGGACACTCCTTTCGCCATCCGTCCTCCCGCAAATCAGAGGCACGCTCGACCGCACTCGACCATCCACGTTTCGTCGCGACACCTCGTCACCCGACACCTGTGTCAGTCTTTCGTGACTGTATGCGGTACGTGATGAGTCGTTCCGCCTCGAGTCGCGCTAGCATCACTGTCTCCACCAAGACGAAGCGCAATACGCTCACCTGCCGCCGCTCATCAGCACGCCGTGGTGGTGCATGCCAGCGCAACCATGTGCGTGTCTGATTTGTCTTTTCGTTGCTTTTGCTGATATGAATATCGCGTTAGAACCCGACGACGTCTGCGCGTCACGCGTGAGAGGGACGTACGCATAGGGCGCTCTCCGAGTGGGCTCGGAAGTTTCGTCGACGCGCGCCAGGGCCCGGTGGAGGACGGTGCGTTGATCTGGCTGCACGCCCGTGTGCCGCACGGTACGTTCATGATATTTTTACGACTGTCAGTGACACGAGAGCGTAAGCGGCTGGATGGGGCTTACCGGCCCGGTGTCCTACGGTACAAGCCATATGTGTCCAGCAACGGTACGTTCTGAGCTCGTGTTTAGGCCGGAATTCTGACGGGAGGTGGCCAGGGCCGGGATTGAAGTGGGTCGAGCATAGAGGGGAACTCGCGCACAAACGGGCGCGCACGTCGCCTTCCCAGTCGGCGCCCGAGACACGAGGCCCTCAACTCATCGAAGGTGCCGTCCGCCCAGGCCTAACTCCTCGAGCAAGCTGCTGCTGTGGCAAAGACGCGATGAGTCATTGGACGGGCAGACGATGCCAATGGAGAACCTACTTACCTTGAGTATGTGCAGGCCCGACCTTCCGCGCGGCGTACGGAGAGAGGGATGGCGGACGTAGTACGGAGACGTGGATGTAGTAGTAGACTCGAATGAAGCTGTTTAGACGCCACACCAACGCGACTCGAGCTCGAGCGCTCCCACGGTCTCTCCTCTGTCCCCCGCGCGGCCGTCCAGCCCCGTCTCTGCACGACCCCAGCGGCAATGCAGCACTTTCCACTTTCTACCCAACCATAGTTAGAATTTGCGCTGGTGCATGCATGGCATCATCTACCCGAGCCCCGATCTCCGTTAGCCGATCCTCGGGCACCTCCGCGAACGACAGTCTCGCGCTCTCGCGGGCCGCTTGTAGCGCACCACGCCTCACGGTTGCGAGCCAGGTCGCGATGACGAGCAGCAGGTCAGCCGAGATGAGGCCGCCTCTCGAAATGATGGTCACTGCGTCCTCAACGGTCGAGAATGATGTCGACAGGTCCAAGAGCCCTACGCCTATGCATTATTGTGGGTGAGGACGTCAAATGTTCTCGCGAGGCTGAGACTCACATTTTTCCAAGCTCGGGGGAGATGTTCTCTTCGATTACACAGCCGAATCCAGGACATTGACGCCTCGTAGTCCGTTCACAAAGGCCAGGAGGTTGACTCCCAGGGGGACCATGGAGAGCGCGAGGATGAGGAGCGTGAAGGGGACGTTCTTGGACGTCAGTGCATATGCACGAAGCGCGGCGAAAGCTGTGGCTAGTGTGAGTGCGAAGTGACTAGATGCGCGTATGATCGCGGCGTGCACCTGCCCAGGGAACGTACTGTAGGTACGCAAAGATGTTCGTTACGAGCGTCATGGCTCACAGCTGGCACCGAAGTCAGGACAAGGTAAGCTCAAAGGGATCGTGCGCACCTTTGAGGTGAAAAATGAAACAGTGCTCCTGACGCATCCATCATTGCGGTGATGAGGACGATGTATCGGTTCAGCAGGAACAACACCGGGCTGCCCTTCAGTCGTCGCCCGCGCCATGGCCAGAACAGGTTCACCTCGTCGCCGAACGTGATCGCATACTCAAACATCAGCAGCGCTAAGCCAGTAAATCGTGGGTCTGTTTATAATGAGCCAGACCAGTGCTCACCAGCGGTTGCGACCCCGCAGAGGTTTCCCACGAAGCTACGGGAGGAGGCGGGAGGGGGTTAATTATGCGGTGCATCCGAAGAAGGGTGCCCACATGGTGTTGAGTGCCGCGAAGACCTCCGCGGCCTCCGCAGCGTCGGAAGACCCGTCTCCTGAGGACATAGAGAGCGAAGGGGACTTCACTCCGTCAGGGAGAAAGGAATGAAAGCACGAACGCGCCCGGCTCAAAAGGAGGGCGAAGAGGTAAGTCAACTTCCCCCACATACCACCAACTTGTACTGACCAATGGATCACGATTAATATTAATGCACGACTACAATCTGTTGCAAGAGCAACAGATCTGTCTACAGCATACCGATGCCCGACGTTCAGCTGCGGGCGCTGCTTGGTTACGAGGCACTGTGGCAGAGAACCCCTCACTAAGCTCCGGCGCAGTTCTGATAATGAGGAGATATCAGAAGTACCCATGCCAGTCGAATGCAATCCTCGAACGACAACAAAGCACGGTGATGACTACAAAGCAGATTACGCAACGCCCCGGGCCAGTGTCTGTACATGCAAAACACAGCAGGAAAGCAATCGACAGCATCGTCACGTAGCACAGAAACCGTCCAATCTCACATCCGACGCTCGCTCACTGGCCATGGCATCCCGAGTCCCGGCACCCCTTCCTCTTCGTGCTCCCGCAGGTCACTCACCCACCCTAGCGTCGGTATCGTGCTCGTCGTCGACGTCGACACCGCCGAGCCCTCCCAGGCTGCCCAGGCCGCCTCATCCTCCTCTCCATCCGCATCACGCTCTGCGTACCCTACCCGTGCGCGCTTGCGCGCCGGCTCCTCGTCGCTGCCCACCGACAAGCTCGACAGGTTGCGGCCGAGCGTGCGCATCGCCCCCGCACTCCTTCTCGCACGCCCGCTCCCCTCCGCGCGGCGCTTCTCTCCGACCTTCGCGCGCGAGTGCGCGCGCACCAAGGGCAGGGACGATTGTAGCTCGAACGTCGTCGGCGTACTTTCCCGCGTGGTGGTGGTGGTTGTGCGCGCGGTTTCGCGCACCTGCAGGCTCTCCATGATGATCGTCGCCCCGGAGCCGCCCATGATCGTCGCGACGGAGCCGGAGCTGGTCGATGACCTGGCGGCACCGGTGCGAAGCATCTGCTGCTGGAGGGAGAGCTCGCGCTCGAGGCGGCGTGTCTTGACGCGCGCTTTGCTCTGCGTAAGCCAGGAGTGCTTTATGGCCTGTTCGGGCGCGAGGCGTGCGGTGGGGTTGGGCTCGAGGAGGCAGCGGAGGAAAGCCTCTCCTAAGGAACATGTGAGAAAGGGAAGATCAGGGACGCGAGCTAACGGACCTTCGCCGACGATGTTGTAGTCGTTCAGAAGCTCCCAATTTGGCCCCTCGTCTTCCTCGTGGGAGTCCGCGAAGGGATGCTTCTTCGTCAGACTGATATCGGCGTCAGACCACTGCGTTGCTGGGGCGCGCGAAGACTCACATGAAATAGACCATGACGCCCAAACTCCAGCTGTCCACGACGTTGTCGTACCCATTCGTGCCGTGCGCCAACACCTCCGGGGCCGCGAAGCCGCGCGTGCCGCATTTGGTCTGCAGAACAGACAGCGAGTCGAGAACCTTCGCCAGTCCGAAATCGGAAACTTTGACGATTGGAGGATGCTCGGTAGTGAGGAGCACATTTTCGGGCTTGAGATCGCGGTGCACGATGCCCAGCCGGTGCATGTACTGCAGCTGGTGTTAGTGACAATATCGAGTTTGGAGAGAAGCCGGGTAAGATGACCTTGAGCGCATCGCAAATCTGGTAGGTCATGTCTTGCGCTTCTGGTTCGACTGTGGTCCAGTCAGCTACGTACCGGGGGAAATGGGAAGAGCACGCACGCAGAACATCCCGCTTGTACAAATATGACATCAGGTCTCCTCCGGGACACAGCTCCAGCACAATGCCTACGTGCCGTTAGCGCGACGTTTTGTCGACCTTGATTGGCACTCACTGATGCTATCGCCCTCGTAAAACGCCTCTTTGAGCCCACAGATGTTCGGATGATTCATCATCTGCAAGATCGTCACCTCCTTCATCAAGCTCTTCGTCGTCGTGCTCTCCCCGATCCCGCGACTCATCGACGTGTCGAGAGCCTGACGAAGCCGATCCCCGGGGAACATCTTGATCGCGTACCAGACACGCTCGCGCCGGTGCAGCGCACGCACGACGGTCGCGTACGCGCCCTTGCCCAGCACGTGCGAGATGTCGTACAGGTCGTAGAGACCTTCCTTCGCGCCGTCCGCGGGGTCGCGGCGGATCGCGGCCATGTGTCGGAAGATGTAGCCTGCGAGCGTGGGTGAGTGTCAGGATCAGTAGGCGAGAGCGGTGCGCACGGTAATCCTCCTTCGGTCGCGCATCCTTGTCCTTGTTGGTCACCGGAGGCCCGAAGGAGATCTGGCTCCAGTCCTTCAGGAGCGAGGATTCGCCCCGGCCGAGTTTCCTGTCCCCAATCTGAAGGCGGTCGTCACTGAGTAAACGTTCGCGTAGATCGGCGTGCAGATCCCTACGAAGGTGCCGTTTGACGAGTTGCAGTCCGTGATGATCACCGAAGACTTTGAGTGGTCGCCGTCCCACTCGATCGTGCAGTGTGTCTGACCTTCCTTATCGACGTCAGCAAGGCTACCGGGCGCTCACTCGTGCTGAGCGAGCGCCCTGGAACCAGCTCGTGAGCGAAAACGGTGGACTTACTCATCTTGGCGTGCAAAGGTAGAATAACGTCGTTCACTCCCTCCTTTCTGCTGCGCCCGAAAGTGTACTTGCGCTGGTTGTGGCACATGTCTATTCGACGCAGATGGGGGTTCTGAGAGTTGCAGGGGATGAGAGATCCCCAGATGTCTTTGTCGATGAACATCATGGAGACTTGGGAAGCGGGCTCCGTGGACTGTGTCGAGAACTGAGTCGACTGCGAGACCGCCATCTTAGGCGATACCGCGTGGGAGTTGTGGAGAGGAGAAGGAAAGAGTTGACTAAATGGTTCGACCCTGGAAGAGTCATAGTAAACGCTTGGCCAACGCCTGACAAACGAGGCAAGAATTACCATGAACGGGCTGTATAGTTCAATTAGGCGTCCAGAGGTAGTTTACGGCGTATTGAAGCGTGTCGACAAGGCCCTCTCCAGCGCTCCTGGATCCTGTGGGAAGAGCCAACAATTCAAAGGAGGAACACGTCTTTGTGGGCGCGCAGTCTGCAGATGATGGCGGTTCGCGACGCAGCAGTGTCCGCATGGCCCCCACGCGCTCAACGCGCCGCGGAGTTGATCGGAGTCCAAACAATTGGCTGAGTCACATTTGTCTCCCGTCAGGTCGAGCGCCGCGCCAAAATTGGGCAGCTGCCGAGCGGAGCCGCTGGGCGTCTAGGCGACTCAACTTCGGTCACGAGCACAACGGCGACGGGCGGTTAAAAGCGACTTCTTTCCTCTCCACCACCATCTCCCCCGTTCCCCCGCGATACCCTCCTCTCTGTGGACGGATATATACCCCTGATATACACTGCGTTCACTCAACATACTCTAATTTCAGCGAGCTCTATCTTGTGTGCCGCAATGCCCATCGAAGAGCCAAGTCTTTCCCAAGACTCGACGCAAACAGTCGACGACTCTCAGCCTGACTGTCAGCCTGATGCAGACGTGTGGGGGTCTCTGATACCCTTTAATCCCCACAATCCACACTTGTTCCGCATAGACCTTCGTAAGGGGAAGACAACGTACGTCATAGGCAGAGGTGGACATACCGTGCCCGACGAGGCGGTGGACTTTCAGTTATCTGGAGCGAAGTTCATCAGTGGGTCTCTTTCCTTCTCTCTGCCTCGCTGTTCTCCATGTCCCGTCGATACCAGGTCGCAAGCATTGCTCACTCGAGTGGGATGGTGATCACAGCGCAACCTCCGCTGTGATCGTCTCTGACCTACACTCACACGGTGGTCTCTGGGTCAGTATGTTTCTGTCATCTCGTGGACGGTGTTATCAATTAAAATTGTGTTCAGCTGAATGGGGTCAAGATCGGAGGAGGTGAAAGTCGACTGCTGCACAACTTCAACATCGTCTCCTTCAGCAAGTACAGAGACACCTACCCTGCAGACCGACCTGATCGTGATGATCGTGCGTTGATTCTTCCGTCTCACCACCTCTCTCTTTATCGAGACTCGTTTCGCAGGATTTCTCTTCAGGCTCTGGGCAGCGGGTTCAGAGCGCTCTGTCAGCCACGAGCTCGTCGGCAAATATTACGACGTACACCGCGAAATCGGAGAGGGTGCAAACGCAAGAGTATTCCTCGCACTCCACGTGCGCGACAAGGAGTGGGCAGCGATCAAGGTCATTCCCGGAGACAGACTTTACCCCGGAATCCTGCGTCCCGGAGACGACAGGGAACGCTTTCAGTCATACCTTCGGACGGAAATTGCGCTTCTAGAGAGGTTGAAGCACAAGAACGTCCTTGAGATCAAAGACACGTTCTTCGACGAACGGAGCGGGAAGCTTCGTGAGTATTACGTCAGTGGTGTGCGAACTCCCACTAATGCATCTCTCGTTTTGTAGGGATGGTCATGGAATACGTGCCTGGGGGGGACTTGTTTTCCTACATTACCAGACGTCGGTCCGGCTTGAGTAAGTCCTGAGTCGACGTATTGACGTCTTGCCTGACGAAATGGCCAGCCGAGCGCGAAGCGCAATATTTCACTTACCAGATTTGCGAAGCTTTGGCTGTATGTGATGTGACCCCCCACGAATGCTCCTCACTGACGCCTGCCTCTGCAGTACGTTCACCGCGAAGGAGTGACGCACCGAGACCTAAAGCCGGAGAACGTGCTGCTCACGAATGACAGGCCTCCGATTGCGAAGCTTGCCGACTTCGGATTGGCCAAGTTGGTCGACTCGAGGACATCGCTCAGAGTATGTCGCCATTCCTCTCGTTCGTTGCCACGCATGACTTCGCTGCTAGACCGACTAACACTGCGCTGTAGACTCAATGCGGCACGAAGATGTACTCGGCACCCGAAGTGACTGCCGAAGCTCGCAGTAGGAAGAGCTACAGCCAAATCGTAGATAGCTGGAGTCTAGGCGTCACGGTCGGAGTAATGTGAGTATCATTATCCCTTTCCCGGCTTCTGTGCACTACTGATACATAACATGCTCGCAAAGGCTATTCTCGCGCTCGATCTTCCGCCAGGATGAAGACGATGACAATAAACATCATGAGATCGAGTGGGAGCTCCTTGACGAGTTCCACTGCAGCCTTGAGTGTACGCACTTTGATCGCCCGATTCCGTATCCCACCAGCTAAACACTTGTGTTTGGCATCCTAGGCCGTGATTTCCTCCAGAGCCTGCTGGAGCACGACCCTTCCGCGCGCATGAAGATCTCTGAGGCGCTGGTGCACCCCTGGCTCGCCGCCGAAGCAGAAAAGTCCCGTTCTACCGCGCGTTCCTTGCGGCCACGCGCCCGCACGACCAACATGTTGCGTTCACCCATCAACCTCGAGGAGCCCGCGCAGCGGCCCACCACGCGCGCCGGCAAGCGCAAGGCCGCCGCGCTGAGCGACTCCTCGAACAACGCCGACCCCGGTCCTCCCATCCTCGCCACCGCCGCACGCCGCGACCTCGAATCCCCTCCCGACCGCGCGCCCAAACGCCCGCGCGTCACGCGTGCTGGCGCGCGCCGCGTGCCCCAGACTCCCGTCGCGGGCCCCAGCCAACCGCACGCGCGCGTCGGTCCAAGCGCCGGGACCCGCGCGAACCGTCGCGCCACGCCGCGGACGCCGGAGGCCGTTGTGTCGCCGCGGTCGCGCGCGCAGGCGAAGGGACGTGCGGCGCGGGCGCGGGCGCGGCTCGCGTTTGCACTCGGCGCGGAGGCGGACGAGGTGCCGGGCCTAGGGATGTTGACGGAGTGGTCGTCGAGCGGCGCGGGGCCATCGGTGCCGCCTCCCGCGCCGAAGCCGAGGTCGAGGCGGTAGAGAGGCGGGGCGTTGGACTTGTCTGTGAAGCTTTGCAGATGCTATGCTTGGAATTCGACTCGGACTCTGCTGGAAATGCTATATATTTGTATCTGACAGTGCGGTGAGGAGGTTATGTCTGGAGTACATACTATACAAGAATCGTGTATATACGTCACGTTGCGTCATGTGGATCCTGAACTATTCCACGGGTTTCTCCATCTCCAGCATGACTGCTCATATTCAACGCTTCACGTCTTGACACTCACACAGGTCTGGGTCGCGCGACTCTATCTTCGCCCAAGCCCAGTTCTCGCTACTGCTCACCGCAACGAGCCCCGTGAACACGTGCGCGAGTGTGCCTATGATCCCGGGGGGTGATTACGCCCGTCTTTTTCCGTCCGAAAATCTCCTCGATACATATAAAGATCCAGTAGAAAAGTTCCTTCGCTGGCTTACTTCAACAAAGTCGTTAATACATCAAGCCCCGCTACATCTAACCCTCGCGAGGCGGACCAGCCATCATCACCTTGAACCTCTCGACCACCGACTGAGGAGCGTTGTCGTGAATGAACGCCTCCAAGTTCTCCTGCGTCTTCTTCGCAACCCGGCCGGCCATCGCGAGCATCTTCTCCTCCAACTTCTTCACCGCTCCCTCGACGTCGCCACTCGCGCCCTTCCCGAGCTCTTCCACCAGCACCAGCCCGAGTTCCAGTCCGTCCAGCAACGCGAGATTCGCGCCCGCGCCCGCGAACGGGCTCATCATGTGAGCCGCGTCGCCGACGAGCGTCACCCCCGCCCTGTGCTCCCAGGTGTGCCCGATCGGCAGCCGGTACAGCGGGCGGTGGAACATCGTCTGCTCGTCCGCGTGCTCGAGCACGTCGAGGAAGAGCGGGCCCGCCCACCCGGCGTACATCTCCCGGATCGCCGCGCGCGCCGCCGCGGGCTCGTGGGGCAGCGTCCACGCCTCCGGGCCGCGGAACCACGCGTACACGCGCATCCGCCCGCGGCCGTTCGCCTGCAGCGCGAACATCCGCCCGGCCTGCAGCGCGTTCACGGTGCCCTCGCCGACGAACGCGCGCGCGGCGGCGAGCGCGGGGAGCGCCATCGTCTCCGCGGTGAGGTAGAACTCCGCGCCGTTCACCCCGGTGAACTCCGGGACCGCGGCCGAGACGAGCGGGCGGACGCGCGAGTGCGCGCCGTCGGCACCAACGATGTAGTCGTGCACCGCGCGCGCGCCGTCGGCGAAGACGAGCTCGTGGCGGCCCGTGCCGTCGTCGAGGGGCCGTACCTCGAGGAGGGAGTGGCCCCACTGGATCGAGGCGGCGGGGCAGGCGTCGACGAGGATCTGGCGGAGGTCGGCGCGGTCGATCTCGGGCCGGTGGGTGTCGCTCGTGCGGGGCCCGAAGTGGGAGTCGTCGAATACGACGGTGCCGGCGGCGTCGCAGATCTTCATGGCGTCGCCCTCCTCGCGAGAGTACTTCTTGAAGGCGGTTTCGAGGCCGTTCTCGCGCAGGGCACGCTGCCCGCTCTCGTAGCCGAGGTCGAGGGAGCCGCCGAGCCGAGCGCGACTGGCGGCGTCGGTGTCGCGTTCATAGAGGGTGGCGGGGACGCCGCGGCGAGAGAGGGTGAGGAGTAGAGCCAGACCGCCGAGACCGCCACCGACGATCGCGATGCCGGAGTAGGCGGGAGCAGAGGTGGTGGACATGATGTTGGTGAGGAGCTTTGACAGCTGGTTACGTTTTAGTGGACATCTCGAGACCTGAAAATGTGGGGCTCACCTGTTGGCAATGTAGCAGGGGGAGTCTGGAGGATAGCATATCGCAGACGGCGAGAGCTCGTCTAAGTTATACCATCCCGTCCCTCTGAGCGATGGCAGCACCCACATCGGAGACGTGCCGGCACACCCACAGCACTGAGATCGTCCCTTGGTTCCGCGACCTGGCGGAGTACGTGCGCAGCTGGAATGCGACCATTGTCGAGACGAGCCGGGCGTACGCGCGCGTCCGACGGCAGCGGCTGATCGCGAGTTCGGCTGAGTCTTCAACTACTGCCAGGTTCACGCGGCCCACACTTCATCCTCCTCCTCTTGACCAGGCCGGGCGCCACTGATGGGCCTTAAAAGCACTTACGCCAGCGCGGCACGTCCGACTGTGCATGACTCTTGTGGAGTCGTGTCCGAGACTGGGTCGCCTCGTCCCGCTGAGTTCTAACGGCACACGTTTGGTGTGGCTGTTCCTCAAGTCAATGTGGCCATCTTTTCTGTCGTACTGCGACGAACCTTGGTTACTTACATATCCGTGCGCCGGGTGCCACGCGTGAAAACGGCACATGCGAAGTCGCACGTTGTACTCGGAATCTCGGAAGCTATTACAACTTGTTGTCGCAGTATTGCGCCGCGAGGATGTCGTTGGCGATGACGAGAAACCGATGTGGAGTCTGGACAAGATGTGGAGGGAGGCTGCGCCCCGTCGCGCGCTGCCACGCTCGCCATCAACGTACTTACGACCGATCTCGCCATCCGTCCAGTCTCTCCGAATCAACGTTCAACGACAGCATCTGGTAGGCCTTCAACATCTCGTCGTCCATTCGGTGAGCCCCAGTCTCCTTGTCCCCTCTGTACGTGCACTAAAGTATCCCCCAACTGTGGATACTGCGCACGCCGGATCGTCTCGCCTTCCGAGTCTGGCCCGCTGGATGTGTACGTGCGGAAAACCGCTCGACGACGCGAGCGTGGCTGCCGCGTCGGAGTTCCAATCTGACCAGCCGAGCAGCGCGGACTCGTCAGGCACGCACCGTTTCTGGCAGCGTTCGAAGGCGTGGGTTCTTGTGTATGTCTTTCTACTATGTGGCCTGGCTCAATCGTTTGACGTTCCAGGCAGCCCGCTCAGAGTCTAGATGTCTACCTCTACTACGCACACAGAGAGCACAAATATCACCATCAGTATATTTGACTCCGCTGTCTGCCCACCTCATATGCGACGTCGCAGCTCATTGGATTTATGGTACGGCTCCGTCTGTTTTGATAAAGTGATCGTCGGAGATACCCACTCTTGCAGGATATTCAGGAACCATCCCTCCCCATCATCCGCCACGCTAACTGCCGTCCTGTCACAATTCGCCGGGGATATCGTTGTCCCAAAGCGCCAGAAGTATAACTGCCCAGTGCCGAGGACCTCAAAGCTCCTCGAATGGTGCAGTCGATTTGCAGTCGATTCTCCCTCTCTGGCTCTCTGTCGTTCAGCTCTTCCCTCCGGGCCACGAGGCTCCATACACTCTTTTCGGATTAACTGGCGGCAATATGTTCAAAACTTCAGGAAGATCATTCGTGACAACGACTGCCCTCTTCGGCGTTGGCCTCGCACTCATACAACGAGTCTCATCAGCCTCCACCTCCAACTGCCGCGCCGGGTTCACGTACTTTTCGGGAGACGTTTGCGTGGGCTGCACCGCCGGCACTTACAGCGGCCCTGGCTCGCTATCCTGTTCAACGTGCCCCACAAACACTTACAGCAGGAGTCTGGCATCGAGCTGCACGGCCTGTCCCTCCGGCTCGATCAGCAGCCCTGGCGCCGCTTCGTGCACACTCCAGAACACCTGCACGGCCGGCAGGTACTTCGACGGCATGGGCTGCGTGGCCTGCCCGGTCAACACCTACTCCGGCCCTCTCGCGACATCGTGCACGGCATGCCCCGGCCAGCAAGTCAGCGACGTGGGCTCCTCGTCTTGCCACGCCTGCGCTTCCGGCACCCATTACGACTCCGGCTCCTGCGTCGTCGACCCCGTCACCTGCCCCCCAGGCCAGTTCGTGGACGAAGACGCATGCTTCGACTGCGAAGCCAACACATATTCGACGGACGGTGTCTCGTGCGTTGCCTGCCCCGACGGGCAAGTCAGCGACGCAGGATCCTCGTCCTGCCATGCTTGCGACTCCGGTACCCACTACGACTCGGGCTCCTGCGTCATCGACGCACCCGCCTGCACTCCCGGAGAGTACTCGCTCAACGGCGAGTGCTCGTCGTGCGCGGCCAACACCTACTCCACCGACGGTACCGAATGTCTTCCTTGCCCCAGCAACGAGGTCAGCGACCTCGCCTCATCGGAATGCCACGCCTGCGTGGACGGGACCCATTACGACGCGGACTCGGGCACGTGCATCGCTGACCCCCCTACGTGCACGGCGGGGACGTACCTCAACGGGAACACATGCACGCCCTGCCCCGCCGGGTCATACAGCGGCGACGGTGCGACCCAGTGCGAGGAGTGCCCTGCGGGCCAGTTCTCGTGGGAGGGCGCGGCCGCCTGCTGCTCCTGGTGGGTCCTTTTCGATCCGCGGCGCACTCGCGCGAGCTCACAGACATGCCTTCGCAGCTGTTCCGGCTTCTACTCCGACCACCCAGGCGCGGGGAGCTGTTCGCAATGCTCCACGCCCGGCGCATACTCCGTCGTCGGCGCGACATCCGCGTCCGCGTGCTCCTCCTTCTACTCCGGCGGCCAGCTCTCCTGCCCCAGCGCCGGTCCCACCTGCCGTGCGCCCCGCCGCCCCTCCTGCTCTTCGCCCACGTGCTGACCTCTCGTCCGCAGCCGACGTCGGCGGCGCGAGCCCCTCCAGCCTCACCCGCCAGAGTCTCGCCCCACGCCGGGCGGCGCGGTGCCCCCTCGGGCAGCGCAGCTGCCCCGTGTACGGCGTCTCCGCCGACGGGCGCGGCTACCTCCGGGGGCGCGAGTGCGTCGACGTGCGGACGGACCTGGAGAGCTGCGGCGGGTGCGTCGCGGACGACTCGCCGGGCGGCGCGCGCAGCGCGGACGGCGGACGCGACTGCAGCGCGATCCCGCACACGGGGCGGGTGGGGTGCCGCGGGGGCGCGTGTGTCATCGGTGAGCCGCGACGCACACTTCGTCGATGAGAGGGCGCAAGGCTGATGTGGGGCGCTTTTCTTTGCAGAATCGTGCGCGTCCGGCTTCGCACTCTCCGAGGACGGGGAGGCGTGCGTCGCCTCCAGCGCGGCCGATGCGCTTCATGTGCAGCGCCGGGCTGCGGGGCATCGTGCTCGACGCTCCGCTGCGAACTTTTGACCTGATACTCGCACTTCGTGTGTGCTGCTTGTCTTTTCTGTTGCAGAAATATCCACATGGTTAATTAGGAGTGAGAGAAAATTGGGCTTACTGTACCTTCTGTTAATTGCCACACTCGTTGCCATCATCACTTTTGTTTCATTGTCTCAATGTGCTGGGGTGTCCGCAAGGGTTACTCGAGAACGTCGTTGTGACCCTGATTGGCGAGGTTCCTTTGTGTCGAAGGCTCCAGAATGATCTGGATGCCTGGGATGACGAGGAAAAGGAGTCCGTGAAGCTGTGAGAACTCGATCTTCCATGTATTGCTCAACGTCCACGTTACACATTGGTCGTCCTTTCAGAACTCCTTCAGAACGGTTATACCATCAGAGGCTGGTTCCGGACACGGCAGTGTCAAACCTTGGGTCTCGAAGAGATGGTCCTCCCGCACTGTGTGTAAGCTTCTCGCCTGACGCGCAGCGAGTTTTATGACCGCCTTTCACACCGGACGCCCATTTATGAGTCGCTCGTACGCCTTGAGTGTGTCCTGAACGCGAGGATCGAGTCAGCCAGCGGCTTGACTTGTCGTACTGCGACGAACCTTGGTTATCCGTGCGCCGGGTGCCACGTATGATGCGAAGTCGCGCGTACTCGAAATCTCGGAGGTTATGACGACTTGCCGCAGTATTGCACTACTTACAAGGATGTCGCATCATGAGATGAGAGATTGATGTGGAAAAGGTGGCCGGATGCGACGGGACACATGGGCGTTTGCTGGTACCCCCGATCCACTCTGAGCCCGGAGCGCGCACGGCGAGGCTCGGCGTCCTTCGGCGCCGACAATCCGCCAACTCAAACTCCAGTCTGGGCCTCGACCATCACCAAGTCAGTTTCAACATGAGACTCGTAGCCGGCTCAGAAAAAGTCGGGAATGTCTGAAGTATGCCCTCTTGAATCTCCCTCTCAACCCTTATATAAACAACCTTCGCCGGGCGAGCAGTACCGCACTCATCCTCCTCATCTCATCTCACCCCTATCCAGCATGTCCCCATCCACCATGAACTCCCCGAATATTGCCATCATAGGGGGCGGCCTCGGTGGCCTCGTCCTCCTTCTCACCCTTTCCCGCCGTGGCGTCCCCGCCACGCTCTATGAGCGCGATGCCAACGCCAATGTCCGCGCCCACTTTGGCGGCACCCTCGATCTCGGCTGGACGAACGGTCAGCGCGCCCTGCGCGAGAACGGCCTCGAAGACGCCTTCAAGACTAACTCCCGGCCCGAGGGCGAGGAGATGCGCATATACGACGCCTCCGGAAAGCTTCATTTCCACAACGAAGGTCACGGCGAGGACGGAGGCCCCGCGCCCCCAGAGCGCACCCGCCCCGAGATCGACCGCACCGTCCTCCGAAAGCTTCTCCTCGATGCCTGCCCACCGGACTCCATCAAGTGGGACCACGCTCTTACCTCCGCAACGCCCCTGGGCGACGGCAAGCATTCCCTCGCCTTCTCAAACGGATTCACCACCACCTGCGACATCCTCGTGGGCGCCGACGGCGCCAACTCTCGCGTCCGCCCCCTCGTCTCCCCCGCCACCCCCTTCTACTCTGGGGTGAACGGTGCGGAGATCTCCCTCACGCCCACCGTCGCCGCGTCCCCGGAGCTCGCGGACCCCGTCGCCGCGGTCGGGAAAGGTTCAGCGTTCGTCATGGGCGAGAACAAGCTCTTCGCGTCCCAGGTCAACGGCGACGGCCGCCTGCGCACCTACACCCTCGTCCGCGCCCCCGCCGACTGGACACTCCCGACGGACCCCGCAGAGGCGCGCGCGACCCTCCTCGCTCTCTACGACGGGTTCGTGCCGTGGGCGCGGAAGCTTGTCGAGCACGCGGACCCCGCCGCGATGTACCAGCGCGCGATGTACGTCCTCAAGCCCGGACACAAGTGGACGCACCGCACGGGCGTGACGCTCATCGGGGACGCCGCGCACCTCATGACACCGTTCGCCGGGGCGGGAGCGAATCTAGCGATGCTCGACGGGCTCGAGCTCGCGCTTGTGCTGGTTGAGGAGATTGGGAGGGGTGCGGAGGGCGATGTCGATGCAGGGATTACGAGGGTGGAGGAGAACATGTGCGCGATGGCCGGTCGAGTCTCGCAGCAGAGTTGGGACAATCTTCACGCGTTCGTGAACGAGAAGGCGCCCCAGTCCGCGCTGGATAGGTTTGCGGAGTTGATGGCAGGTCCGGAACGCGAGGGGTGAACGAGAGTAATGATGGTCCTGTGTATTTGTTGAATAGCATCCAGTTTGTACCGTTTCCGCCCAGCTACATTCAAACTTCTTTATCTCATCAGGGTCGTTTGACCCTTATTAAATCTAGCGCCGCGAGTGTCCACGACGTCTCGGTGTTTGAATACTATCCCTGATACTTAGTACTACTAAGTTCGGGTGCACGGTTCTTTGCCCATTGGAGGCTGCAACTGGTGAGGAAAGTGAGAAAAGCCGGCATTTTCGTGGACTGGCAAAGTCACGACGTCGCGGTGCACGTGGCTGACGCCAAAAACGGCGATGACGCCAATCAACGTGCCACTGCCAGTACCGCTAGTGAATTATCGAGCTCTGTGTCAACTTGACTTCCTCCTCTTTTCCCCCTCTTCCCCCCTCCTCCTTGCCTGTCTCCCAGGACACAGGGCTTACCGCAGTCTAATCTCCCTCCCCCTCCCCGACATCGCCCACGGTGCATCCTGAGTGTGCTGTCCTGCACGTGTTCTCTCATCAGCCCCACGACTTCCACCCTTGCCGAAGCACGCATATATCCTGCTTTTGGCTTACATATATATCCTGTCTTCGGTCCTCGCAGCTGCTTTCACGACATTTTACGATAACTCATGGCGATGGATGGGACGAGGTACGAGTTCTTCGGCGCATATAGCAAACTGTGTTAAGCAAATGCGTAGGCTGCGTCAGTCCTGGTACACCGCACTGGACAATTCCCAAACACACTTCCGCCAACTACTCACCTCACACTCGTCCACCGATTGGAAGCGCGTGCCGACTTCCAATGACCTCAACTCGCCCACTGGGAAGGGGAAGGCTCGCGCAAACGCCCCGGAACTCTCGGACGTCATCATCCATCGCCGCACTACCAAGGCTGGGGAAAACATCTACCGTGCCGTGCTGGAAGTCCCTGTTGGCGATGAAGGTGTTTCTTTGGACGCGTGGAAATCGGTGCTTACGACCCCTGAACTAAGGAAGGAGTGGGATCCTGCGGTGGAAGGGGCGCAATTGCTAGAAATGTTCGACCAAGCCACGCGCATCTCCAAGGTCAACTTTTCTCTGGGGTGGCCAGCGAAGTGAGTTTTCTCTAAACCTCATGCGCAAGTTGCCAATGGCCATCCAGTCCTAGAGATGCTGTCACAATATCCCGTACATTCAACGACGCGACCACTTTAATCGACATATCTACCTCTTTGCCCCGTTCTCCTGACGAACCCACGTATCTCCGACCCTCTCCTCCGTATGTTCGCTCTGATGTCGCGCGTGAGTATCATACAGAGGGTCTCTTGGGGATCGGTGCTGTACCGTTTCTGATGCTTTTACAGTTTTTGCATGGTGTATACAGCGCATCCAGCCACCCTCCACCACCGACCCTTCCGCACTTCCAAGCGCCCCCAGAATGCGTGTTACCTGTTTTTGGCAACACAACTTCCGGATTGTCTGGAGCTTCAACTCGAGCTCAAGTCTGGCTCAGCAACTGAGTGCGATGACAGTCGGCCTGTTCAAGACTGTTCACAAACGTCAATCTCGCGTTCCTCTCTTGACTGGCTACGGGAATGGCGTTTCAATAGAGCGCGTACGCTTTGCGATCGACCGCGAAGCTCTGACGGTGGACTACTCGATCGTCCCCGAGGATGAAGACCATTCCACGTCCAGCACGGAGTTGTCCATGGAACAACTGCACACACAACGGGAGATCCGACGATTGACGCGTTCAGTTGAGTTCTCCTTGCCTTCTTTGCATGGATGGGACGTCCAGCTTTCGACGAAGGGTTCGTCAGAGCAAGTCTCCCAACTGCCCTGGACAACACATATCACCCGTGCCTCCCCCGCGGACCTTTCCTCCGCGGACCAGCCAAAGCTCACGTTTGCTGTGAAGCACGCGGAGCTACCGAACGACCACTCTGTCCTCAAAGTCCGTCTCACCATCGAGCTTTCCGGTCCGTCCGGCGCGCTTCGCCTGAACGGCATTCCGCATCCGATCGAAGAACTTGAACCACGGAATCCCTCGTCATTCTTCATCTCCGAGCAGATGTTCCAGGACGCATCCAGTATGGCGGAACACAGCCTACATACGCAAGCTTCGGTTGTCACTACCGCGACGAGCCTATCACGCGCCTCGACAATAGCCGAGCGACCATCGATAGCCCGTACCCTCACGGAAAGATCCAACGCGGCAGAGAAATCGATTCTTTCTCGCGTCAAGCGCAACTACATTTACTTTTCTTCCTTGCTTCAAGAACCAGAAGCGAAGTGGAAGCAGAGTACGTTTATCGTTGTGCTCGCTGTTAGCCGCATGCTCATACCGCATATAGCCATTGAAGCCCGAGGGGTATCTGTATCTCAGCTGGACTCCATCGACCCAACACTCGTGGTTTATCGTGCAGAAGCGACCTTTGTCGGCATCAGCCTATGGGATCTGTACGCAGCCATCACAACCCCGGGCTCCCGAACGTACTGGGACAAGCAGTATGAAGACGCGGTTTTGCTAGAGGACGTCAACGAGCTCACGGAGTTGTGGCACCATAAGACGAAGCCCGCGTGGCCTGTCAAGTGAGTCCCTCGATGTTTCATTCCGCGCATTTATCCATCGCCGTTGCAGCGGTCGAGACATGGTGGTCCTGAAGACAGTCTACAAGTCTCCCACCACCATCCATGCATTCGCTTTTTCTGCGGACGACCCAAACCTGTTTCCTCAAATCCCTCCTGCCGACCCGAACGTCATCCGGACTCAGGTCGACCTCCAGGGCTGGGCAATCGAAGCGTTGTCACCGAACACCACCCTCGTCACTCTGCTCGAGCAATCCGATCCGAAGGGTTGGTCGAACAAGGCGTCCATTCCTCAACAGATGATCACCGCTGTCGCTGGAGTCGGCGAGTTCGCCATCAAGTGCGGCGGTCCTCCCATGGTTACACGGTTGGAAGGCGGAAAGACTCATCAACTCCGATATGACCATGAGCGTTCCACGTTCCGAGTGGAATACGAAGGCTGCGCCAAGCGACGCACAACAACCGAAGGTGGCGCGAACTCGCAACTCCCGGTCATCGAATGCGAGGTCCGCTGCGATCTGGACACCTGGGGATCGTCGCTGGACATCGTCGTTGATCCACCACCACAAAGCATCGCCGCACTCCGTCGACATCGCTTTTCGTCAGGAGGCGGTGGCCTTTGGCTGACGATCACTCACGACGCCGTCTTCTCCGAACAGGAGCACCTCAGGGCAATTGTACGACGAGGGCCGATGAGCGCGCCGAAGGACAAGGGCCTCGTTATGATTAATGGAGCGAAAGTCGAGGTTGACGTGGAAGAGATGCCGGAGCGCGAGGCGAAGAACCTCTTGAAACAGAAACGTGTCAAGCCCGCTCGAGTCCCGCTCGACCAGCCGCCCGTTCTTGGCGTCATACGCCGGCGTCGAGCAGAATGGGACGCGGACAAGGACAGCCAAGCAACTGAGGCCGGGAACGGGAGCGAGCCATCATCTGTTCCGCCATCCCCTTCGGCGACACCCTTTTCCCCGCAACAGACGCTCGCAAACTCGTTCTCGAAGTTCTTCACCTACGCAGTGGAGCAAGCGACTTCGACGACTCAGCAGGCCGTCGCCGCAATCTCCCCCGCCATGGCGCCGGGTGACGATGCTGCCCCGTCCTCCTCTAAGCCCCCGATGCAGTATACCCTCGACGCTCTCGCTTTCGCCCAGGATCTGTATGCCGCTCCCACCGGAAATGGATGGACTGTCGTCAGTGAGAAGGATTTCCCTGTGCAAAGGAAGCTCTTCCCGGAGATCTCACCCATCATACCCGTCCACAAGGGTCAGAAGGTCATTGAGGGGATAGCCGCTGAGGAAGTCGCTTCGGTCCTTACCAGCTACGACTGTCGTAAGCAATGGGACACGCGCTTCGACTCGGTCAACATCCTCGAAACTTACGGAGCGGACGCCCATACCGCCTTCGTCATCACGAAAGGCGCCTTCCCCTTCCGCGACCGTGGATTCTATCTCGCTTCCCTTGTTGCCCGCGGCTCGGCCCCGACACCCGCCTCCCGACGCAACACGGTGGATGTAGAACAGCTCTCGAGCGAAAACCAGGGTACCTCAGCGATCTTCTGTGTCGCCGCGTCCTTCTCTCCGGACTCCGTCAGCAACTTCGCGGCCAGCAAGTACAACCCATCCTCCCTGCCTGTCGGGCGCGTCTACCTGGACGCGTGGATCTTAGAGACGCTTGATCCATACTCGGCCGAGAATTACGCGATTCCATCGACACGATGCACACGCGTCGTCGCAGTCGATTACGCAGGTTCCATCCCGGCTGCTGTCAATTCGATGATCAACGGCATGCTGCCGAAGTCGATCCTAGCTGTCGAAAGCTACGTCAAGAGCCTATCTCCTTCTCCGTTGATCCGTCTCCCCGCGGCAGGCTTCATACTCGCACCGTCACCCGAAGACAAGCTGAGACCTCAACGCCTCTGGACGCTTCGCCGGCGGGATCGCACGCGCACCTTCCTCTACTCCTCGTTCCACCCCGAGCGCAAGGAGTACTCGTGCTTGTTCATCCTCGACGGTACTGTTGCGCTTGCACCCCCTCCCGCGAAGGAGGACCCGACCCCACGACCAAGCCGGATCGTGACGAATACCCCCGCATCAGTGCCTGACCCATCCTCTTCCCCGCGCGCGGAGTCGAGCGAGAGCTCGGAGCCCAGCGTGTTGGAGAGCCGGATCCGAGCCGCACGGTCGCGTTCACCTCGCGCGCGGGACGTCGGACGCTCGCCGGGCATGTTCACGCAACGCGGCGAGGTACGGCTCCCAGTGGACCTGCTCGTCGCGGAGCTCATCGTGGACTCAAAGCTGTACCCGGCGGGGTATGACATCCGGTTGCACGCGCGCGTCGAGCGCGGACCCGCGGGCCAGCTCGCGCTACCGCTCGTGGCGGAGGCAGGCGTGCTCCCCGTCGCGTGCGCCGCGTACACCCTCCCGCTGTCGCCGCTGCACTCGGCGGGCCTCACCGCGGACCGTCCTCCGCGCCATCTTCTGCGCTTTTCGCTCCCGACGGCGCAGTTCCAGATGACGACGATTCTGGATCCGCTCACGGGCGAGACGCGAAGCGCACCGCCGAAGCCGCAGTGGCTTCTTGACCTTGAAGAGGGCCGCGCGATCGTCGACGTGAGCGTGCGCCCACCACTCGCGTCGTCCGTGAAGACCTCGAAGCTCAAGGTTACCCTCAACGGCTCATTGGTGACAGTGATGAGCGAGAAGGAGTCCCTCACTGCGATTGGGCGCGACGAACTGCTCGATATGCGCGCGGCGAAGATGGGCATGCTCGCACGGTACGTCTCGTCTGTTTCGCACGTTGACGGCGCCGCTGCGGTTTGGCGCCGGGCTGTGTCACCGCGCGGCGTGCGACGGGAATGGCATGACAGAGGGAACTGACGTCGGTGTCGTATCAGGTCGGTCTCCGCGGAGGAACAGGTGCCGTCTGGGCTGCAAGCGCCCCTCGCGGTCTCACAGCAACTTCTGGTCGCGCCTGCGGCCGCGTCTGCGCCTTCGGCCGCACCAGAAGCACAAGAGAAGGACGGTGCGTCAGACGCGGCGAGCGCGAAGGAGGATGCGTCGGAGGTGAGTTTTGGACTTCGCCTTATCCCCGGGTTTCGTGCCTACGTGCTGACGTGGTGTGCAGCAGGTTGCACCGGTCGCGGCTCCCATCGATGGGCTCCCGGTCGAGAGCGCGGCGAGTGGACTCATGCGGTTCTTGAACGGATACACACAGCATCCGCTGCTCAGGTTCAGCCCCGGGAGCCGCTCGAGCGCGCTCCTGAGCCCGATCGTGTCCGGGCTCGAGGTCGCCACTCGGACGCAGACAAGCGCGTCTGCGAACGGAGTCACGACATCGGAACCGAGCGCGGACGAGGCGCAGGGCGGGCTGCTCTCGCGCCCGCTACAGCTGCCGCCGCTCGCGCAAGGCCAGTATACGCTGTCGACGGTGATCGTCGTCGCGCTGATTGCGTTCCTGGTGGGCTCGCTCCTGCGTTCGCTGCTCTCGCCCGCGGACTTCATCTACGTCGTCGCGGACGCAAAGGAAATCGGGCCGGACGGGACCGGGTGGCGGGAGATTAAGCGGCTGCTGGAGGTGAAATGGCTCGTCGGTGGATGGGATTTCCAGGTTGCGGTGGTGCGGAGGCACCTATAGCATTGCGAAATCGGGGGTGTGGTGCGGCTCGGAACATATCCTAGTACGGTATCGTTGATTGTAATCTGGAATGTACTTGCTATTGTACGAGCGTTGGTTAATTGTGCTATACATCGAAGCTTGGTTTCATTTATTGTTTCTTGGCAGACATAGTGTGACGTCTGGGGTGTAGACTGTATTGCTGGGTGCAGTCTATTATGTACGTCTATTCGACGTGAGATCCCTCTCGTCGGTACATGCTTCGAGGCGTCGGCGGGTCGAGGATGACCTGGTTCGCAGGCGCGATCCGTCCAGATTCCTGCGTCCTCGTTTTTTTCACTGCGGAGGGCTCGGTGCGGGCATGCGGTGGACGGTGGAGCGAAGAGGCAATAGACTGCGGACCCCCAAACTTATTCCTCCCGGGCAGGACTCCGTGAGTCGCCGAGGCGGATGAAGGGTGCCGCGCGGGGAGAACAAGCGTGGAGGAGGGTGCTTTCTGGGTGCCCGAGGGGAAGCCGGGGCGGGGCAGGGAGGGCGCGAGAAGCCGAGCTGAGTTTGATCTGGGCACAAAGTGCGTGCGTGGGAAAGGAGCGGGCGCCAATGGGGATCGGGCGTGCGTCGGGTGTGTGGCCTGGCCGGGGTCGCTTCCAGCTTGCCCCCCGCCAGCTTCCTTCCCTTCTCAGCCGATACCATCGTCCTCCTCCCCCTCCACGTCCCCCAACGGCCGCCACCATCCCTCTCGTTCCCCACGCCCCTCGCCCCCGCGATCCCGCTCGTCCCCGCCCCGACGCCCGAATCCAACCCCAGCACCCACCGCTCGCCGCGGTCCTCGTCTTCCCGATACCTAGCCGGCCTATCATTGCTGCGCAAGGTCGGTGGCGTCCGTCTCCCTCCTCGTCCTCTTCTCACTCGTGGCCGCCACCAGTGTGCGTAGCTCCCACCCCCCTCCCCCATGGCCACCGATATCTCAGCGGCCCCCGAACCCCCCGCGCCCAACGTCCATGGCGAGCCCACCATACAGTGGGATGGCGATAGAATGTGCGTTCTCTCCTGCACTTTGCGCTGCGCTACTAATGGTCTACGACCTCGCTAGGTTCAACATCTACATCTACGACTACTGCGTCAAGCGCGGCTTCCGCAGGACGGCTCATGAGCTCATGAGCGAGGCTTCCATCCCTCCCACATCCCAGCCTCCAATCAACGCGAAACAGGGCCTTCTCTTCGAGTGCGTAGTTTGCTACGCGTATAGTTCCAGCGCTCATACGTCTTGTTGCGCGCATATAGGTGGTGGAGCGTCTTCTGGGTGCTCTTCACCGCCAAGAGCAGCGGCCAAGGACCTGACGACGCGCTACTGTACACTCAGGTGAGCCCTCCCCCGATCCTACACGAGCCCCAGTACAAGCCATTTTGCAGCATCAAACTGCTCTCCAAAATGCCTCCGCGAAGCCGCAGAACCGTCCACCCCCTCCTCCTGGGCAACCGCAACAGGGCAGATACTACGCGCCGCCCAACACCGGCCGCCCACCGCTCGCGAACGGGCCCCAACCAAATGGTATCGCGCCCCCGCCTCCGCAAGCAGGTGGTTCACTGCCTAACGGCGCTCAGAATCCGGACGCCTTCCACGGAGGCGTCCCCCAGCCAAATGGGGTGCCCGGCTCGTCCGCCGGTCCCCCGGGCTCACTCCCGCCAGGTCAGAACATGCAGCCCGTCCACCCGAACCATCGCCCGCCGCAACAGCAGCCTCGCCAAACGAACGGCGCCCCTTACCCGTCCCCGACGATGGCCAACTCGCCAGCGCACCCACCGGGTGGCCCCCATCCTACCCCCGTCGGGAACATGGGCGGGGTCGGAAACAACCAACCGTTGACGCAGATGGCCCCAAGGATGCACCCGCCCAACGGCCCACCCGGACATATGGGAGGCCCGCAGCAGAACGCGCAGCCCGGATTCTCCACTCTCGGTCGCTCACCCAGTAACCCGGCCTCACCAGCAGGCAATGCTCTGACCGGTCAAAGCCCGTCGATGATGCATCGCGTGCCTCCCGGACAGCCTATGCAGGCCAACCCGATGATGCTCGAAGGCGAGCTGCGGCGAATTCCCCCGCAAGTTCTTACAGCAATCAAGATCGAAGCAGGTCTGGGGGAGAAGGATTTTTCGACGATGAGTGTAGAAGAGAAGGTGCGTGTGCCGTCATCTCTGCGGTTGCCCTTTGCTGACTTGCGACGGCAGCAAAATCTTCTTCAGCTGTACCGACGAAAGTCTGGTCAACAGCCTCCCCCTGGAGCTATGCAACCGCCGCCCTCGGGCTTGCGGAATAATCACTTGCCTCCGGGTGCCCAGCAGCCTGGTCAACCGCCGATGGGTCTTCAGCAGGGCTCGAACGCGCTTCCCCAACGAAGTGCGAAGCGGAGCAGTACGTCGCCCGGACAAGAGGTGAGCGTCCATCGAGCTCGAGCTTGATGTCCATTCTGACTGGCAGCTTCAACAGCCCGAACAATTGCCGAAGAGCGATTCCTCGCCACCAGACCGCAAACGCCCGCGACGATCGCCCGCGGGCGGGGAGTCTTCGCAGCCCCCGTATATGCCTCAACAGGGCATTGCCGGGCCCTCAGGCCCGATGCAGCCTCCCATGGCGCCAGGGCAGCAGCCCGGAGGCATGCTGCGTCAGCCGATGAATATTCACCCTCCTCCGATGGCCTCGCTCACAGGGCCGATGATGAACCAGCACATGGGTGGGCCACAGATGATGCAACCGATGAACGCGGGGCCGGGGATGATGCAGCAGGGCCCGCCAGGAGCACCGCCGGGTGCGATGCAGCACGTACGTCTGATCTTGTGTCGCTTGTGTTGTCGTGTGGGCTCATGTGAGGCTGGACCTGTGGCCACAGTACCGGCAGTCGATGTTGAACGCGCACAAGCCGCAACACCTGCAGAATATGCCACCGGGCGGAGCCCCGTCGCCGTCTGCGGGTGGCCAGGATGTAGGGCCGCCCGGGTCGCGCCCGCCGCCGCACGGCAAGCCAATGGGCATGATGCCGCCACCGTCGCCTGCGATGGCAGCAAAGGCTCCCGGAATGCAGCCCAAGGTTGAGGACGGGTCTGGGCAAGTCGGTGCGTCCCCGCGGCAGAACGGCATGGGTGGGCCAGGACCAGGACCCAGTGGACCTCCTGCCGGCCACGCGTCAACGCCTACGCCCGCGCCTCCCACTCCGAACGCGAGCGGGATGGCGGCCCCGTCGCCATCGGGGATGATGTCGACTCCGACGATGGCCTCGCACCAGCCGCCACCGCCGCCTCCGTCAGCGGCAGGTCCCGGACCTGGGGGGCCTCCTGATCAGCTCGATCCGACGTTCAGCCTGGACTTTACGACGATGCCGGACTTCGACCCCTCCATAACCTTATTCGGTACGGGCGAGAGCATCAACTTCGAGCGCGACTTCGCGGCGTGGTTCGACCCCGAGAACGTGCAATGAGCGCACGCGTACGCACACCCAGCGCGGAGACGCTGGCGACGGAGTAGGGCACGGAAGCAATCGCGGACTCGCGGGATCGCAAGATCGCAAGATCGCGGGCGCAGAGGCGGCGCGAACGGTGCAGTGCTCGCGGAGAGATCGGCCGTCGCTAGTCGGTGGCGGCCACGCTGCCCGCCCGATCCAGCATCGCGCCGGCGCCGCCCAAGGTCTGCCCACCGCCGCACGTGGCCATACATCGAGCTCGCAGGGACATTTCAGCCTCATCCCCGCACGTCGCCGCCTCTCGTCCACCTCTTCCCCCACCCGGTCGCCCCTCCCCCCGACCCGGACACTCGGATATCTCTATGCTCCCTCGGCTTTCTCTCCGCTGTCGAACTGTTGTTCTATATAACCCGTACCATACGCGTATCACTTGCTGCCCTCTCTCCACTCTCGTCTCTCCGTTTCTCTCCCTCTCCTAGTAGTACGTAGTCCTCTTGTACACTGTGTTTCCCGTAGTCTTCCTTTGTTCATTCTCTCATTGGCGCCCGCGCATTAGCTTTCTCCGTTATTGCGTTGTATCGCTGCTTCGTGTGTCAATGCTTGCTGCGCTGAAATTTCTGTCGTCGCTCGTTCCCTGCGTTGTTCTAAGCCTCTGGATATTTGCGTGCATATGCATCGCGCGGCCCTGGGTGGTGCTACATCAGCCTCTCACCAACCTGCACGACGAGGCGACGGGCGAGGCTGGTTGCATTGCATAGCTGTACTGGTTGTGCATACTACGGCGACTGCTCCCCAATTTGGACCTATCTCCAAAGGTCGCTCGTGCATCATGCTGCAACCACTCTGGCGAAGAGAAAGCACTGCAAGCGAACGACCCCGCCGACCTCGGTCGTCAACTTGGCGCGAGCACGCGCCCGCGCAGTAGCAAATCGAGCGCGGCCTTGCCCTCCCGAACGTCCGGACCCCCGTCGTCCGGCAGCGCCGCGCCGCGCCAGTCCGCGGTCCCGACGAGCCGCACGAACGCGCGCTCGAGCGCGCGCACGAGCGACGGGGAGACCAGCGCGCGGACGTCGGGCGACGGGTGCGACGCGAGGTCGGCGCACGCCTGCGCGAGGCTCGCGAGCGGCGGCGCGCGTGCCGAGTCGGAGTCGGCGTCGGCCTTGCCGGGCTCGGGCCTGTCTCCCTCTCCGTCGAGGGCGCACAGAATGGCCTCGATCGAGTGGAAGGCGCACGCGAGGAAGGGGCGGAGGGAGGGCAGCGCCGCTGGGTGACCTGAGAGGCGCACGGCGGAGTAGTACACCAGGTGGTCGAGCGCCCAGGCGTGCCCTGCGAGGAAGTGCAGCAGGGCGGGGGCGCGGGTGGGGGCGTCGTGGAGAGTCGTGGGGCTGCTGGGCAGGGTGCGGAGGGCGTCGTCGAGCCGGTGCGCCGCGGCGAACGCGACTGGCGTCGTCGGAGTCGCTGGTCAGCGGGTCTGCGGAAGCGGGCAGAGAAGGGTGCTGCGCACCCGTCTGCAGAGTCGCCTCGTCCGTGACTTCCCGAAAGTCGTCTTCGTTGAGCATGCGCAGCCAGAGCGCGTCCGTCGCGGCGGCGTCGAAGTCGCGGCCCGTGCAGACGATTGCCTTCAGTCGGATCCCCTCGTTCCTCGAGAGCCCCGGCAAGCGGAGGAGGTCGCGCGCGGTGTCCCATTCGCCGCTGGTGAGCTGGGAGGGGGGCAACGTGAACGCCGTGCAGGCCACGCGGTCGGCGACCTGCGTCATGCGCTCGCGGGCGAAAGCGGGCCACTGGGCGCGGAAGGGACCGCGCTGGGCGACGAATCCCGCGTCCAGCTTGCGACAATACGCGACGCCGAGGTCTACCGAAGCCGCGTCGGACAGACAGATGACGGAGTTGTCCAGGCTCTTGTGGTCCTGCGCGCTGGCGTAGGCCTGGTACAGGATGTCGGCGTCGAGGACGTGAGTCGCTTCGGAGGTGACGGTGTGCTCGTCTCCTTTCCACGTGGGAAGGATGTGCGGGCTGTCTTCGATGGCGTTGAAGGCGTCGAAGAAGTGATAGTAGCCCTTCCATATCGCGCTCTCGTCGTGGTCGAGTAGGCGGACGGGGCGCAGCCTGGTGGCAGCGTCGAGAACCGAGAGCATGGTGTAGACGTAGTATCTACGCGCCAAGTAGAAGGTGAGGAGCACCGTCTTCCAAATGAAGAAGAACGCGCGGGCTTGCGGCGAGAAGTAGCAGCATGATGGAAGGAAAGAGGGCACGACAGTAGTTCCGATGATGAATGCCAAAAGGACGCCGCTGAACGCCGCAGTGGCCGCGAAAACGACGGCGTTGGTGTGAAAAAGAAGCACAAGAAGTCCAGCGATGAAGAGAGCGACGGCAATGAGGAGTAGCAAGGGCACGAGGGTGAAGATGACGGTGATGCGAGACCGATCGAGGTTGTTGAGGCGATACTGTCGTCGCCGTGCGATGTCACTTGAGCTGCCATAGAGCCCAGTGTTGTACTCTTTGATCCACTGCTTGATCATGATGCCGATTGTCGCGGAGGAGAGACTGAGGATGAGGCTAGGGAACCAAAGCGAGTTCACCCAGATGGTCCATGAGGCGGGGGTGAAGGCAGGAAGACCGAGGGAAGTGCTTTGTCGTTGTATGGGGACGCGAGCGAACAGAGCGTTATTGTCATCGGACGGAGGTGGTTGAAGCAGTGTGTATGAGACGACGTTGAATGCAGACATAATCGCCGAGAAGAGACCAGCCTAGCAGACCAGCGTCGGTACTAGAGACGATTGGATATGTAGAATAAAGCACCCACGAAGGTCAAAAGGCCATCAATCTCACGATTAAGTTGATCGACCAGCTCATCGCTATATTTTTCTACCGTTCTTGCATTCTCCTCCCGTGCTTTCGAGATTTCTTCTTCTGTATGCTGCTTTTCTGATTTTCGCTGTATTCGACCCTGAACATGAACTTCAGCAACCTTAAATGCACATTTTGTCGGAAAACACTGACGCGAAGGTTTTCCAGGGACATGACTCCTGGAGGAGCCTCCGTAACCGAGGGGCTCTGTTTGATCGTGTTGAGAAAATTAGGACAGGGATCACGAGATGAGTGACGTACCTCGGCACCGGCGTTGGCGGTATGTAAATTAGATCTGTCGTCTTCAACCGACGGGCCCTGTATGATATCCGAATTCAGCGATCGACATGCCACCCCGCCATTGATGGGCAAGATACCGTTTGAAGTTGCAATAGAATTTGTTCGAGAAGGTGGCAGACTTGGGTCATGCCGTCTCCATGAGCACCGCACTAGTCATAAGAACCGGAAGTTATGTAATCGCAAGCGTGCTCAAATGGTCAATATACGCACCGTTGAGGACGAAGCAGGATCGACGTCCAATCTATTTTGCGTTCCAGTGGTCGTTGCCGCGGTTTTGATCGCGTCCTACAGACATTCAGTCGCACCCTTCGGTCGCAGATATCATGTCATACTACGCACTTTGCGACGGACCGTGTCTCCGCCATGCCCATGATGAGAGGAGTTCATTCGAGTCTTGCGGCGGCGGTGTGGGAACGAAGCGATGATGGCGCGTAACAGACCTGTCGCAGTGTCGTTGGACTGACAGAGCATATAAATCGTTGGCGTTGATGAAGCGGAGTCCGGAAGCTGTGCGGTAGCGATGTAGGAGGCGGTGTTTGTCATCGCAGAGGTCCGAGTCCCCACCAACTCCCGGTCAGCACCCCGGCATGACGGAAAGTACGGTGCCTACGTGCTTCGCTCTTCCGCTGCCCCAGATTGCTGTAGAGCAGCCTGATCTGGGTCCTGGGTCATACGGATAGGACTTTTCATGCGTGAGAGAAGCCGGCCTTGCCAAAGGCGCAGCTTCTACAACACCGCGGATTCTTACAGTTTACGTCAACTGCACCGCGCGGCTCCGCCGTTGTTGCTGCCTGACAGAAAACACGTACTCATGACGTCGCTTAGCATGACACTCTCTTGCGCTGATAAGGTAGACGCGGCCAGGAACCAGCTACCATGACATAAGCAATCCAGGTGGCGTGGGAATGTTTCAAATCTCGCCGGCGAGTCATCGCCTCTTGAGAGGTGGTCAAAACATGTATTCCATAGACATCTGCACACAATCTTTTGCTGTTTCTGTCATTTGATGGTCTAACTGTGCCCTATGCATGTCCCAGATCGCTTCCCAACGGTGGCCAGGAGCCTCTGCGCTTCGCTTGGCACAGTGAGAACGAGTCCCGAAGAGCGTTAAGCTCCTCGGCGTCCACTGGCACGGGTGGGGCAGGCGGAAAGTTGTCAACCCCCACCCTGTGTAATGTCCCTTGTATAACCGGCTGAGTCTTCCATGATGGAAGTATGACTATCTGCTGTAATGGGAGCTTCAGAGGGCTGGCACATGCAGCAGAACACTATTCCCATTGCCTTTCCGGACGGTACAAGTCGGGCCGGTACATCACGTGCTCAGCGTCTACTGTAGACGCCCGTTTCAAACATTTCTCCTCGCCGATTTAAACCGTGCTCAAACACATTGAAACAGTATTCTGCAACGTTTTAGAACATCTTCAATTATTGGCTAATAACTCGGTCAAAAATGAGAATATCGCAAAAGTTCTTCCTAGCATTGAGAGCTAAGGATAGCTACTATCATTGTCAGAGACCAGAATCTTTAAACAAGGGTGAGGGGCGGAGGGGAAAAGGCAGGACAAACGGGGGGCGCCTGCTTATGTCATGGTGGCTGGTTCCTGGCCGCGTCTACCTTAAGTGCATCTTGAAAGACGTAGGGCGCTGTGACGGTACTGTTTAGAGGCTGCGTAGAGTAAAGGTCGCCGTTCCGTACTTGACGTGCGATACATTGCTGTCTTCTCCATAGCCAACGAGCTTTTGAGCATTGCCGGATAGGCTGCGTGCGTGGCAGTTGAGGTTGAAGTTGAATCGCATCAGTGACACCCGTGATGCGAGGACTAGCACACTCCTCAGGCTTCAGGCGCCTATTTCACACCGGCCAACACTTGAACCGAACATATGCAAGTACGGTGCACCTGAGAGATGCACCGATACACAGAATCGAAATCTCCAAAGGAGGACACCTGGTCCTATGGTAATGTACACATCCATAAACGAGCCAGGAAATCCGGTATCTCGCGGTCACCAAGGCCGCACCCGCCGCGCGACGACGGGCGAGTCGTCCGAGACCGCGCTGAGCAGCTCCACCTCCTCTTCCTCGTCCGCCGCGTCCTCCGCGCCCCACTTCTCGCCCGGGCGCCGCCCGGCGCCGAACGCGCCACGGCGGCGGCGCGTGCGGCGGCGACGCTGGGCGACCGCGGCCCACGCGAGTGCGGCGAGCGCGAGCGCGGTGCACCCGAGCGCGACCGCGGCGATCCAGAGCGCGGGGGACGACGACGACGACGATGGAAGGGAGGAGGCGGGCGCAGACACGGTGGGGCTGGGGGAGGCAGGCGCGTGGGCGGGGGTGGGGGAGGAGACGAGGCTCAGCACGGGGCGCGTGCCGGTGTAGGACGGGCGCGCGGTGGGGGAGACCTCTTCGTCTTCGTCCTCGTCCTCGTCCTCGTCCCAGGAGACGGCGGCGGGCTCTTCGAACGCGCGGAGGCGGTCGGCGAGGACGGCGTCGGCTTCGGCCCACGCGCGCGCGGGGTCGGTCACGCTGAGGAGCCGCGCGTAGGGCGTCGCGTGCGGGTCGGTCGGGTCGGGGTATCCGTACAGCGCGTAGACGTTCCGCAGGAACGTGTCGCCGAGAAGAAAGTCTGTGCGACGCTCGTCAGCGTGTGGGTGGCGCGCTCGCGGAGAGGGACTGACCTTGGTCGGGCACCTCGGTCCCGACGAAAGTGCCGTAGCATGCGAGCTCGCCGTCGTCCAGGACTGCGACCCTGCTGAGGTCGGCGGGGTGTATGGGGTATTCGATCCCACTTCAACAGAGGTAAACCAAACCAACCCACGGACAGCAGGCCCGGAGAGCAGACGCACCCGAAGGAGAGGGAGACGTTGACCTTCGTGTCGCACGGGAGGCGCCACAGCTCGTCGCCGTCGGGCTGGACCTCGCGCCGCGCCCCGGGCACGTCGACGTAGACCTGTTCCGCGTAGCGCTTCAGCCCTTGGACTGTCGACGCCGGTCAGCTCGGGAAGCTTCGGGAGACTTGAGCGACGTACTGAAGGACGTGCCCGTGTCGAGCGACGCCACCATGCTCCCTTCGGGGACGACCGTACGGTTCGCGAGTGCATTGGTGGCGGTCGACCCTCCGGAGAGGAACCGGCCGTTGATGTATATCCCGTCCAGGAGCGCGGTCCAGCTGCTCGTGAACACGCTCGGTATCCGGGGAGCAGTGAGCACGTCCGTCTTGTCTGCGAGGACCTCCGCTAGGGGTCATGTCAGCTCATAGTGCCCTCGGTTGATTGGTCGACGCGAACGTACAGAACGTCAACACGCCGCCGTCCGCGAAGCCGATCTCGTTGCGACTCGGGAGCCAAGTCGAATACGCAGGCTCGTCCGGGAGGTGCGCGAAGACCTGCGAGAACTCATTCAGTCCATGCGCGCGAGTGGGCATAACATGCGCTCGGCACTTACGTTGAACATTGTCGAGACCGCGTTCGCCTCCCACTTGGTGTTGCGGAGCCGAGTGTAGACGGAGGAGAGGTCGACGCTGCAAAACGCGGTCAGCACGTCCACTCGTCGAGCAGAAACCAAGAATGGTGCGCACCCTCCGAGACCCAGCACGCCGTTGAACAGCCCCTCCGTCGACGGCGAGGTCGCGACCGCGCCGTACGCAACCGCTGTAGCCCGATCAGCCCGTGCTCGGCGCGCACACCTTCCCCCTCCCACTCACAGATCGCTTGGTTGTGGACCGTGTAAGGACCGAACTGGACGTCCGCGAGGACAATCGGGCCCGAGAACGAGGAGCCGTCGCTGCGCGTTTCATGAGCACCCCGCCCCGCGCGCGAACAAAGACGGACAAGGGGACGCACACGTATCTCTGCGTGGAGTTCACCCCGGTCGGAACGAGGTCCGGGGGGACCGCGCCGCCGACGGAGAGCGGGTCGATCCAGGTGTCGCCGCTGCCGGTGTCGAGGAGCACCTGCGTCCGCGCGCGCGCCGGGGAGGTAGGGGAGGGGAAAACTCGCGTCAGCACGCGCGCAGGGGGGCGCGGGGGGCGCGGCGCGCACGCACCTGGTACGGCACCCCGTTCACGTACAGCGTCGCCGTGTACAGCTGGTCCTCCGCGGCGGTGAAGCCGAGCCCGACGCCGGCGCCCTCCGCGCGCGAGACGGAGACGGGGTGGTGTCCATCCGAAGGGCGAGCCTGTCGCCTGCTGGTGGTCGGTGTCGATGTTGGGGGAGGGGAGGGGAGCGCGCGCGCGAAGGCCGGCCGCGCGAGCGCGTCGAGGACGGTGAGGACGAGGAGCGGGGGGAGGGTGGCGAGCATCGCCGGAGGGCGGTCAAAAGGAGCGGAAGGCCTGTAAGAGGGGGAGCGCGGGGCCGGCGGGCATGGGGCTGGTGGGGGCGGGGGGCGGAAACGGCTCACGGTGGGTGGGGCGTGGGTTATAAGGACGTTCGTGCGCTCCGCCGGGGGGAAGGAGGAGAGAACGCTGCGGAACGCGCTCCGTCTTGGGACCAAGGGCGAGTGGGCGGATAGGCGCGATAGCCGTGCGCGCCTCTGTTCCGCAGCCGTCGCGGGGCGGGAAAGAAGCTCGCGCACGTCACCGTCGTTTGATCGCGAGCGACGGCGGACGAGGATCGAGAACGGCGTCGACGGGCTGAGGATCTCGCGTCACCTGGACCGTTCGCAGCTTGGTCTGCTAGCTTGGTCAGTTCATCCTGAAAATGAGCGGTGAGGGTTTGACGGACCCGACAGACTTGCGAAGGATCTTTGTTCGACGGAGGCCCCATCGCAGCGCTGCAGATGCGTCTGTTGTGGAGTCGGCCGACGCCCAGATCGTAGCGTCGGAGACCGCGTACGCTTGGCGAGCTCGGGCCCGAGCTGCTCGCCTATCGCGCGTTGTCGGATTCCTCCGTGTACTTGAACCGCACGTTCCTAGGTTTCGCCCGCTTGCGTGCATGTTCGTCACCTGTGGTTGTTGTATCTGTAACGGGGTCCTCTGGCGTGCATGGGTCTGGAAGGCGAGGATAGTGGAGCGGGACGAGTGCCCAGGATGGGGGCGTCCCTGTGCCTTGGCTTGGATTCAGTAATTGAGTAGTCTGGCCACCGATCGAGCGACTCCGAGCCGTCTCCGTCGATCGAGGTTTCAAGACGTAGCAAATATGCTCTAGCAAGCCCGTACTTACGTTGACGAGGAGCGCGACAGGTCATGGGATCATGAGGAGAGCGGTGGTTGCGGGGGTCCCGGGGGAAGAACTTCAAGCGGGGGCCGGGGTCGCCACTGCAAGTTGGAAGGGAGGATACTCAACGCCAGGGACAGGGGCGCTTATACGGAAACCCGGGCCTAGAACGGATATGACGGGTGCTCGCTTCATCCCGTTCTCGGGCATTCAAGTGTCACAGGCTGGCACGCGAGGCCACCATTTCTCTGGGAGCTTTTCTGGGAGTCGTTGATAAGCTAGCATTTCCATGGGTTTCTATGGGCGAGAGAAGATCTTGTCTTTCTCTCGGCTTTGATGTGTCACCAGAAAGATAGTCGCCCCGGCGTGTGGCATTTTATTTCGCGCTTGGGGTTTGTACGTGTGTGCTGGGCATACGCACAGTCAGACATGCGCGCACTGGTTCTATTCCCGATCTAATTCCGACCTAGTCTATTCTCCAAGCTGTGGACGGGGTATAGGGTCTTCAGATTACAGTGATCGCCAGCTGGTAGATAGTGTACAAAGGCGCAAAATGTCCCTGGTCGTGTTACAGTATGGATGTGTGTGTGCGATCGTGTGGAGTTCCCCGATTAGCCAGTGATGTTCGTAGTGAGGTCGACAGACAAGCGAAAGCAAACAAAATAGAGCGCGAGTGTCAGGCTCAAGCTTCAAGCTTCAAGTCCGAATGGAGGGTCCACCCTCGATCCCTGGCAGAGGGGGCGGCTGGTCGGCGCGTCGTCTCCGTCGCCTGCGCACAAACAGAAACGCGAGGGCTACCACAATTCCGAGCAGAAGCGCCCCGAGGACGACCCCAAGGACCTCGGCGGCAATGTCGCCGGCGCTCTGGCGGGATGAAGACGAAGAAGAAGAGGAAGGAACGACGATCGAGGGCGTGACGGTGGGGAGTGTGGTTGTGGCCGGTACCGAGGGCGCGACGAAGGGAGCGGTGCTGTAGGCGTCAGTAAGTAGGGCAGCGCATGATCAATTGGTGGCAGTGGAGGGAACGGACTTGTTATCGGAGACGGTGAGGATGATGGCGTCGATGTCGAGCACGGTGGGCGTGCCGGAGTCGATGTAGGTGAGGGCGAGGGTGGTCACGCGGTCTTCGGCGAGGGAGACGACCTCGATTGGCTGGACGGAGCTGTTCAGCTGGCGGGTGACGGACTCGACGGGGTTCGAGGTCGAGACGGAGATGTTGACGAGCGCGGAGGAGTTGGGTGACGTCTTGATGGACACCTCGAGGGCTGCACGAGGGAGACACGATCAGCGCCATCTATTGCAGTGGAGCGGGGAATGGTTTCAGGCACGGGGGACGAACCTCGGAAAGAAAGAAAGAGCTGGGGAATAAAGCCTCCGCTCGAGTTGTTTGCACCCGAGGTCTGGGTGATTGTCCCGTCCGAAGCGTTGGCATCAGCGATGACTTGCCTGGAAGACGAGGTGAGGTAAGTAGATGCGAGACGATGGAAGAGCGTCAGCCTAGTCGTCGACGGAACGGGACTGGATGGACTGGGTGGAGGCCGCTCCGGATCGGAGAGGATGAACGGACCAGGAAGAGTTGCAGGCCTCGGTGCCTGCCGTAGACTGCGTCAGACCGCACGCGGGAGGGCTGTAAGTGATCTGGACCGCGATGTCCTCGAGGGTGATGTTGATCGCTGCATGCACGGGGTGGAGAAAGCAGAGGAGACAGACGAGGATCGCGAAGGGAGACAGCGCCGCCAGCTGCGAGGGGAACATGCTGGCCGCGAGCAGGCTGACATGGGCCGCGACGGAGGACGAGACGGATGAGAGAGCCGGGTATGTGGGGACGGGCGTCGGGCGGGAGGAGGCCCGCGTCCCCCGCCATGGCAACGTTGGGCAGATCGAGGACACGCTCGCGGCCCGTCCGGGGACAGACCACCCACCGAGCGCCTTATCAACGTGATGGCCGCTGCCACGCGTGACAGTCACGACGTCCGAGGCAGCCGTCGACGCGGACGGGCGCCAGCTCTTCTTGTCCTTCCCCTCGACGTCCGTCGCCCCCAGCCTTGCAGTCGTCTCCCGGCCTCCTTCCGCTCCTTCAGGGCTGCCCCGGAGACCCACTCAGGCTCATTCGCTCCTTCTTCCTCACGCTCCTTCGCCCTCCGAACTCGTCAAAATGGTCCATCATCCATCTCTCAAGCGCGGTCTCCACCATCGCGGGCCCCTCCGCCTCGACAACCGCGCTGAGCCCGGCTTCCGCCCCACTGCAATCTTCGGAAACCCGTTCGATACCACCACCACCGACACGACCACGTCGACCTCACCACTGACCTGTGAGTATTCCGCTTTCACCATTCCTTCCCGTCCTAGAGGCGGGCGAATGTATGCGCTCCAACTATTCCGGGTTCGCTGTCGCTAGGAATGTTTTGGTGGATGTGTGACCGCGTACATTCCTCCAGCCACCATGATCTACCTTTCCTGCACTCCCCCCGCTCGAGCCTACTTTGAGTGTCTGACTATCAATCTTATGCTCATGCTATTACTATTCCACAGCGGACACCGGCATCTTACCCACGAACCCGCTCCAAACCAACACTGACACTTCCACGTCCACCACTCTGTCCACTCAGGTTTCCACCACGACCTCCATCCCCACGTCCACGTCCACTACCCCTCTCACCAGCACCACTTCCACCTCTACCTCCATTCCCACAACTACCTCGTCCACCCCTTTGCCCACCACCTCGTCCTCGTCCTCGTCCTCGCTCGCCGATATCCTCATCACCGTCACTCAGACATCCACCCATAGCAATACCAGTGTGGCCCCCACCAGCTCTTCGACCCAAGCTCCCTCGAACAGCAGCGACACGGATACCTCCACCAGCTCTGGCGTGAAGATCGGAGGCATTATTGCTGCTGTCTTTGCTGGCGCAGGCATTTTGTTCGCCATCGTCTACTTCCTCGTGAGTCGCAGACTTTGTCGTAAATTTTCCCTCCGCGATCTCATGCTCACTTGTCTCCAGCGTCGTTCTCGCAGCCGTGAGGAGGATGATGCAGCGGACTTCGACCCCGACGCCTTCCGTCGTCAGTCGACGATGCTCCCTGGCGGCGATGGAACGTCGGGTATCGGTCGGGATATGTCGTACAACAGCCGTGGCGCTCGTCCGCCAACCATGATCGAGCAAAAGCTCGCGAATGGGCCGGGGTCGTACGCTCCCCCTCAGCCCTACGGGTACGGCGCGTACGGTCAAGTTTCTTTCGAGCCGGGTCAAGTCTACACCCCTACTACGGCGAATTCTGCGAACCCCTTCTTCACCGGATATAACGAGTTCGACCACCAGTACGACCCGTACGGCAACATGGTCACGCGCCAGCCTTCCAACGGCTCTTCCGCTGTGCTTTCTCGCCACACCTCGAGCTCGTCGAAGCCGATGCCGGAGCTTCCCACCAACTCCACCTACGCCGACATGAGCCGTGGAAGTGTCACGCCTTTCCAGGCTACTCAGTACGCCGAGATCTCCCGCCAGCTGAACTCGTCTCCTCCCCATGCTCTCCCTCTCGGTGCTGTCTACGAGGAGCCTGAGTATGACCACACTGCACCCATCCCAGTCCCTAAGGAGACGGTGCCACTGGACTTCGGGGCTCAACACGCCATCTTCAACACCGCGCAGCACCTCAACGTCCGCGGTGCTCCCACCCCGCACGAGAACTCGTTCCCCGAGTCGCCCTTCGCCGACCCGACGATGGCCGCCGAGCAGGCACAGTACATCCCCAGCCGTCCGTCCGAGGACTCGATGATCCAGCCGCCTGCCCCCGCTTTCGCCAACAACGAGAAGGAGCGCATCACGTCGATCCCGCCCATGCTGCCCGAGATCCACATCCAGCAGCGGTTCTCGAACATCGACTCCGGGTTCCCCGCGGTTCCCTCGTCCGTCCGCCCGTCGCCGTCGCCGTTCTCGACCGAATTCGCGAACATCCCGGCCACGCCCCCCACCGCCCAAGTGACCCCCGCTGCTCCGGCCGCGGTGGCGACGCGGGGCACCGCGGGCCGCGCGCAACGCCCCGACACGGTCTACACGATGTACGACGACGAGGACGCGTACAGCGGCATGTAAGCCAGCCGACCGAACTGTACTACCAGCCCCCTCCGCCACCCGCGGGTCTCGCCTCGTCGTTCCCCGGTGGCAGCGGCGGGGCTGTAGAATCTCTGCCGTTCCCCTGTCTTGCGCATTATTTCTTGGCCTAATTACCGTCCTGGGCGGCACGGCAGAGCCGCGGCGCGTCCTCTCTGGGCACACGAGCGGTGCGCCCTGCTGCCCTCCGATTCACCCTGTCTCCGCGATGTCGTTCGCTTGCTGTTGCTGTTGTCACGTCGTGTTCTCGCGCGGTGCGCTGTCGTGGTGCCGGGTCGCCGTCTCTGTCGTTGTCGTTGTCGTAGTTGTCTCCGCGCGTGGCGTAGGTAGCCGTCTCTTCGGAAGTAATCGATACCACCTCGCCCGCTCATACCTCGCGATCGCCTTCACCTTCGTGTATCGACACCTTGTCCTCCTATCCGATCATCCCCACCCTTTGTTACGGTATACCACTGTATTCGCGGCCCGTCTGGCGCGTTCCGTTCTTTCGCCCTCTCCCTTGATTCCCCCGTCCTCCGTTAGTCGAGAGTCCGTGGAGTGGGGCCGTCTTGTTGTGTGCGGAGCACGAGGGTTCTGGGGCCGGCGCGCGTCGCTCGTCTCCCACCTGGCCCGGCTCGCGGTGGTGGGCACTGGGCGGGGCGGGAGGGGAGGGGCGAGGTGCGGCCGGCCGCACTGGGTAACGAGCCGCTGCAAACTCGTCGATACCCGGCCGTTGTGCTTTCAGGGAATAGAAACGTCATTTGAGTATGTCGTTTGGGTGGGGGTGTGGTCTTGGGGGCGTCGGTTTCGCTCTTGTCTGCGCTGGTGAGCTCGTTCCCGCCCGCCGGAGCGCCATGACATCGGACGCCGGACGGCAGTTGAGTTGTCAGTGCCGGTTCTAGTAAGGGACCTGGGCGCATATACCTGGTACATATCCTCATGCGATTTGCTTTCAGCTCGACAGTTCTTGATTTGATATATGTGAGCACTCAAACGGGTAGTCACTGCGGCTACCATGTATCTTCGGCCTCGTTCTCGCGCCCCGAAGCTCACTCGCGCCCAGCAAGTGTCGGATTCTTTGACGACATCTACGTCCCCCTTGTCTACATGCTGGACCCCTGGACCTCTTCTCTCTATCACCCCTTCTCCCTACGGTACGGATTCGACTGGTGCATCCGTTACCAGAGCCTCTCGGCAAGGTGCGGATGCATCCGTCACCCCCGCCCGCCCGGTTTCAATCTAACGCCGCCGCCACAGGCGCGACACTGCCCCGACATGTCTGGCCACCGGCGCCTTGGGCCCTCCCACTCGAGCTCACCTCCCCCTTTGTTTCAGACCACACTTTTTGTATAAAATTTGCGATTAAAATATATTTAATATAGCTACTACAGTAGGGCTAGCAAGTAATACTACAGCCCCGCGACAACGCGGAGGCTGAGGTGAAGGAGGGCGATGTGGAGGGCCGGACGCGGCGGAGGAGGCGCAGGGCGACGCGGGCGGAGGTGGGCGACACGTGGAGGAGGGTGACTCAAAAATGGAAATGGGCGATACGGGCGGGGCGGTGGGCAGCGCGAAGGTGGGCGATGCGCGGGGAAGTCGACGAGAGCGAGGAGGCGGGCGACGCAGAGGAGGGCGACATGGAAGTGAGGGAGACGGAGGAGGGCGTGTGGGCGCAGGCAGGCAAGGCGGAGGTGGGTAATGCGTATGCGCGCAAGGCGAGGGAGGTGGGCGACGTGGGTGGAGGACGGCGCGGAGAAGAGCGAGGCAGGCAGAGGAGCGTGGTTTGGAGGGTGGCGCGGAGGCGGGTGACGAGGAGGCGACATGGGCGGAGGACGGCGTGGACGGAGGAGGGCCGTGCGGGCGGGGGAGGGCCGTGAGGCGGAGGAGGAGGCGGGCGGTGTGCGCAGAGGAGGCGGGTGGCGAGGGTGGAGGAGGGCGGCGCGGAGGCGGGGGAAGGTGACGCGGGGGAGCGCAGTGACGCAGGAGGAGGGTGATGCGGAGGCGGGTGACACGGGCAGAGGAGGGCGGTGGGAAGTGGCAGGCACGGGCGGCGCAGGGCGAGGAGGAGGGCGACGCAGAGGCGGATGGCGCGGAGGGGGGGGGGGGGCGACGCGGAGGGAGGAGAGCGGCGCGGAGGGAGGAGAGCGGCGCGGAGAAGGAGGACGTCAGGGCGTCCTGGCACCGGTGGGCATCGGGAGTGCAGGAGGACGGAGCGGAGGACTCACCAAAAACAAGTGCCGCGGTACATCGCCGCGGCCCCCTATTGAAATCTCCACACTGAGGACGTCCGTATGGACGTCCGAGTGCGATGTTGTGAGTGCGGTCGGGAAGGTGGGTAAAGGGCAAGATCGAGGTCGAGGGAGGAGGAGGAGGTCGAGGTCAGTCGGAGGAGGGAAGGTCGGTGTCACCTGGTGACACCGGAGTCCAATAGCAAACGACAGTCGACCGTATCGTCGCTATCGTCTGCCTGGGCAGAGGGGGGAGGCTGGGGGCGGCAAGGGTGGTGGAGGAGGAGGAGGACGGCGAAGGGGCCAGGGAGGGATGCGCGGCGTGCATCACAGCCACGCGTCCTTGCCGCCCACAGAGGCGCGTTTACACGCGCGCATCACGGATCACCGGATGCTCCATCGATTACGAGCTGCTCCTTCCCCGAAACCCATGTCCGTCCGTTCCCAGCGACTCAAAAACGGGAACACACGTCTGGCTGCCGTGATCAGAAATAGCCTCGTCCCATGAGCTCCTCGACTCTACCCTAACAGACCGGATGTGCATCGACGTCGGCTGGCATGTCCTCCGGGTGCGCGTCGAGGCAGACGAATTCCATGACGATGACCTTGGACCACCGAAGGCTCATGAGGGTGTGCAACAGGCTCGTGAGGTGCGCCGGCCCCCGTATGCCATCACTGTAAGTGCCTTGCTTACGTCTGGCTCCGGTGCTAGTACCCGATGTCAGAACAGGGACTTGGCCCGCTTTTGTGATGCAGAAACGCTGGCGTCGAAGGAACGGACGATGGCTGACATGTAATCCTACAGCTCCGTGTACTTGTGATTGTTTTCTCGTTTCCTTTGATGACATGCTGTAACCTCATTCACTTCAACCAGGACCAGCATTGCAGGCTCGAAAGAGGAAGCGGAGCTGGAGGATGAAATTTCCTATCATATCCGCCGTCGTCGCAATGCAAACCTACACGAAAGCACGAAGCACGAGCCCCAACTTCCTACAAACCCGTCCTCCCGCGTCCTTCCGTAGCCCTGCACACGCGTGACGCAACACCATCACTTTAACACGCGCACGGCGAAAATCTAAGGTACGCGCGGTACATCCGCAGGAGCGGCCGGCGAAGTGGCACGAGTGGCGTCGGGCGTCGCGGACGTTTCGTGCGTATTGGCAGCGGCGTCCACCGCGGTGAAGAAATCCTCAGGGCTGTGAGACGCGTTGGTCAGCGTCGGGAGTCGCACAAATGGCATAGATGATACGAGCTTGGGTTCGGCAGCTTCGTCGCTGTGTTCCTCCGATTGAGGATCTCCGGCGGAAAACGGCGCGTCCGGTGGAGTGCACGGTGGGACCGCCAACGTGAGAATGATGAGGAGAAATTGGCAACCGTCCACCAGGCTGTGGTCACCCCGCGGCTCCATTTGACGCCAGTCCTCCGTTCCAACGAGCTGTGCGAATACGCGCTCGAGCGCTGCAACGAGCGACGGTGTGATCAGACTGCGGATGCCGTATGTGGAGTAGCCTAACTGGTATATATGTGTCAAGATCCCCCCGAACCAGAAGCAGGCGATTTCCGGTGATCCAGACAGCGACCAGTCAATCGTGTTAAGGAGCTCTTCGAAGGAGGAGAACCCGTGCGCGACGAACGGCCGGATCGCAGCGATGCCGTCGCAGTCGCGGATCCTGGGCGCCGAGTGCTTGACGAGTTCCCAAAAGGAGTTGATATGCTGGCGCATGAACCTGAACTCCTCGATGAGGACCTCTTGAGAAGGTGGGTTTACGCGTTGGAGGTCACGGTCTCTGACGAGCCACGTTTTCATCCGGTAAGCGGTCACGAAGGCAGCTGCCACAGTCGCAGTGAGCGCCCTGACTTCGACCCGGGGCCCGCCGGTGGAAGGTCAAGTCGCAGACGCACCGAATTGTAACGTTCCAGGGTCATGGATGTGCTGGAGCCCGCCGCTTTCCAACAGTTTGGTCCATTCTGACTCTGGGCTGGGGGGTTCCACATTTCTTTGCATGCTGTAGAGCAGCTGGGCCGCGGTCTTGTTATATTCAGATGAAGCGGGGGTGCTCGGAGAGCTGGTGTCCTCGGCTTCTCCACCCTCCAGCATTTCGACAGAAAATCCGCCAGAAACGTTCAAGAGGGGGATCGCAAACATCTTCACCATGAAGTCTGGCCAGCGGAGCGCGGACCCATAGAGATTCGAGAGGCGTCCGGAGGTCCATTCCCGATACGACTTCGCAACCTGTGGGTCGCTGGATAGACACATCGCAGACGTGTGCACCATGCTGGTGTTTTGAGAGCTGAACATCGCCCAGTGGACTGTCTGGGCGTCGAGATGGGTTGCGCTTTGTGAGACTATGGCTTCTTCATCCCCTTTCCATACAATGGGCTTTGGAAAACTTGCACGGAGAGAATCCCAAAGGAAACTGAACCCTGTGACCACCCAGGACTTGCCTCTGAGGGAGTAATGAAGTGAAGCTTCAAAGCATCCGTAAAGGATCCAGACAGGCGAGGAAATAAATAAGAGGATGCCCATTATTGAACGATAAACGACCGAGGATAAAATAAGAATGACGCTCCAGAGAGGGAGGAAGGCCCTAGATTGAGGCGAAAAGTAACACATCAATGGATTGATCGAGGGGATGACCGTTGTCACGATAATGAAGAGCAAGAGCATCCCAACGAACGTCGCAGTGGCGGTGAAGACGAAGACGTCGGAGTGGAAGAGGAGGATGAGAAGGCCGGCGAAGAAGAGAACGACGGCGGCGATAAGAAGCAGCGGCA